CGTCCTTACTCCCGCCTGAAAACAGAGGGGCCCGAAGCCGCTCGGCGTTCTTGCTCGCTCCCGCCGACTTCCCACGCTGACGCGGCACGCACCGACGCGGTTCCAATTTCGGAAGTACTTATTGCCCCGGCGATGCTCGCTACTTTAATTGGGCGGAACACGGACCGAATATCCCTCGCCTAGGTACTCGCGGACTCGAATTACCCTCTTCCGAACAATGCGGGGTGCAACTTCTCCGAAGTTGTAACAAGTTCCAGGAAAATAAACACCGACGCACCCGGGACAACTTTCGGACTCCTCGCCCGGCGGAGGCGGTTAGATCCTCGGAGAGCTGGGAAATATTAATTTCGGTTTGACCCTGGGAACAAAATTCGGCACTCGCGGGGAAAGGGTGCCAGAGCCGAAAAGGGATCATCCGAGAGCGCGGTCGGGAGCGGCTTCCTGGCCGAAAGAAGCGGTTCTTTCGAGGGCAATACTTGGAACTTTAATTGGGTGAAACACCCCCCGGATATCCCCCCGCGGGAAACCGACTTCGTCGACTCGAATTACTCATCCTCTTTGCGGCGGTAATAAAGGGCAACTTCTTTACAATTTCCGCAAGTATCCAGTTGGTAAACGTGGCTCGCGGTGTACTCGTAAAAAACGATAAGTCGACGATTTACCGCCCGGGGTATACTTCGGAATCCAGCTTTTCGAGTCGCTGAGGGGGTGCGGGCGAGGGAGCGGAGAAATCATTTGTCACTTCCACCCTGGATGACAAAAAAAATTGCACCCGCGCGAAGAGCCGAAGTTTCCTCGCAAATTGGTTTCAGGCTCCAATGGTTGGGATTAAAGTGTCCTTGCTCTCCGGTGAAATCCCTGAAATGGCAGTAACGTCGAAAGGGAGTTGAACGTACCAAACGAGATGTACGTCCGTCTCGAAATTCCGTACTCGAAATTGCGAGAGCGAGAGAAGCGGTTCGTTTCGAGGATGTGACCAAGGATGGCCTGCTGATAGGGGAAATATGTCGTAGGAGGCAGGAAACACTCAATTTAGGGGAAACGCTGACGACCTCCGTATCGCGAAACTCACCCCTAACCTAGCCTCTCTAACGATGCACGCGAACCCCTTTGTACCTACGCTGAGTCCCCCCTCTCGATTTCGAAAAACCGAAATCGTGCCAATTCCACCCTTATCGTCGGACAAATCGAAGCAAAATCCGATCGTTTGACGACTTTCGCCTCCACGCAAGATCCACCCCCGTGGAGAAGAAAAAATGTATCACGAACCGGCGATCGGTCCTGCCACTCGTTTTCGCGCGCGATAAAATCGAAATTAAATCACCTTTCCTCGCGACCCGGCAAGAGCCCGGAGAGGTGGTCAGGTGGAAGAGGGGGGTGAACGTATTACGTGATATGCCCGACAGGGGTTGGCGGGGCGAGAGGGGGGAGACGGCTTGACGGTCCATTCCGACGACGTCGCCGGGGATAGCCTCCTGATAGAGGAAACGTGTCGCTGGGCGCTACCGCGCATACAAAGTGTCCGCTTTTCACCTTTACTTACGCCAAACGAATGTTACCTAAGTGCTTCGGGGGATCTACGAGCCGAGGGTGCTCGCCCCGACTTTTGGGACGTGCCTTTCGACCGCCGAGCAGCCAAATCGCAGACGACCGGCCCAAATGCTCCGGGTTATGCACCGGACAACGAGGGTGCGACCGCACCCTCCACGGTGTGTACCGAATGTCCCGTTTCAACCCTCGAGAAGGGTATACTCTTCCACCGGCTCGAAGTTACGCGATTAAAAAATCGTTCGAATCTCGACGACCTCGACCCCTCCACCCAAACAAATACGAAGACAATTTCTCCTGACACTTTGATGAGGGATTTCGGTTCTCTAAACGGTCGGCCAACTCCTAGAGAATTTCCGAGCAAGGAACCGCCCCGTTTCTTTCGCTTCGAGGGGGTCCCAGAGGCGGGCACGTTATTCCGGGGCGATTTATTTCCGTGACCCCGTCGGGGGACGTAAAACGTCGAAATAATCGACCGGGAGTAATTCCGGGAGCCCGAAGGAAATCGCTCGACCGGCCACGGGGACGTGACCACGTCACGGACACTTGCATGGTATCGGCACGGAGCCGGCTGACGAATTACGGAGTAAGATACGTAGGGGCAGGAAGCAGGTAAATAAAATGGGGGGAGTCGGGGGAGTCGGGGGAGTGCCCCGACCACTTGTGCAGGCTTATGCGCCGAGGCCAATTCTTGTACCGCCTGACCGAATAACCGCGATTCACCCGTCACCGGCAGGTACGGCTATCGAGGTAGTCGAGCACCTACTAGCATTCGAGCGAAAATATTGTTTCCTTCGGTTCCATAAAATTTATCAAACGACCGGGCGGCGAGGGGGTGGCGAGCGATCGCTCGTGCAAAAAAGTCCCGCCCCGTTTAAGCCCGAGCGGGGACTGCCTCCCCTCTCGTTTCTCGCTCTCCTCCTCCGGACTCCTTTATTCCTCCCTCTTTCTCTTCCGAGCTCCTTCCTCCCCGAACCTCCGAGAAATCTCCCGGTGTATTTCCTTCGGGACGTCCTCCGGCAAGAATTTCAAGTGGAATTCTTATTAAATGTAAAACGTCACGTCGCGAATTCCGCGAAAGCCGGCGGCGAGCGTTGGCTCCCTTCGATGAACGCCGAGTATCCGCGGAAATCCATCCGCGGCCCGTCACTTCTCCGGAGGGGTTGCCGGTTTTACCCGAAACGGCGGAGGTGGATTAAATTGCACCGATGGCTGCTGCGATGGCGGCCGCGATGGTTCTCGCCATTTCGGAACGTCGAGAACGCGGTGTTTCTCGCTTGCCGAATCAACGGACGCCCGAACGACTCGGATAACGAGAAAGGAAAATCGTCGGACCGTTCCTCCGCATTGGCCGCCGCTAGACGCCGGTGGTTCAAGGTAGCCGGCTCTTTCGGCCGAGAAGTTAACGGCAAAGTGGGAATAAAAAGAGGAGACCGGGATGCACCCTCCGTACACAATGGCGCACCGATTAAACGGCGGCGTCCCATTCAGGGAGGAGCGGTTCTCGTAAAACCACTGGCGTCGCTCCTTATCACGCGTTGCGTTCAATGCATAAAGCAGAAAGTTCGTATCTCATGCATACATTCATACGGCGAAAGCCATAACTTACGGGGCTCCACGAGTGTGTATCGAATACCGACGAAATATCGCACGAGACGGACCGACTTACGTGCGCCGATGCTCCCCGGGAAGGGCCAAGGGATGAATTCGGAGGAATTCTAAGGAAACCCGAGGGGGTTGACGGAATCCCGCTCTTTCACCGGCCGCGGTATCTACCGCCAAGAGAAACACTCGGCCGGGACAATGAAAAGAAATCGACAATGGGGGTTAATGCAAGGGGAAAGTCGGGGGGTATTGAGTGCACCTCCAGATTTTCTTAACAATGCCCCTGGGCTGTAATTCCTGCAAATACCGAGCGCAAACTGAATTATTTTATTATTGCAGCGAAGTGGTTTCGCGAGAAGCGGCGTGTAAAAAATGTATAAAAATGGCGCAGAGGAGATCATTACACGTGTCAGGGTGCGTTACTTACGTCCCATTATGCACCGCCATGCATCCCTGCACGCGGCTCTCGAAAGTGCATCTCGAGATATCTGCCCACGGGGTAGAAAAACCTCCAGTGAACGTTTGCCCGATACTTTTTACTGGCAGCTCGAACACTCGGAGGAGATACATAGAAATTTCCTCTTCATCCTGATTATTTGGCTTCGTATGCGGTCATTCAATGACGAAAGCTCGCTTTAATCGGAAGTCCTTTTCCCTTTTTTTCCGTGGTTCGGATTTCGGATACGAGGGAATTGTACCGTCATTAAAACAATAAATCCTTTCTCTCGTTTTTCCCGGCGTGCCCTTCCCTCGGGGGCAATTTTGATTCCAAAGCCACGAGGGCACCGGAGGCACCGGACGAGCGGAATCTTGCATTGCCCGCGTCTCCTCCCCTGGGCTGTAGCCTTTTAGTCGTAACCGTAAATGCAATGGACTAATTAAGGAAAGTCTTAGAGACAAACGCAAAGTAGCCTTTTCGATTCGCTCCCTCGGCTCCCTCGTCGAGCTCGAACGCGTCGCTGCAGTTTAATTGTACCGTGCGCTTCATTGTACCCGAATGCGATTCATCGGCAGCCGTTCAATAATGGCCCAAAGGAGAACCTACAAAACCTTTCGAGTCTAATGGCCCAATCCTTCCCAGCCCCGGCCTCGGAGCACGAGGCCGCAACTCACGAATCGGCCCGCGCAAATTGCGCTCACCTATCTTAATTAAAATCGCGAAACGGCGGCTTCCTTTTGCGTCTTGGTTCGACTTATTTCCGTGTTTACCCGCCCGCCTACCTAGAGTTGTACCACGAATCGGTTTCGCGAGCTACGGATGTCCCGACGTCGATCGCATCCGAACGCTTGGCCAAGGTTTCGGCTTCGAATTACTCCCGGCGCGATTCGACGGTGCTCGAGAAACAAAAGAAACCGATCGTCGGGATCCCTTGATATTCAAGGCGCGAGAAACATCCCAACTTTGAGACCTCGTAATAACTCGAGGAACTTCCGAACCCCGAGCTGTCTGTCCTCAACGCAACTTGCACCTTGCAACTTGCGAATCAGCCAGCGCAAATTCTAGTTCATGCCGCACTTGCCTATCTTAATTAAGATCCTGGCCCGCGCGAAACTACGACCGCATTTTGCGCTGTCTCCTCCCTGATGCCGACAGCGCGTCGTTGCGCTGCCGCGTTTCCTGGATACGGCGTCGCCGCGTTGCCTGGTTACGGCGTCCTGCGCCGTCGAGTCGAGGTTCCGCGCAACGGCGCTGCCGCGCTGTCGATGCAATCCGGTGACTAATATTTTTCCGGCGCCCCAAAACGAATCGCGGAATTCCGAATCGGCGCTTAGAAAAGATTTTTGTTCCAGATCGCCTATTGGCCCCACGGGAGGAGTTCCTAGCCCTCGTCACAATACCGGCGCAGTCTTCATGGCAGCACGCAGACTCGCTGCGCTTTTCGCCGCGGTACTGCAACTTTGTCTCTGTAAGTCCTCCCCTTTTTCTTCAAATGAATTGTATTTTTCCCTGCAAATCCTCGCCCTTCCCTGTGTGATCCTTTCATAATAGGCATATCCCATTACCCTCGCTCGTTACCCCCATTCTCCAAACTTCGTATCTCCCGTATTCTCGTCGCAACGATGTCCTGCCCCCGAACAATCCCGAAACACGTCCCGCGAAAAATCTTCTCCCAATTTTATTATCGCGAGTGAATTGAGAATTTCGCCGGAAGCCAGAGAACCGCATTCCAGAGAAGAAAGAGGCCGTTCTTCTGGCGGGACAGTCGTTATTAACGAACCGTTGGATTTGCATGGGATTCGTTAACGAAAGTCGAGCCTCTAAGCGAGAAAACGTTAATGCGATTTGCGCCGAAGGGAGAGAAGGGAGGAGAGAGAGAGAGAGAGAGACGGGAGAAAGCTCGGAAGAGAATTATTTCACTTTCCGCAGAGCCGCCGTTGGACAAAGTGAATTGATCCGAGCGACTGTGCAATTAGGGTCGCGGAGGCAGATATTTTTGCGGATCGGGGCCGGCCTAACGAAAAAACGAGTCGCGGTGGCTTTCTCGAACTAAGAATCGGCCATCTTGTCCAATTTCGCGAGGGCGGGGGCAAATCGCAAGACACCGCTGCGCGCGGCTGGCGAATTTACTCGCGCACTCGCGCAATTAAGTGCCCTCGGGTGGTGGATGGGTTTTTTAACGGTCCCTATCAGTCCGAAAAGCTTTGCCGTTATTCGCGGGCGCTTGGCCCCGTGGCTAACTAAATCAAGGCGGATTTAAGTGGATTCTGCAAACCCCACGGGTCCGAGGATGTATTACCCTTGTACGGCCGTTGCGGGGCGACGGCGCCGCATCGGGATCTCGTTCGAGAAACGCCCGGCTAATAAGTACGCATTGCCAGATAGCGCCGCGACGTATCTCTTGATATCTCGCCGAGAAATATTACGACGGTCCCCGAATGCCCGAGAAAGAAAGAAATATACTGACCCGACTCGCGTGGAGCTCTCCGATCGAGCCGCTGCGATTTCTCCGAATTCTTAGAATTCGATAAAAAAATTACGTGCACGCGTGTGGGGCATTTTATGAGGACGTATTACCTCCCCCAATTTAATACCCCAACGGGCTCGCCATGACATTCGACTTGCCCGTGATTTCCAACGTTATACAGTCCCGCCTTCCTTCGAACATAAAAGTGCGGCGACCCCTGCAATAAAGATTGCCCCTGTAGGTGGCATAAAATACAGTTCAGGATATTTCTTTAATACCTCGTGCCGCGTACATTTCTATCCGTATATCTGCCACGCGGAGACCCTCGGCGAAGGAAAAAAGACAGAGGAGCCACGAAGAGACCGGATACGTCGACTCGACCTTCGCTTTAATAATTGCGCCCATTCTGGCAAGTTCAAGTACATTTATTCTCCGACGAAGAACGAGAATTCGCGCGAAGGGACAGAAAGAGGGGGAAAAAAAAACAAAGACTCATTGTCGCCGTACCTCCCGGGAATAATTCCAAGGCGTTTAAAAGCTAGCTTTCTCCCCTCGACTCCAATCACCGGGTTTGGGGGGCGACTCGGCATAAAGGTGCAACCCAGGGGCGGTGTATGTGGCTCTAAAAAAGCAGTTCCGATGCGCCGGTCTCGCCCCTAAATAAAGAACGGTAGCGTCGCCGGTTTCTCCCTCTCTCGCCGCCGATCCGGCGCCTCGAAGTCTCTCGGAGACGTATCGGAAAAATAGCGAGTCGGCCCGATAAGATGGAAAAGGTGCCGCTGTCCGCTCCACTCTGCTCCGGGCCTCCGCGAGCTGCTGCAATCTGCCGCAACCTGCTGCAAGCTTCCGTCGGACTGCTCCGAGACGGAAGCTCCGGACTTCGCGGTCACTCCGGATTATGCTAACGAAACGATCCTCGTCGGAACGCTAAAGTACAGCTGAAATGGCGACGTTCTTCCATTTTCCGCGACGGATTCCTGACGGCGACCCGAAGGAGAGCTCGCCTCCAGTTTAAACACCGGGACGCCGGAGGAGATTCAAATTAATTTTCGAGCTCTCCCGGCAGCTCTTCGTTCTTCCCTCTTATTTCGAGAAGAAACAACCGTCCCGGCGTCCGGCTCTCCCGATCAGCGATTCGGTCCGGAGGATCGCACTTCCGACCAGGGTCGAATACCGCTTCAAAGAAACGTCCCGGGTCTCCTCTCGTCTTCCCTCCCTCTCTCTCTCTCTGTCGGATTTCCATTTAAGCCAAAATCAATAGGTGTGTCTCCCGATCTGATAAGTAGCTCGGGAGCGAGAGAGAGGCCCGGGAGCTCGGTACTCCCTGTAGCTATTCCGCGAGTCGAGGGGTAGCTACTTCCCTATTTTCAACGGGACTCGACCGACTGCGAGGGGGCGAGCTCTCCTCGATTGCTCGCGACCACTCGAATGATATCCTGGCCCATTTTATCGATTAAATTATCCGCAGGGCGTAATCCGGACCTACCGTAAACCGTGTCAACGATTAGTCTCTGCGGAAAGGGCACCGCGAAGGCCCTGCCTCGTCCGTCCTCCCATCTTTTCGTTATCGTGCCTCGAGTAAGATCGACGAAGGGACTTTCCGAGTCATTCCTCAAAATGAAACTAACAGCGGCTAACGGAAAGTTAATATCTTTTAACCTCTTGCGCTGGAAATTAATTGGCAGATGCCATCTCGACCTCGTCCGGAGAGTTACGGTCGATCCGGGTACGGCACGTCATTCCAGCGTAAGAGGTTAACGATATAATATTGGAATTATTCAGCCGATGATCCACGGAGTCGATTTTTCCGGGTAAAGTTTCCGTTAATGTCTCGTTGTGGAATTCGTTGCTCAGCTGGTCAGAGGAAATCTAAACCCGAATTATCCACGGTTCGTGGAACGGCAAACTTCGGAAGCTACATCGGAGAGCGCCCGGCAAAGAGTTAACGGAGATTAGGTATGCACCCCGATCTGATAAGTAGCTCGGAAAAAAGTCAGATTAAGAGCTTTATTCCGCAGGTGCTTTATCGAGTCGCAGGGGGTATCCACTTAAATGCCCACTTTTCTATTTTCCAGCTTCGTCTTCCGCCGCGGGAAGATGGAGGAGTCTCGCAAATTGCTTACGGGAGCTGGAATAATATCGAAGTGTCTCGTCGATTTAATTATCCGGACAACGTAATCCGGAGTTACCGCGAACTTTGCCCCGGCCCTCGGCGAATCGTGTCAAGAATTAATCCCCTCGTCTGGAAATAAAAATCCCGGATTCGCGTTACCGAGCTTATTACTACAATTATCCGGTTTATTAATACAAAAAGGAGGGAAGAAAGAGAGAAGGGTTTTCAGTCCGGAATTTTCCACGTTCCCGCTGGCGGGGGAAAAAGTTTGGAACCCCTAATAGAACTCGCCGGGTGCAGAAATTTTTCGGAATTAAATAGAGCCGCCGAATTACGTATAATTTGGCCACTCGGGTGAAAAGCACAAGGTGAAGAGTCGATGAAAATTATTTCCAGGTCTCCCGGTGACTATGGACCGGGGAAAGGGTTCGGAAATAAAGTTTTGAATATTTTTAATAATTCCGCCGAGATGGGCTTTTTTTCGATTTCCCTCCTTCGGCCGAGTCGACCGATATCGAGAGCCCGTCCCTCCCGCTTTCCGTCTTTCCGACTCTCGATAAAATTACTCCGGGGTAATCCGGCGTTGCGCTAAACAACGTCTCCGTTGCTTTGGCCTTCCAAACGGTAATTAATGGAGTTTCCTCTCGGGTCGTTCGTGCATTTCCCGGCATCTTCGCGAGCTATTCTTGCCTCCCAGGGATAGACGGGACTCCCTTTGTGAGTTTAGGCGAGTCCACGATCGAGCCGGTATTAACGTTTTCCCTTTGATCCCAGAGGGTACTCGCCTAAACGAACGAGTTAATCCAATTACAGATAGCTTCAATCGATTACTGCACTCAAAGTTTAACAACAATAATTATCGTCCAAGTACTCCCTCGACCGTTCAATTATGCCGAGAGCTCCGATCAAGAGGCTCGCATCCCCCGACGAGACTTTATCAACGTAGGGAGGCCGATAACGGGATGCCCAAATGAGGGAATTATTTTTTCAAATCGTCGGGCGCGAACATTACCGAATTGTAATTGCGACATACATACCGTGCGTTATATTCGTGCTCTACGATTACATCGTCGCATAAATATTCGGGGAAATTTCATTTGTATTCAATTAACGACGTCGAACGTTTTGCGCGAAATTGTAAATTTCGTGTGGACAGAAATTTCGGGGCACCGCCGGTTTCGTATTTCACGGGCAAAATATTTTCGAAGCGAATTTCCAAAATTTTGGGCCGGACGGGGCGGCAAAACGCGGCTCGAAGCCGGGAAAATTGAAGGAAAAATTAGAATTCCCTGGAAGCGCGGCCGAGAGAGTCGTAAACGTCCCGCGGAAGTGGCGGAGCGTCTTCGGATTACGATTGCGACTCAAGAATTTTTCCACTTATCGGCTCCGCCGCATGAACGCTTGCCGGAATTCGATAACGGGAATATGGCTGGTTTCGAGCTGATACGCGCCGGTGAATATTTAATCGACCATTGTTCGCCCCCGCATTCGCCGCCCTCGTTCGAAATCCGAACTCCGCGTTGCCGGCGGAACGTCTCGAAATTCGGCCGAGAATACGTAATCGTTTCGAGTCCGTTGACCGATGTGACACAGAGAATACGAACTTTCAGGTCAAAAATCGCCGCCGGTGGAGCCGGAATTCTTAGCACCTCTGGAGAACCATACCGTGGTCCAGGGGAGAGACGTGTACTTCACCTGCGTCGTCAATCACCTGCAATCGTACAAGGTACCGATAACTCGTCGATACTCTCGATCCTCTCGATCCTCGGTTGATCATTTTCGAGAAACGACGGACGGAGAGAAATTCGTGCCAGCCTTTGGGCGAGGTACGGGGACGGCGGAGGAGACGAAAAATTGTAATTCGCCCGGGACATGACAAAAGCGAGCGTAGCTGGCAAAGATCGAGGTGTATATCGGGCGACGCCATCGAGACCCTTCGGAAAACCGCCATCGAACGACCGTCGGCGCGTCCGTTGCGCGTCCTCCCGGCCGGGAAAGAGTATCTCGAATCTCGAGCACTTCTGCCGAACTTTACCGTACGGCCGGCAAACGTGGTCAAAGAGGTGCGCACGGCCGGAGTGGACGAACATTCGAGGATTCGAGACGCGCGCGTCGTTCCCCGTTCGGCCGAAATTAAAACGCCGTATCGTCGGGCGATTCGAGCGACGAGGGAACGGGAGCAACGGCTAGCTAAACCGCCGATCGACTCGGTTTCAGGTAGCCTGGATCAAGTCGGACTCGCGAGCGATCCTCGCCATTCAAAATCACATGGTGACCCACAATTCGCGACTCTCGGTCACTCACAACGGACACAACACGTGGAAGTTGCACGTATCGAACGTCCAGCGGAACGACTCCGGCACGTACATGTGCCAGGTGAACACCGACCCCATGCGCAGCCAGGTGAGCCACGGACGGAAAAAGTGCAAGCCACCCGACTAGGTTTCCCGAGTCGCGTCGGGAGCCTCCCTCCGATCGGCGAATTCATTTTTCTTCGCGCACGTTCGACTCGACCGGGAAGAGGGCGGACTCGATTCCCGTCCCGGGGTCGATCGACGCGTCGATTCCCAGGGGATTCCCAGGGGAACGTTTCGGCTCTCGGCGGGGGAGAATAAGCAGGGACGGGCCCGGAGGATTCCTCGTGGAATCTCTTTACGCCAAAGCGCGGTCGCGCGTGAGCGATATCCCGGCGGCTCCCCGGCGGCTCCCCGGCGGTTCCCCGGGAAGAAAGGGCAACGGGTCGCGAGATCGGAGGAGCACGTGCCGGTCCTCTCCTCCCCGCCCTCGAAACGGACGGGACCTGCCCGGTTCCCCGGGATCGACGCCTCTCGCTCTTTCCAGATGGGGTACATGGTCGTCCTGAAACCACCGGACATCGCGGACGACGAGTCGGCCAACGGCCTCGTGACGAAGGAGGGGGGCAACGTCAGGCTGCGGTGCGTGGCCACCGGGACCCCCGAGCCCAACGTCACCTGGCGCAGGGAGGACGGACAGAACTTCACTCTTCGAGGAGAGGGAGTCAAGCAGTGTAAGACGTTCCGAGCCGTTCGACGCGGCGCGAAGCTCGCGAAAAATGGAAATTCGGTTTCCCGGGAATTTACCGCGGCGCGGAAAACCGAATCAACTTGCTCCCGGGCCGTACCCCTGTCGCGGCCTCCGTGTATCCACGCAATTTAAGTTGACTCAAACCGCCCCGGCCGTTTTGTCGGTTCCCTCGCGACCGCCCGCGAGGAAGGTTCCTTCGGAGCGATCGGCGAAAATACCGGAAGCGGACAGGATTTCGGGTCCGTCCCTTCCTAAGGTGGGCCGCGGCCGGAAACTTTTCCCGGGGGCGGGTCGAGGAATTCCCCGGCGAGTTCTCGAGAAGCCGGGATTCCTCCCGGACGGCGAGACGCGTCCTGCCGATCACGGGAGGGTCGGGTTCGTTGTCTTTGGGTCATAAACCGTGGCCGGGAGAGGCGAGGGTGGGGAATCGGCGTCGTGACGGAAAACACTTCGGAAACACTTTCCTCCGATCGTAATTCCTCGACGGTCCCTTCGCCCCTACGGGAAGCGCTCCGAGCTCTTCCCTCCCGTGTCCGTAAAAGCGACATTCCTTCGTCCCGGGGACTCGTTAATGCAATTCCTCCTCGGAGTGGCGTTCCTCTCGTCGATTCGGCGCCTCGGCAAGATCCCGCGTTAATTCCGAAGGGCGAACGGATAACCGGCCGGGGAAAGGGCATAAAGTCCCGGACCCGACTCCGGGACTCCCGATCGCGAGGGCGGGAAGGACCTACGGGAAAAAATCGAGCGCATTAATCGCGACTCACGGAGAGCGATCCCCTTTTTACAGCCGTCAAGACTTACGAGGGGGAGATCCTGGAGCTGACGGGGGTGCTTCGACAGGAGATGGGGACCTATCTCTGCATCGCGAGCAACGGGATACCACCGACGGTCAGCAAGCGGTACTCCGTTCAGGTCACTTGTGAGTAAATTCGTTAGACGGGTAGGTCGGTAGATATCCTCGATGACTCGTTGGGCGGAGATGGACCGATACTCGGATGTTTCCCTTCAGTTCCACCGCTGATCAAGGTGAACAACCAACTGGTGGTGGCGCCGATCAACAGCGACGTGACGTTGCAGTGTCACGTCGAGGCTTCGCCGCATGCTCTGAACACCTGGCTCAGGGACACGGGTGAGAAGAAACCGAGATATCCGTCGACCGATCAAAAGTTATCCCCGCGGCGTAACGATACTTTAATTCGCTTCAGGGACGAAGTTGTTGCACAGCGACGTGTACTCGATGGCGGAGGCTGCCCTGAGCGAGTACTCCTGGGTGATGAACCTGACGGTCAAGAGGATCGAGAAGCACGACTTCGGGGGGTACATCTGCTCCTCCGTGAACGCCCTCGGAAGGGCGGAGGGCAGCGTGCACCTGCAAGGTGATCCACCTTCGCCGTCCCTGTCCGTCGACGAGTCGATCGTCGATATTTACGGGGCCGACGCTTCGTTTCAGAGCTGCATCCCGCGAAGACGACGCCGGGCACGTGGACGAGGAACCCGGACCTCGAGCCCAGGAGAAAGCCCGAGAAGGGCAGGAAAAAGAACCGACGTCCCCCCGGGGAGAGATTCGACAACGGGGAGAGGTTCTTCCCGGAGGACGACCTCGGGACGACGCAGATCATGGGCGGCAGCACGCAAGAGGGTCAACGCACGGAGAGGCCCCTGACGATACCCTCCATGTCCCCCCCGTTGGTCGCCGCCAACGCCGCGAACTCGCGAAAGTTCTTCTTGCCGCGAATGGTCGTGCTTCTGTTGCCGCTCGCCACGGCGCTGTAAATGGGTCTCCCCGAGGAAAGGAACGAGACGGCCCGCTTCGAGGGATCCCGAGGAGAAAGAGACCCCTCTCGATGGGACGAGTTCGTCGTTAACTGGACGTAACGTTCAGGGAGCTAGGAAATAGGGAAAGAAGACGAAGGATCCCGAATTCGGGTAATAGAGTATTTATTATTCGGGCGAACAACGACTAACGCGAAGGACTGGCCACGGAGGGACGCCGAGTCGCTCGAAACGGGTCTTCCTCGAATTCGAAATAACGATCGCGTTTTGAGAGGAGGATGTCGAGGGACGACGGAGGGCTCGTGTAAATAGGCAGAGAAAGAGAAGGGGGCGTTGCCGGGCTTAGAAAAAATTAGGTTCGTTTAGGGAAATTCGGCGAGGTGACGGGGTGATTCCGGCGATTTTCCGTAGGTCCTTCGTTTGCGAGTAATCAAATAAACGAAATGAAAACGGGAACGCGGGGCCGGCTGCGATGACTGCGCAACGACGCTGGACTGTCGACTTAGAATCCATCGTTTACTTCTCACGTCGTCGCGGTTGCCTCGAATTCAACGGAGAACGACCCGCTCGCGTCTCCTCGACCGTTGAAATCCCACTCCGACGTGAATACAAAATGGCGAACGGAGTAATCGCTCACGGGTGCGCAAAATTAGCACCGCGCCAGAGGCGGACGACTTTGTCATATCTTTCGAAGAGGCAGGAGTTCCCGTGCACGCAATCACGCGATATGTAACCGATCACGCCGACGAACCGTGTATTCTTCCAAGACGTTCTTCCAATATTTTCATCGTTTCCATCATTAGACGGAAATTCTATTTTTTATATCGAGAAGTAAAGGGAGGAAAGGGGGAAACGATAGATGCGCCCTGCTCCCTTGCGATTTCGCCCTCGGAATTTCTATCCGAGGTTCAGGGATTCTTATGAAACACCAGGAACGCGTACACCCACCGCGCTTACGTTGGGGAGAGGTCTTCGGAGGCTGGGGATGCCCTGCCATCTTGGATGTTAATGTATGCAAATAGTAACAAATCCCTTCAAATTACAGCGTATAATCCTTATTGAACTCGGTGGGCGAGCTAAGGTGCCAATTATCGATCGATGTGGCGGGAAGACGAAGGATTATTTCGCTCGACGATGTTCCTGCTGATCGTTATCATTAGGCACGGTACGCGGCGACTAATTGCCCCGAGCAATTGCGTGGCGGGCCGCCGTTGTAACGCAGGCGCCAAGTCGGCAGAACTTGACCGTACGATGCTTTGCATCTGGCGAATGAGTGCCGCTCAGGTGTTCCTTCTTTCCAACGCTACGTCGTCGTTCGATCGTTCGATCTTTGGCCGAGCGCGTAAACCGACGACTGATCGTTATCGGCACTCGATACGCGAAAAGTAATCCAACGAGATGACAAGGGTGTAATTAGAAAATCGCCAGCGCCGATCAAGGCTCGTGGCCGCGGCACGAGGAAAAGACCCGTTCTTTTCCTTTCATACGAACTTATCGATTATCCCTTTTCGCTTAGTTTCGATGCGATTTACTCTCGAAGACTATCCGAACCGAACTGATCCGCAGGAACGCAGCATTTTTTCCTCGTTCTGCATGCTAATTGTTATTTAATAGTAACGACGATAGGTTTTTAATGAATTAAGTTATCTAATATTACGTAACGATAATAACGATAGGCTTTAACGATTAAGTTAACGAATCGGTGAATAAGAGACAGGGTTGACGAGGACGAAACTTCGGCTTCTACCGTATGTTTTATATGGAAAGAGTATTTTAAGTACAGCTTCGATATGAATAAAATTTCCAGAGGAGTGCATTAAAGCTACCCTCGTGTTGTATTAAATATTCGGTTACGCGATTATCGTCCCAAAATTTAAAGTCTAGCAACTTTCGCAAACGGTTCGGTATACCGTAGGATTAATTGTAATAAATTTAAGTATATTCGTTATTTCGAAGATAACGAAGATATTTCTTGTTGCTGTATTATTTTTCATATCACCGGATTTAACGTTCGTTATTGTTGAATATGAAATACCGTTTAATATTTAATTTGTTAAAATACGGTAGGTGTAAAATATTTCTAACGATCGACCGAATTTTGAGGAAATATAAGATTCCATGTACAGTGTCAACCCTGAAACATCGTTAGCGAAACTTTAATACTGACGAAAAATCATGAAAATCGAAGCCGGAGGACGAAATGCGCTGGAGGTACGCAATTTTCCAAAAGTACTAACAGCCCGAAGAGATACCGAATTCTATGAAAAAACTAACGTTACGATCGATCGTGATCATGGGCAGCGTAGGAGCTAAGACAATAAATCTAATATAGTCATTCCCAAGATTATTTGAGACCTACTACAATTAAGAGAAGCTCACTGGAAACCTAAAGCAATGTTTTGCGCCAAAAATGAAGCATTTTTCTCATTTTAAATTGCGACACGAATGAATGACGTTATCAAATAAATTAAAAACCGCTAGACTTAAGTTATTAAAAATTCCCAAGGTGTTATAGACTTAATTAATATTGTAAAAAGGAACGCAGTAGTCTTTTCACGGTGTACAAATCCATATATAGTTATGTCAAAGTGGCGGATTGCACTCCAGTGAGCTGTTTAAAATGACGAAGCAGCTTGAGCCTCTGCACTCATTCAGCCTTCAAATGAGTACTTTACGGATAGATATTAATTCGAAGGACCGGCGAATTTATTGAAGATAAAAATATATATATATGGCAACGACACATATGAGTCATGTAGGACCACGTTTAATGTACATACACCGGTATACATACGTATTATCTAATCGTGTAAATATCGTAAAATAATTGAGTGTTGAGCTCGTTTAACGGCATGATCGGTTAACGAAACTTGCCAATTGGTTACATTAAACGAGACTAGATTTTATATGCGACACGGAGTGTAACATAATAGAAAGGCTGGAAGAATCGGTCGGCATTGACGATGTACTTACGTAGATTCTGACACACACGCAATTGTGGATACATATGGATAATGATAATAACTCCACGCAGAATAATGACCGCTTGCGAAAAAGCTTTTTACGACAACGGAGTTTTGTTGGCGTTAAAAAAAAAATGTCTTCTGGAGTTTCGTTATTTCGTTACATTACGAGCTTCGTGTTTCGTGCTCATACAACGACCGATTACGTTAAAGGGAAAGAACGCAAACTCGGTACCGCGTTCGGTACGCCCTTTATGAGTCGATAAATCGATGAGCCATCGAATGTATCGGTAGAGCTGAAATTTTTCTATAAGAGCGATTTTGCAACGCTGAAATTTATACGTAAATAACACGTATTTAGACGTAAATCGTTCGAGTTGGACTAATCCGAAATACGTACACTGGCGGACGCGAATGCCTTCCTCAAAGGTATGGTAAAAGGGATGGCATTCGTGTCCATCGGTGTACATGTACTCGAGATACAGAATTTTCTAAGTTGGGTTTATTTCGGACTTCCGTTTTATCAAATTTCGAATTTGTACGACTGGAAACAGTGAATGAAGTAATAATTAATATATAATTTTTAAGTAAAACCACCCATAAAGTGATTTGTGATGCGAAAAGCATATGATGTATGATACTATTAACTTCAGACAATAAAATGTTATTATCGATGTTACATTACACTTGTGCATAGTGTATTTGTCTTTCAATCGATATTCCTTAGATTTTATTAATTCACTTGTTTATGTAATTCCAATTTCATTTGCTTAGTCGATTCTCTTAGAAAGTTTGAGCGAAACATGACAATATTCTGTTCACTGAATTTATAAAATAATAATTAATCTCGGACACCTTAACGTTTGAATATTCTCTCATAAATAAAAATTTCTTTATCACGTACACACTCTGTCGATAATTATGAAACAGAGATGAGTGTATGAAGTCTTTTTATTGGCCCTGCTACGAGTTTCCGTTTTCCTCCACTAGAGTGCACCCTATCGGTATTCTCACAACCTATACGAATTTCTCCATTCCGCTCTAAGATTAAATGACTACTTGTCCCGATATCGATAAAACTTTTAATAGAGACGCATCTCTAATGACTGATCGATTTCATCAAACTGAATTCTCACCTCCGATATTGCTTCATTTTCATCGTCTTCTGTGATATAATTATGTTTAAGCGGGAACAAACAGAACCGTGCATGCCCGAATACGCGGGTGTCTACACTGGTCTACACCGAGTAGCGCAGAGCAGCGTTCGTAAACTGCTCTCGAGAAGCCACCACGTGACTCGGTTAACCAAGATGGCGTCTACTAGTCCGTTGAGCGTCTCTCTCTCTCTCTCTGTGCCTTTACTGAAAAATAATTAAAAATCAAAGGACGCCTTGGGAGATTGCAGAAGAGGCGACTAGATGTGACCGTATATTGGTAAAAAATTATTATTTTCCGCCATTGCGGAAAGCTTCCTTGGTAATGCAGTTGAATATCAAAGGTAGAAAAGTTACGATTTGTTTGACAGGTGAGCGGATCGAGGGATAAGCAACTTTGCTGTGTATGCAGCGCTTGTGCATATGAACCACGGTGGTGTGAACAGTGTTTTCACGTGAACGCTCCTTCCCCGGATCGGCATGGATTGATAATCGATTTATTTGTACACGCGGCACTCGATATTATTAATGTCGACCACGTCCCGCGAAGATGCTCCTGCTGCTGCCTCGGCATGCTCTTACAGGGGAGTAAATGGCAACAACATCAGCCTCGAGGAGAAAAGGTCGGCAACATTGAGCACTGGCTCTAACTGTATGATAAAGTTTGTCTTGCGCAGCAATTGTGCCGGGGGAACGTTAACCAGCCTTGCACTACCTTGTTTAACTTTATTATTGTGGAGTACGTTTGAAAACTTGGTGCCAGTCGCGGTGTCAGGAATCCTAATCGCGCTGCAATTAAAATACGGAACCGAATCTACTTGTACAGGTTTGCGTTTTAACTGATTCTCTAAAGCTTAAATTTGTGTATTATCCCTTTTTATTAACCGTCGATTAACCATTTACCGTGTAGACACGTTAACGGTTGTCCAGTCGGTAGGAGTACAAATTATTAGCAAGAAAGGATTTCTTTCTTTCGACTCTAGCCAGTTTTTGCCCTGGTGCACCATACAGGACGTATTCATCAATGAGGTTATAACAGGGGTATGTATGATTAAAAAAAAAATGAAGATTTTTCCATTGTTACTAACAATGTTTCATTTTAGCAAAGAGTATTATATTATTTAACATTCTTGATCAAAGAATCGGTCGAGGGCAAAGAAGTGACTAGGTTAGTTCCTTTATTTCGAGAGTGCAAACCCGAAAGAAAATGCCTGGAATACATGTACGCACGGTTGGCCAATTTGATTGGCTCAAAAAAGAGAACGAACCTGCCTTGACTATTCCTGGATCTTATTGGTTATGCCACAAAAGTAGTATCTATAAGTTTACCTTCAAGTATCAACGGTCAACAAAGTATGTAACATTTTTTTAATTTATTCTCTATAATTATAAAAATATTTATCGATCGCACTCTTTTCAGAAATGACGAACAATTCACATATGGAAGAGAACTAATGCTGATTATAAGAAGGATCATAAAATGCCAGCCGCGACAAGGTCAACAGTTTGGCACTCGTCACCTTCTTGTAACTTACAGTATCCTTTAATCATATTTTATTACTTAAAAGTATACTACCACACCTTCCATGCTATAATTTATATTCCTATACCAAACATAGACAATACACTTTGGACACGCCAAGATAAAATGTTCGCTATGGTCAAGTTTAAAACTCGACCGGAAGCAGTAACATTTCCTCGTGCATTTGTTCTTACTATAAAAATAGCAGATCCTTCGGAAACTACGACATCCAGCTTAGATGGTACAGGATCAAGTAATAATGGTAGTTTTCGCAACACTGACTTTCAGAAAACGGTGTCCCAAGAATGGAACGGGAAACTCACTCCGGAAGACGCGATTGAATTCAATTCAGAAACATATACATCTTCAAACAATTACAAAACTTCATATGTATATAAGGCGAACACTGACATATTAAGCTCAAGCACGGAAAGTGATCACATAGAAAAAGCTTCATTTATATCCAGCAACAATAACGGCACGGTATCTTGGCTAGGGTCTCCTACAGTTAGAAGTACTACAATGGATAATATAAACGGTCACAGCGATGATCTGGAAGAACTTGAAATGAATGCAAATAGTAACGTCGATGGAATTGAAGAGACGTCCACTCGAAAGAATTTTATTAGCGTTTTAAATAAAATCAGTAATGGTTCGTTGTGTGAAGAAAAGGTTGATAAGATTCAAAGTAATGACAATTACATTAGTAAAAAAATATCTGTACAACGTGAAGATAAGGAAGACCCGTTTAACACATTTAATTCGCCTTCGAACAGCGCTAAACAGCATAAGAAATCGAATGATTTTCGCAGAAATGCCGAAGAATCGGATAAGGAGAAATTCAGACCATCGAAAAAGATAAAAACAACGCGTTTCAATGATCTCGAAGAATTACCTTTATTAGAAAGATATCTTCTGGAACAAGTAACCGATGATCGAAATAGAATAGCTGTCACGGATGACCGTAGCGATGGTAATGCTGACAAAGTTGAATCACCAACCATGGATTCGGCAAATTTACCGTACCAGTACATTATTGAAAAAGAAATAGAGAACTCTGAAAGTAACATGTGCCCCTCGATTAAAAATACATTGTCTCCGATCTGCCATTCTAATGAGACATTTGAATCGCCTTCACTGGCAACCCCTATTAATGCAAATAATTTAGAAAGTTCATCCAATAATGATCAATGCTTAGAATATTTAAAAGAAGGCACATCATATCCCGACAACGATAAAGAAGCAATTGAAATGGCTAGAAATGAAAAAGAAAATAATTGTACGGTTCCGTTGGCCGTAACGGAACGAAGTATTAACGACACCGCTTCTCCGATTCCGAGATCAACGAGACCATCTCCATTCAAACGCTCTCGATCTCGATCTTCCAAAATTGGCAATTATCGCAACAAAGAGGAAAAAACTGGTACCGAACAAAATGGAGATACGAATGGTACTTTACGATCGTCCGATATCACTGATCTCGTAATGGAGGGTTTGATGTTTACCATTAGACAAGGCAGAGACAGCGTAACAGTTGTTGAACAGAGAACAAAGCTCGAGATGGACGAGGTGCTGGAAAATTCCGAGAAAGCCGAGACCAAGGAAGGAGAAAAATGTCTTCTCAATTCGAGTCTTCTGCGATTAGAGAACCTTATTACCAGAATCGATATGCCAGGAGGTACGGACAATACGCGGCATAAAACCGTGTCTTCCCCCCTGGAAGAAATTTTGAAGCTAACGCCATCGAATAACGAAAACTTTGCAATGAATAAGGCGCGTAATTTCTTGGAATCAACGGAAACACCAAAGGTCGTCCCGATGCAAGATCCTTTGACCCCGAATCCTTCGGTATCTCAAAATATCGGAAATGGACTCGACAACCCTCGGTCAAAAATTCTTACGAAAAGGAGGCGACGCCAAATGCAATTACCTGAACGACCACTGAGGTCTAGCGTGAGAAACCTCCGGCGCAGCTCCGAGGTAAATTCGTCCGAAAAGAAATTCTGCGTTAGCCAGCCATCGAAAAAAGTTACAGCTTCGGCAGAGGTTTCGAATACACCCGAAAAATCGGCGAATTTGTCATCGAAACGAAAGAGCACGAAAATAGCAAAAAGGAAACAGGCATCGGGGGAAACGAATGAGAGTAAGAATGTTCGCGAACAGACAATTCAGGAATGCGACGGAGATCAATTGGCTGATAATAAAATGCCAATGGATACGAGCGAGACGTTAATGGAGACGGAAAAGGATAACGAAGAAGGAACGGATTTTGATCACGAGGAAGACGAAGACATTATACCAGAATTTCTTCAACACGAACCCTCGCACTCTGGAGGCCCCATTGACTTACTCATGGATGACATCGATCCGAAAGAAGAAGAGTTGGACTATGTTACGGCTTTACAGGAAGACGGAATTAATGTATCGCAGAAACCTATGTTACCTGAAACGTGTAATAAAGAAAACTCTTTATTATCGCAAGATAATAACTCGACTGGGAACGAGAATGAACAGTCATTGAATGCAGATCAAACATTACTTGAAAAAAAAAACAATTCTGTACGTAAACGTCTTTCGGAAACACCACGGGTCGTATCGAACAAGCTCATAACCGATGATCAAATTCCACTGGCCCTCCAAAGGGTTTTAAAAAATAAAATAATTAAACGCAGAACCGTTAGTGTTTCTTCTGATGGATCTTCCATGCTTCCCGTTGAATGCGAATCTGCTGGTAATATTTCACCGAACACCCCAAAGCCGATGCTTGACGAAATGCGAAACGACGAATGTGAATCTTCACCTTCACAAAATATTTCCGATGATACAAAATCAAAGAGTACGTATCCAAATGCTCAAAGTGAAGATCATGTTGATATAAAGGAATCCACAGTCACCCCAGCAGAAAGACTTAACGAATCGGAGAAGAATACTTCAAACAAAGATTCATCTACTACAAGTACACTGATTTCAACCGAAGATTCATTGCGTAAATTATCAGAAAGAAGAGACATCACGGAGGAATTCTATAGAGAGTTAAACGAAGATATACAACAAAGGAAACATGGTGATCCTGCTAAAAAGAAGCTCAGGTTACGAAAACGCACATCGGATACTAGTGGAAGAAGCATTAAAAGCGAAGAGCTCACAGTTGAAATGTGGAAATTGGTTCACGATATTACACGTGGTGCCAGAGTGGTTGTGACACGTATGGATGTAATAAAAACGCCTAAAGTATCGTAGTACCCTACTTTTAACTCCGCAAGGTAACGAGTTCTTTGTCAGAGGTGCAGAATACTCGAAAATGTTTTTACAAAAAGTTGATCACTCGTTTTTGCTCGCTGCATCTTAATGACAAGAAATAAGCGATAAAGAAGCAGCAGCAACCGAGATCTTTATCGACACGCAGCGTTTGTTTAATTGTTGCTAGAAAAATGTAGGTACACAAAATATTCTTCATGGTTCTTCAGTGGATGTTCAAAAACGTCATGTCGCTTAGTCTTATCACCTACTGTACAGTTTCATTTAGTTAATATCGTAAACTTTATAAAAATGGTAAAGACTGGTTATGTATTTTCTGAGTTATAAGACCTCACATAAGTAGACTTAATAATGGTCACAAACACTAACCGAATGTATTTTCACCTATATTTCATTTATTTAGGCTTATGGTACTCTACTTCAGATTTTTTGCATCGTTAAGTGCGATTAGCATACTCGTTAAGAATTCAAATAAACTTATTCATTTATCCTGTGAATTAATTTCCAAACACCCATAACATAAAACTATTTAAGAAGCTTACTTATTTCACCCTGTTTATCGTTTTCTATCTGCTCGAGAATATTTTTGAGATCGTTAACTTTATCGGCAACATTTGCCAGCTTATTCAAATCGGCTTGCATACACAATTTATTATACTTAACATTTTCCTGCAACATTTTAATATACCCTTTTTGTTCCTCCGATAACATTGCCGTCTCAAGAGAATCTATCGATTTAAGTGCTACAGGTTCCACCTGTAAAATGGATTGGTTAAACCTAAATTGGACATATTTACCTGTACACAAGTATTAAAAAAAAGTCAAATCGATGCATTACACAAATCGCTGTCCTAAGTTTAAGACACTTGGTAAGTTCGTCGGCACATTGAACGGGATATCGTTCACGAGCATCGCACACTTCGAGGACCGCATCTTCGCACTGCTCCTCGAGTTCGTCTAGAAAAGAAACTGTTTACTAGGACATCCGAAATATAAAAGAAATAAAAAATGAACCTCAAACTAAAAAACCTCAATTACTGATAACATATAAATAAGAAAAACACGTACCCATAAATACAGAACGGTCCAACCTTCAATTCAATTCAAACGTCATAAACACAAAACCGACTTAACGAAAGTTTGAAAATCGATCATAGACAATGCAGATGAATGGAGAACTCTAGTCGATAAAGAAGTTCCAAAAAACAAGTATCCGTCTACGAAAAGTTCCTCCCAGTTCCTCCAGAAGACAGCACGAGCTCTCGTGCTCTCACCAGAGATGAATTGGGAGATTCACGGGAAGGATCGAGCGGCCGCGTCCTGTGCGACCTCAGGTGGAGGATGCAGACGGCTAATGCACTTGCCACCCGATATCCCCCCAACTCCTCTCGGGAGGATCGCGACGGTGTCGCCACCGGCGGCGATCGGAAAAAGCGCTCGGCCCTCGGCGTCCGGCGGCTCGTCCGCGCGTCGTCAACATTCGTGGATACTCGATGTCCTGCCGAGTCCGCCGTGCAGGGTCCTGGCAGCGTCGTCTCGCCTGGTCTCGCCGCATGCGCACGCAGATCTCGATTCGGCGTTCGAGGTTCGAGAGAATTTGAAAAGCGAAGCAGGCGTCCGCTCGCCGGGGGTTAAGCGAGGAGGGACTCGTCTCGCGGAGTTTCGCGTCGACGGCCACGGGAGTGGCGCTCTCGCGAAGATCGCGGCCCGCACCTCCGATGTCCAGGGTCAACCTCTGACCGATGCGCGCCTCTGACTCGACGGGCCCGCAGGAATCATGCAGCGAAGTGGTAAGTAGAAGCCCCGGGTTGGCGCGTTCGACCGAGGGACCTGCGAGTGAGTCCGCGAAGGGACAACCATTTTGAAGGCGCCAAACAGCGCCAAATATCCGCGTCGCACGACCGGTCAATACGGCCTGACCTAACCTATATCGGGCGCGCGCCGCGCCGAGAGAACGCGCCAATTTGGCCACACGATGCGAGATACGGGCCTGGACGTGCCTCCCCGACCCGACTCGACTCGACACTCCAGAAATTAGCGAGACCACCGCGAAGACGCTTTTTAAGGAATTTTTGCGAAAATGGAAGCCCCCGACCTCGGCACGCTTGACCCACGTCCCAGGAGTGTCGCGTCGGCCGCGGCGAGATCGATTGGCAAGTGTTTTGGAGAATCGAGGCGTCCTTTCGGAAGTAAACATCGCTCCTCCGTCAAACCGCCGGAGACCGGGGTGGACGTGGGATTTTTTTATATCGTATCCTATTTCACCTTTTATCCCCGTTTCCTGGGAAGTTCCGTTCCGCGCAAATGACGGCGTCTCTAAAATCGGGAAATTTCGTTCACTCGAAAAGCCGGCGATCGTTGCCGTCAAACCGGGTTTTATTTCGGGATGGCGCGTTCGGTAGGAACGGAAATCTGCATGCAATTTGTAATTGAAAGAAAATTGAGACAAAACGTGGAAAACGTCCGCGCGGACAGAGTCTAGATCGTTCCTCGTGAGTAATTTACGATCGGACGCGGGTCACGCGACGCTAATGGGCTGCCATTGTTTTTCGGGAAATCGGAAAGTCGGGCAAATCATTGGGCAAATTACATGTACCGGGCACGCGCGGGGTAGGGTCCAATTAAACGCGGAATTAGCGACACGCCTCCGCGTAAGCGCGAGAAACGAGGACGGTATCTTGGAATACGAATAACCCTAAGTGCGGAGTGACGCAACGACGGGCACCATAAATAGGACTATGTTCGTACGACCCCGCCGTTACCCCGGAACTTTTCTTTTTTTTCCTAATTATTGGGATTTTGTAAAGTCCGCGACTCGTCGTCGGACGGCACCGGGTAACCGGCCCGCGGCACGATTTAACGATACCGCCCCTTCGAATAAGTGCGAGCTTACATTCGCTCGTTTTATTTACGGCGGCACTTGCAGCGAGCTCCAATTACCATAGATGCCCCAGCCGATGCATCGGCGAGATTAACTAAGCGGGAACTCCGAGCACTCGTTTCGGGACGGCTACGAAATTCCCGATAGCATCGCCGAGAGGAAAAAGGAGTTTATGCAACGGAATCGTCCACGGTCGGCCGAGTGTCGACGAATGGCAGGAGATAATTAATGGGGCTGGACAGGGCGGATGAAAATATTTCCCGCGATTATCCCCGACATCCAAAGACTAACAATCGACTCGCGGGTTTTAAATAGTACTTCGGACTATATGACGTATTATCACCGGTCGCGTTGTTATATATCGAAATGCCCCGTGAGCTTTAAGGTGCCTCTTCGAAGAATTAATTTCGACTTCGTTTTGACCCGGAGAATGGCCGGAACGATACCGTGTCCGCGTGCGTAACAAAGTATCAGCTCTCGCGTAACTTTACCCCGTTAACCTCCACGGGTCGGTAGAAACCGCTTATGTCGGTTACACGCTTCGCGTCCGATTGCGTAAAACTTGGGAGAAATTCGCCCCGAGTTCACCCCTGTGTCATCTCGCGAAGAATTTCTCGGATCGTTTCGACGTCTTGCTCTTCGGTCGGGGGTACATCGGAGATCGTCCGGACGATTCGGGACGGTTATCCGACGACGACTGGCCGAATAAAAAAAAATGTCTAAAACGGAGATCGCGGGATCGTAGCCCGTACAATTTGCGGCATTGACCTTCCTCCGTTGAGCGCCGATCCGTTCGCTCCTCCCGGGTCGCCGATCCACTTGGTATGCTCGTCGGACGATCAATTTACGAGATTCTCGGAAGAATTCCCGCGACGATCCTGAAATACGCTCGCAGGGGCGAGACACCCCGGAATCGACTCGACGCGTACGTACGCAAAAATGTGGACAAAATAATGATTCGCCGACCGTCGTAGGCACGCGGTTTTCGACTAAAATAAAATATACCGCGGATGGTATTAAAGGGTAAACTCGAACACCCGAGAAACCCATAAAAAATATTTCGAATCAACGGGCTCGTATAAATATAATCGCGGACGTTAAAGAGGACTCGGCGTAACTATTTTATAGAGTCGGAGTTATCTTATCCTGGCACGTGTAGATATTCGCGCGGAAGAGCAGCAACGACCCGGATGATATTGCTCCGCTGACGTTCTCGACAAGGTCCGCAATTTCTGAAGCGCCGTTATCGGGATGCGTAATTTGAATCGCGAGTCCAATTTTAGAACCTCCTCGTTTAATTTCCGGAAATTGGATTTCGGGTTTATTTTTAGTGCGCTGCATTCTCCGTCGCGATCGGTGCGTCGGCAAGGCCTACCCTCCCGCGCCATTGTATACATGCCTCGGGGCGTCGACTCGATTTTTCCCAGCTCAAAGGGGTGCGGAGACGCGCCTTGTACCCGGCGAGCCGCATCTGGAATTTCGTAGACGAATTTAGCCCCGCGCGGGCTCGGAAGGACCCTTTGTTATTTTTATAATCGCCGAGTCTCGATATCGCCATTGTCCTTTGTTTCGCGCTTTGCACAGCGCGCGGTGCCCCGGGGACAGTCGTTAAATTAAATACCGCGGATAATTTCTCCTCTTCCTCGAACAGTCCCGTAAAACCGATTTCTTGTTTCGAGAATATCAAAGCTGTCGTCCGTTAAAAAAAATTTCTTCCGTGTACAAAATTCATCCCACCCTCGCCGATTTATTTATAGGACGCGGTTTTTAATTTTCCAATGTAGGTTAAACAATTTTCAACGAAGCGGGACGGAATACGAAACTCGTTCGGAAATTCACAAATATTGCTCCCTAATTTAAATCGTCGGATAAAAACGGATAATTTTGGTATAACGTTGTATGGCAAAAATATACGAAATTTACAATCCGTTTCGGAGAAATATCTCGTTTTTCGTGAAATCAATTTTGTTCGTTTTTTTTTTTTTAGATTTTTTATCGAAGCATTTGTTTATTTGAATTTTTCCGTTCGCGGAGACGGGCCGAGGTGGCAGTCGATGCACGGAGTCGATACGCCTCTTTCCGTGCGTGCCGGAGTATTTACCGTTTATACAGTCTTTCACCTGGGTCGATTCTTAAGTCGCGACGAGGAGGAGACGAGGAGGAGACGAGGGGGAGAAGACGTTGGAATCGTATCGCACTCGAGGGATAGGTGCACGCTCCTCCTGGGCCGCGGATACCCACCGAGGGGATACGCACATGTGCACTTACGCGACAGCGGAACAGGGGAAAGACTTTAGTGCAGCTTCTGTGTTCGACCCGCGAGCCTCGCGAGAGCCGCGATTTCCGATCGGCCGGAGCTCGGGACCGAGAAGACCGATCCGGTTTCTGCTTCGTGGATACCCCCTGTATCTCGAAAGTCCGCGACTGCAACCCTCGATCGTGCAACGACCCTTGGCGAAAGTGCGGAAACTCGAGAACAAAAAATCTGCTCGTAGGAGTTTCTTTTGCCGGTGACCAGTGATCGGGAAAGGTGAAAGGGAAAGTTTGCCGAATGAGGAAGAGTTTTGGAAATATTTCTAAAGTGGTATCGGGAACGGTGATTTTTTTGTTTCGTTCAAAGGAGAATCGCAATTACGTCGATCGAGGGCCCTCGCGAGAACGGCTCTTTGTTGGATCGATTAAACGGGGTCGAAGAGTTTCAACCTGAGAGGCCCGGAATGTCGGGGGATTTTAATCTCGGTTTGCGACGGACACCTTCGGGACGAATAAAAGATTAAAGCGTGGTTCGTTCGGGGCGGGGCTGGGGCGCCCGAAAGGGTCGACCGTCGACCGGGATTACGGTTATTACTATCAATGGCTGGTCGTCTAAACATTTCCGATCCTCGTTGTTCAACGTGGCGCCGGATGCCGATCGCTGTCGACGCCGTGGATTGGCTCGCCCCGCCCTCGCTGTACGCGAGAAGAAATAATTCCGTTTTCTTTCCTTTGGATATCTAACGATTTCGATGGATTTTTAATACCTTTGACGCGGGTGACGTACGATATCAATTTTTACGATATTTATATCGCGAACGTTTACTCGGGGTTTCGTTTTCACTTGTACCGGGAAGTTTCCTTTCGATTCGGGCTTCCAGTTCCAGAGCGAAAACGTTCTCTCCCGGCTCGACCCGAGCGGAATTTCGGTCAAAGACCCGCGATGATATCGGCCGATCCACGTAATTCCGACATTCTGCGCGCACTCCGAGAGTGTCCACGTCCTCGGATGATCCGATTAACGAGTCCACTGGCTTTCCACAGTTTCTCGTTGCTTACGAAGCCGTAGAATATTCACCCGAGCCGGGACACCTCGCTCAGTCTTTGACTCGCCTTCGAGTGGCGCGTTATAAAAAAATGATAAATAAATATAGGCGAAGTTGAATATTCGACCGTCGAGTCGGCGCGAACCGCGATACGCGCAGTCGTTCCGTTCTTCTCGCGGAAAACTAGAATTGTAAAATAACTCCATTTGGCATAGAGAAAAAAATAGAGACGCCGCCCGAAGTCGGAATAAATCGCTTCTACAGGTAGAATTTACGGGAGACTTGGTCGATAACGAATTTGCGACCGCGATTCCAAATATAGCTGACATTGGCGGTACCTCGACGAGGGGTATACGGAGAAGATCGTGGAGGAATTTTGCGGTTTTTGCCTCTTTTGAAAATCTATTTCGGGCGCGGCTCCTCGGGTGGAGCCGTTCTCGCGACCCTCGTTGAATTTTCGGAAACGGCCCAAAAAGATCGGTCAGCCGGGCTTTGGACGGGACCGAGCCAGCGGATAGATGCCGAAGATGGAGACCTCCACCGTGGTTTTCGTCCCGCAAACTCCACGTAAGCATCGTTCGCTAAAAAAAAATCACTCCGGACTCGGACCGCGATATTTATTTCTCGCTTCCTCCTCGAGACGTCGAAAATTATTCGCTCGGCTATTATTTATCCATAATCGGCGTGCCGAGGGAGTATCGATACCTTTATTCGAATCGTTTCCTTTCTTTCGAATTAACGGGAGGTGACCACGCGAGGGACGTAGACCCGCGGGTAGCCCCAATTCGAGGCTCGTCGTATCGGCGACGAGACGGTCGATCGATGCGGGGCTTAAAATATGCACCTACGTGTGCACTTCGCACAAGAGGAGATTAAATATCCGTCGAGGAGAAAATCCGAGTCATTAAGTCGAGGACGTAAGCGCAAAAGGAGGGCGGCGTGGCGTACAGCGATCGTCGTCGCTCTCGCTCGACGCCGCCACTTGCCTCGCCGACGAGAAAAGAGACCTCGAGTCTTTGTCCCAATTAGACGATTCCCACCTCGCATCGGTAACGATTAAAACTCCCCTTAACTCGTGACGTCGAATCGACCTCGACCCGAAACGCCATACTTCCTCCTCGACGAGATCTTGGGCGCGAGGTAAAAAAAATTCTGTTCGAACCCTCCTCGAGTCTGAAATTTTCTCCCCGCGGGTACGTTAAAGAAAAGAAAATAAACTGCCGCCATTCGCGAGAATCCCCCGAAGACTCTCGCTTTTCTCGCAGGCCCCGAGATCTAAGGAAGTTTACTAACGAAAATTTTCTCCTCGTCCTTCCCGCTGTCCCGCCATCCTTTCTCTTTCGCTCCCCTTTGCTCCGAATTCGGTGCTCTCCGTCCCGTTCTTTCCGCACCTTATCGCCCTCCCCGTTCCCGGCCGACCTTTTTCTCGCTTGTTTCCGGACTCCCGCGGATGCTGCCGCCACCACGACGACAACGGCAACCGCAACAACTACGACGTCATCGTCGCCACGGCCGCCCCGATAGCGGTAAGTCCTGATAAAAGTAGTCGCATTCCGCTTCGCGGCGCGAGCGTCGAGTGCTCCGCGGCGCGTCCCCACGAGGACGGAATTTCGCTCCCCTTCCTTCGGGAAAAGGCGTCCCTGTGAAACGATATATTAAGTCATCGTTTTTCCGTTCGCCTCGACGAGAGGGTGAGACGACTTCCGACGAGGTGTTCCGTATGCACGCCGAGGAGTGGCGTCGGACGTCGGTGTGCGAAGCTGCCACTCCCACTTTTGCAAATTTTAAACGACTTTATCCGAACGTCTCGTGCTCTTTCCGTGCCACTTGTATCGTAAATTCTTAAACGTTGCGCTACCTCGATTTAACGGAAGAAAATGGAACGTTTCGGCAAGGGTGCCAATTTTCCGAAAAAAAATTTTTTTCTCGAAAATCGAGCCGGCGCAAAATTGAACAATTTGGCACGTAAAGGGCAGAAAATGAGATAAATCGACCGCGCGTAAAGGCGGAGATACCAGCTTCGCGCATCGATGTCCCCGTCGGGAGTAACGAAAACGAGGGATACATCGCGTTGCACCCTGACCCATATTCGGAGATCGATACCTTATCATCGGTCAACGTGAGAATCCGGAGGCGAGATCTCTTTTCGCGATTACCGCGAGAAATTTGAGGAAACGAGTAAACCTCGGCATCGAGGGAGATTTTTTTTTAGTCTCAATTCGTTGACAAAAAGCGACGCGTCGCTTTCGGTTGGAACGGAGTCAACGATACGCGGAGAGACGGTAGCGTCAGGGGTTTATCATTCGAGGAGTCGATCCTGTATCGTGACCCGAGAGGGGTATCCGGTCGAATCGCGGGCGATCGCGCGCAAGGTCGACGATCGCCTCCACGGCCATCGGTACGCGCGACCGTACACGGGGACGCCCGATGCGTACGCGGACACGCCCGAGCGAGCGCACGGTAATGGTAATGGTAATGGCAATGGCAATGGCAACGGCAGTGGCAACGGTAATGGCTAATCATCGAGCGAAGCGTTAATTATCCCGTCCCGTCCCTCCCAGCGCGGTGACGCGCTCGTTACCATTCCCATTGTCAGAAGTAATCGCTTCGTTTTCGGCAATGATCGTTAACTGGCCCGAAGACTGCGGCGACGCTTCGGACTAAGGACAGTTTTTTTAATCGGAAATTCGAACTTTAATTCGTTAGGATACGCAACGACCCGTGCTCCGGATTCGAGCGATCGAAAAGCTCTGCCTATCTCTTTGTCCAAAGCCCCGCCATTATCGTCCGCCCGGTCGAGCGTGGTTCCGAATCGCCCACGTGCTGAAAACTCTCAACGGAAAACTATGCATTTTCGTTCCGCACCGTAGGATCGCGGGCACCGGTGCATCCGAAGAAAGTGAGTTTTAGTAGCTACGACTCACGGAAACCAGTAAGCCCCCTTGGTTGCGCGTCGACGAACGATGGGACAGGAGGTCGATCTCCGATAGGGTCGCGATAAAGATATCGAGAGAAGGGGTTTTCCGAATTTTTCTCCCTCGGAGTCCACCGAGGATTTTATTTTCCCCTCGACGAGGCCCGAAGCGGGAAAGGGAGCCCGTTGCCCGCCGTATCTATGGTCCGGTCGGGCGAAACCTTATCCGATATCGGGCTTATCGCGGAAGCACGGTAAAAATAAAATTCCTCGAGGCGCAGGGTAAAGGAGTTCGGATAAGATACGCGGCTTTCCGGGCGAAGATCCGACTTCGCGTCAACGGCTATCCGCAGGGACTCGAAAAAGGACGCTTCGCGACCTAACCGAGGAAGAGTCGAGATGTCGACCCCGAGGACGTCGCGACGCCGCCTGAATCCCGCGGTGCTCGCCAAGTACGACTTCCAGCGGACCCGCTCGCCTCAACAGGTAGCCGAGGTTACTTCTTAATCTCCGACTTTTACGGGAGAAGGTCGATCTTCCCCTTTCCGCCTTTGAACTCGGACCGAGCACCCGGTCGTCCCAGGTCGGAGGCGAGTCCGGAGCCCCACGGGGCGGTCGGCGATTCGAGTCCGCCACGGCAAGGGGGAAATCGGGGAAACTCAAGGAACGCCGCTTCCCTCGAGACGCTCGTTGCGTTTCCGGTCGCCGGGGCGGCACTCGGTAGGAAGTACGAGACCGACGCCCGGCGTGCCGATGCGACCTTAATTGGACTCGGAGCCAATACGACCGACCGACTTCCCGTTATATTTACGACGCGCCGCTCACCTTGGGGGAGACCGAGGCGCGGTCACGTAATCGCCGATAATTGCCCCCTGGGGTGCCTGAAATTAATCGGCGAGACGTTTTTCTCGTCGTTGCGGTCGAGGAATTCGAAATTTGAGACCCTTCTTACCCCGGGAGCGCCGAGGCGGCGTCCGCGGGGCAATTTGACCCGCGAACGGGGTCGGCTCCGATGCAACGTGCGCGCGACGTACGATCTCGCCCGACGCGCGGGTAATTTGCTGCGCCGCTTGCAATTTCGCGGGCAGCGTCCTCGTTTGCGCCGAGGCGCGGCGGAATGCGGACCCTCGAGGGTCGCCGGAATTTCCCGGGCGTTCCGGCCCGTTTCCCTGGTCGGGGCCACCCGCTCGGCCGGACGAACAATCGAGGGTTTCCGTTCCCGGAAAAAGCGCTCGGTCCGAAACCCTCGTAAACCTTCGGCGAGCGGTTCCTTTTTTCCCTCGTCGAGGTCCTTCCGCGAAACGCGAATTTCGCCTCCTCGTTGCGGGGGTCCGGTTCCCGGTCGGGCTAAAGTCGCCCTGTACGTTTCGCGTCCCGGCCAACGAGTCGAAATTCCGGTCGCGGGATGGCGCCATCGCCTTTGGGACGACCGGGGCTCCGTTCCGGATCGCGGCTCGAGCGGAAGCCGAAAATTGGCGAATGGGTCTTCCCGAGACTCGATCGAGTCATTTTTCAAGCGGTGTTCGGAGCGCGTCCGGAGCGCGCTCTCGCGGAAGGATCCGCTTTATCCGCTTTCCGGTGTGCCGGCGGCGGCGCCGGCCCATTGGCCCGCGTTCGGCCGGGAGGGGCGCGGCCCCCACCCCGGCCGGCAGCTGCGTCAGGCGTGGCCGGCAGAGTGCCCGCGACGCTCGCGAGGGCGATACGTCGAGAGTTCGGAGGCGACGCGGCGATGACCGGCAAAGTGAGAGTGGCCAAGGAGCGCTCGGCAACGTGATCGACGACGCGACCGGCGACGCGACCGGCGACGCGACCGGCGACGCGACCGAGCGTGGGTCGGGCAGGCGCGCGTCTCGTCGATGGCTCCTCGCCCCGACGAAAATCCGATTCGTTGGCTCTCTCCCCTTATCCGGCATCTGGACGCGTCGCGAGCCCGAGAAGCGGGCAGAATCATCGACGAATCGCGACCGCCGCTCCCCGGGAGTCGGCGTCGGAGGAACGGGGCAGGCGGCGATCGCTCCCGCCGCGCGGTCGAAGGGGGAAGAGGACGCTCTCCTCCACCTTCCGCCGCGGCCCGTCCGCTTTAACGCCGGTCTCTCGCAGTCGCGACGCTTTTAGAGTCCCCCGCCTCGGCCATGTCGACGGAGAGCCAGAACGGGCCGAAGGCGAGCATCGGGCCGATCTCGGCCCTGGGCCGCCCCGGCAACGGCGGCTTCCCGCGCGCCGACCGGGACAAACCGCGGCAGCCGCCGCCCCCGACGCTGCCCAAGTACGCGTCCAGTTTCAACGCCGGCTCCAACGCGGCCTCCAACGGCAGCGCGGCCGACCGGCCGAGCAGGGAGCGCGAGGCGGGCGGCAGCTACCGACTCGTCGGCCTCGACCGGCTCGCGCTGCGGCAGCGCATCGTCGACGGCGACAGGCCCAACGGCGAGGCCACCTCGGTAAGCAGCCGCGAATCGATAAGGTCCGATGGAACTCGAGCTCTGGCCGACGCGACCCGAGGAGGAGCGTCCGTGTTTTGCAAACGCCGCCGAGTGTTTTGGACGCGTGGAAAATTCCCGAGGGGAAACGCCCGGTAGACCCCGGGCCCTCGCCCCCCGTCGGAACGGGGCGGCGTAACGGGGCGGGAGAGGGGATCCACCCCCGAGCCGATGCGTCACGCACCCCACGAAAAGACCTCGAAACCCTCGCCGATGACTCGCTTTGCCCCTCCTTGTCTCTTTCGCGGCCGGACTCGAAAACCCCTTCCCCTTTCCCTTGCCCTCGGGGAACGAACGACGACCGTTCTCGTTTTCTCGCGAGTCGCGCCGTTTCCGCGTTATCGATTGGCATCGCGGCGAACGAGGGCCGAGGCGTCTCCGCGAATTTCGTAGGACTCGCTCCCGTCGCGAAGAAGGAAAACGGTCGACTCGGGGCAAAGAACGCGGCTCCGAGAGGGGTCCGGGCCGAGACGTTCCCTGGGCACGATGCGCGCCGGGTACCGCTCGACCGGGAAAGACCACGTGCACGTGCGCGCGAGAGAAGCTCCGGGGGAGGGAGGGGCGCCCTTTCGAGTAACCGGGACGCGGCCCAGTTTTTCTCCCATTTTTTGAGCGTTGCCCCCGCCGAGTTCCTCCTTGCCCTTGATCGCCCTCCTCTGCCGAGGTTTTCGCAAATCGCGAAACGTTCCGTATCGTTGGATCGAATGGATCGCCCTCCCAATTTTCAAATTAAAGATAGTCTCGAAACGATCGAGGAGGATCGATTTCCTCGGATCGTCGCTCGGTGGGGGATTTTCGTTTCCGTGAATTTCGACCGGCCGCGAGCTGGGTTACCGTGTCGAGGTTCCCCTCGAACGGGCTCTTTTCTCCCTCGCGAATGTATCATCGGGGCGCCTGCCCGTCGCTTTTCCCGAGGCACTTAAAATTTGAGATTTCACCCCCGGTCCGCGAGGCCGCGGTCGATCGCGTTTTATCGAATCGTCGCCTTTCGCGCCGGTCCGAGTTATCGGCCGGAAATCGCGCGCTACCGATACTCGTTATGCGAGCCCGGCGAATCGCTCGTTTCGGGATATTCGAGCCGACTCGAGACGCGAATCGGGCCGAGAATCGGGCCGAGAAAGTCTCCAATTTCTCGTTCCTCTCTGCCCTTCCCCGGCCCCCTCCCCCCCTAGGCGAAGGACCAGCTCGGTTGCCTCGACGAGGGAAATCGGTCTTCCGACGACGTTTCCATCGATCGCGCCGATAGGAACGGGCGGTCGTTATCTTTATCTTTACTTTGCGCCACGTGCTCGCGTGGCCGCACATGCCGCGCCGCACCTGTCGGCGCGGCTCGCGGAAACGTTAACCGCGAGGAACGAAATTTGCGGACAATTCCTCGCGGCGATCTCTCTTTCCCCAACTTTATGGGCGAGATTTTCGAGCGCCGAAGGTACTACTCGCGGATCTCTCCCGGAATCGCGAAATCGCCGATAAATCGAGACCGAGCTATCCGTAGGATAAAAATGACCGCGATGAAGGCGTTCGCGCCGAAAGGCCGCGATTACGGTCGATTTCCGGGCAAGCCCGTTAGAATTCCGCGAGCACTCGGGAGCACTTTTCTCGTTCTTACGTCATCTTTTCCGAGCCGTGGATTTTTTACTCGGACTTCGCGTCGGGGGTATCCGAAGGATCGTTGGAGGCGACGCGAGACGAGTCTCCGATCGAGGTCTCGAGATACGTGGAAACGAAGAAGGGGAACCGAGGATTAGTCATCCTCCGTGAGACGGCAGGAAAGCGAGGACTCGCCGGAAAAGGCGAAAAATCCCTCGCGACTGCTCGCGTGACCGCTATTCGTCGCGATACTTCCTGGCACTCGATGACCAATTCCGAGCCAGGGGAATTCTTTCTACAATTTCCGGGGGGCCTTGGAGTCGGCGATGCGCGGAAATTTTCGTCATCTCCCGATATCCCAAGGTGATTTCCGGGAAAATTGCGCGATTCGTTGGATCCCGTGGGCGTCGACGACGCTCGGGAAACGGGGCCGACCGGCCCGGTCGATGGCCCGGTCGATGGCCCGACGTCCCGAAACCGCTTTCTCCGGGGCGACGAATTACGCAACGCCGGCGAAACCGACCCTTCGCAAAGAAGCGCTTCCGCGTATCGATCGGAGCCCCGGGGCGCATGGCCGCGGACCACCTGGCGAGAATCCGGCCTCGGGGTCGGTCGTCCGTCGTCGCCCCGTTTCATCTCCCGGTGGAAGTTGAACGCGCCTTGGACTCGTCGAACGGAAACTCGAAGGAAAAACGCGGAGCCAAATCCGCCGCGTACCTTTGGCGCGCCCGCATTTTTTTTTTTTTCCCCCGAGGGTCACGCGTCGCTTTTCCGATTCCGATTGTCGCCGACGCCGCCGACGTCCCTCGTTCTCGATAAAACCTTACTTTCGCCGCGAATTCCAGGTCGGGCCCACCGCGGCTGACTCACCTTCCCTCGGTCCCTCAAAACCGGAATCCTCCGCGCGGTCCGACCCGAATCGAAGTTAGCCCCTCGACCGACTCCTCGCTTCTTCGGAGGACGTTTCGCATCTCGGAGGGAAAGGAGCGACGCGGCTCAAAGGGGAAACGCGCGAGGACGAATTTCTTCCTCCGGTTTCCCGTTCGCCGGGAACAACGACGAGCCGCGGACTCTCGCGGCGGGGGGTCGATGCTCCCCGCCCTCGAAAGCCCGTTGAATCGATTTCGCCTCGGACAAAGGGAAGCGCTCTGCCTCTCGCCCTCGAGCGAACCCCGAAAAGTCGCGATTTGTCCCCCGTATACATATTTTCTTTTAAACGAGTAAATGGCAAATATTTAATCGGATCGTCGATAAGTCGGATGCTTTCGTCGATCTCGGACGTTGGATCGAGAGGAACGCGTCGACGGATTTGTTCCGCGACTCTCGATCGGGGAATCGGCCCGGGGCGAAGACCCCTTTGGACGTCCCCCGGAGTTCGCGACTGCATCGAGATGCGGTCTCGGGCGTCCTGGACCGGTTTCTCGTTCCGAGTCGTCCCGCGCCCGCGATTCCTTGGACCCGAAGGAAACCCCGCGGATCGCTGCCGAATTCTCCTGCTCGGAAAATTGCCCTCCTTCCTAAGAGAGAAAAAAAATCGTCCTACCGTCCCGGACACTCGACCGTCTAATTCCTTTGATACGCGTTTTGGACGCCTCCCGAGCGCAACGAATTGCAAAGAGATTCCTTAAAAAAAAAAAAAACGTTTCCTTCGGATCTCAAGTAATAATTCTCGTTGTAGAATTTTAAACGCAACTTTGCGAGTAACCTCGTGCCCGGCTCCGACGATGCCCGGGATACGATCGTCGTCGAATAGTTCCGGCCTTGTTCCAGGGATACAAAATGGCCGCTCACGGCTGGGGAGTGGCCGGCGATGATGCATCGGGACGCATCGGCCGTTGCCGATACGCGCGATCGTTGCGTATACGAGTTAACCCGACGTCGGTTAATTGGCCGGGCCGCGGTACCGAGCCGCTGGCGTTATCTCGGAGGTGGTTTGCTCGTTTTTGCCCGGATGCGCCGTTGCGGGTTTATTCCGGGTTTATTCCGGGTTTATTCCGGGTTTATTCCGGGTTTATTCCGGGTTTATTCCGGGTTTACCGTTCGCGTTGCCTCGTTCGAGAAACGCGTCGTCGCCGTTGCGCCACGCACCGAGAAGACGACGATAAGGTCTCTTCGGTTCCCTCGGAAAGGTGTAGTTTCCTCCCTTCGAGTGGTATTTAAGTCGCCCCCTCGTAATCGTTCAAAGAAACGCGGATAAAAATTCGCTCTCAAACGAAATAAACTAATTCTCGGAGGATCCTTAATTCGTAAGCGGGGCAAAATCGAAACCCGATCGTTAATCGAGGCGGCATTTTTTCATCGCTTTTGAACATTTCCTTGTCACCTTAAAGGAAGAGAGGATCCGGTTTCTCGAGTTGCAGCTCTTTTCAACCGGAGTGGAAAAAAAGTCGCGCGACTCGGTTGCATCGCTCGTCAGTCGATACGACTCCGTCTGGCCGCTCGACGGGTCGGGATTTTTTTCGCGTCCTTCTTTTACCCTTTCGCTCCGTCTACCGTAGAACCGATCTCTTCCATTGACGAATCGAGGGTCGTTTCGCGGTGACTCCGATAGATGCTTTCCCGTCGCTCGATTTTGCCGGGTCGCGTCCCGATAAGAGTCGAGATATACACGAGGAAGTCATTCGCGACCATCAGGGTACGTTCGCCTTGCGTCGGGCGCGCTCGCGGTCGGACGAGTACCCGACCAAAGGTGTACGGACGAGAACGAACGGAAGGTACAATTGCCAAACGCCGCTCGCGTTACCGGTGTCAACGTACGCCCGGCGAGTGGGGGCAGGGCCGCGACGCGAGCTACTTATTCAATTTGTCCTACGTACCGGGAGGCGCGAAGCGGCGCGAAGCGGCGCGAAGCGGCGCGAATCGACGCGTATCGACCGATCGCGGAACCGGGGCGACGGCCGGGGTCGGATCGATGGACGAGTCCGCTCCCGTCTTCTCACCGACGCCCTTTGCTTCGCTTTGCAGATCCAGATGAAGCGTGAGCTCTTCTTCAAGGGCGAGTCCGTGGGCCTGGCGTCGACGCCGTCGGTGCCCTCGGTACCGTCGGTGCCACCCCCCCAGCCGCCCGCCACGACCGCCCCCGGCTCGGTGGCGACGGTCACGACGACGATGACGACGTCGACGGCGGCGGCCCCGCCGTCGACGGCGCCCCCCGCCGCCCCCGCCAAACCGCGGCCCGCCGTGGCGACGCCCGTCGTCGGGCCGAACGACGCCTGCGAGGACAGCAACAAACGCGAGACCGCCCGGGCGGAGAGCGGCGGAAACGGCAAGGAGGCCGCCGTCCACGCCGCCCACGCCGCCCACGCCGCCCACGGACGCCCGGCGCCCCCGACCAAGCCCAAGGAGCTCGACGGCTACGTCGGCTTCGCCAACCTGCCCAACCAGGTCTACAGGAAGGCCGTCAAGAAGGGCTTCGACTTCACTCTCATGGTCGTAGGTCGGTAGGCACGCTCTTTTTTCCCTAATTTTCTTCGAGGACGGCTTTTCTCGGTCGACCGGGAAATCGGTCTCGTTTTTTCCTGGCGTCGCCGCGCGAGAAGGCTGGCGGTAACGCCCGTTAGGCCGACCTACCGGTCTCGGTTTCGTCGAGGACGTCGGCTCGCGAGCCTCCATCTGCCGAGCACGTGCAGCGCCGTCCTGCCAGCTGGGTTCGGACTCGCGTTCCTTCTCAGGGGCTCTCCGCGTTGCCCGACCGGCTATTTATTCGTCGGCACGCGAGACTTCTCGACGGCGCTAAACAAAAAGGATGGATTCACCGAGTGAGGGTAAATAAATGGATCGGTGCGGGAGGCTTCGGGGCATCTCCGTTTGGTCGTTTCGACGCCAAGAGATTCCGCTCGATTAGCCGCGAAGCGGGCAATTGAAGAATCCCAGAAGGGTCCGCGGTTATTATTAGCGGAAGTATGACTCGCTCGTTTCTCCATAAATAGAGCGATTCGAGTACCTACCCTTGGCGAAGCACTCCCGGCACGTTGACCGACTCGAGGTCCTCGCGTTGCCGGGACCGAGCTCGAGGTTGGCAGTCGCTCGATTCGGAAGGGGCGTCCATGGAGAAAAGAGGAGACTCGACGAATCCGTTTTAAGATATCTTGCCGGGAGCGTAGGACGGTGCCGTTGCGGTTGATGTCGGATGCGCGGGATATCGCGGACCGTCCATAAATCGTTGGGTCTTCTTTTAGGCGAAACGGGCCTGGGAAAGTCGACGTTAATAAACTCGATGTTCCTCGCGGACATCTACAGCTCCGAGTACCCTGGACCCAGCCTCAGGGTAAAGAAGACCGTGGCCGTTGAAACGAGCAAGGTGCTGCTCAAGGAAAACGGCGTTAATCTCACCCTGACGGTAGTCGACACTCCCGGATTCGGCGATGCCGTCGACAACAGCAACTGGTGAGTCGAGAATTTCGAGACCCGAGGCGGATGTCGCGATGTCACGAATGTATTCGTTTTCAGCTGGGTGCCGGTAATCGAGTACATCGAATCGAAATACGAGGAGTTCCTGAACGCCGAATCTCGGGTCATGAGACGACAGATTCCCGACAGCAGAGTTCACTGTTGCCTGTACTTCGTCGCCCCCTCGGGACACGGTTTGAAGCCCCTGGACGTCGAATTCATGCAGCGGCTCCACGACAAAGTAAACATCATTCCAGTGATAGCCAAGGCCGACACCATGACTCCGGACGAGTGCACCCACTTCAAGAAGCAGGTGAGTCGCCTTGCCTCCGATGGCGCCGCCGCGAAGGACGTCGATCCCGAATAGGTATCCTCGATCTGGCTCGATTTCAGATCCTCAACGAGATCGCCCAGCACAAGATCAAGATCTACGAGTTCCCGGAGGTCGAGGACGAGGACGAGTACAAATTCCAGAAGGTCCTCAGGGACAGGGTCCCCTTCGCCGTCGTAGGGGCGAACACCGTCGTCGAGCTCGACGGCAAAAAGGTCCGCGGCAGGAAGTACCCCTGGGGCGTAGCCGAAGGTAGAGACGATTCTACCCCCGTTGTTCCTTTGTCCTTCCTTTCTTCCCTTTTGCCGCCCGTTTGTTCGTCGTCCTACGGTGAGAATATGTTACCAAGTGCCGATCCGTTTGCTACGCAGTGGAAAACCTGGAACACTGCGACTTCATCGCCCTGAGGAACATGGTCGTGAGGACGCATCTACAGGACCTGAAGGACGTGACGAATAACGTTCACTACGAAAACTTCCGGTGCCGCACCCTGGCCGGTCTCGGCGTCGACGGCAAGCCCATGAGGATTTCGAACAAGTGAGTTCCTCCGAGCGAGTTTGCCGGGGAAAATGTTTGCCAGGCTTTTTTTCTCTTGGTTCGTCGAGAGTAAGTTGGCCGCGTTCGCATGTCCGCGGAACGGGAACCGAAGGCTCCTTGACTAGACCTCGCGGAGCTTGGACGCGTAGCTGACTGCCCGAAAAGAGGGTCCTGTGGAATAAGACGTACGATTCTTCGTCTCTTGCGGAGGACCCTAGCCCACGAGATCACGCGACGCTTACGCTTTTTAATGCACGCCTTCAAGGTTTCGATAGATTTCAGTTGCCTTCGGTTTCGTTATATTTAAGGAGTGACAAAGTGGACGGTGGATAAGAAACGACCGACGCGGGCGAATGGAAATCCGACGAAAGGTTTTCCGGAGACCGCGAGCGCATCCGTGGCGTCTCGTTCGCTTTTCGATGAAATCTTCAGAAGGAAAAAAGAAGCTTGTGCATGCAAACATACCGAGAGTATCTCTGTAGGCAAAATTTCTCCGGATTCGACATAGCTCCTTCCCATAGAGACGCAGCCATAGACTTAAACGCGAGGGTATTGCGAAAAAGGCGACATTCTCCCTCTCGTTTCTCGAGCGAATGTTAATGGTTGGTTTCTTATTGGTCAGTTTGTGCCCTCCAGGAGTGATGAACAGTTTCATGACGGTGTGGTAAGTCCTTTATCGAGGCCCAGAAATACCTACTTCCGTTTTGTGTGCACAAGCCTTGTCGATTCGATGTTTGCCTACCCGTGTTCCCGCGATTATCCTCGATACGTCGGAGTACCGAATATTACTTTCGAGTATACGGTGAATCGAAGAAAAATAATAACGCGAGAGCGATCCCGACGTTTATTCTCTTGGTCCGTTTTCCTTTGCGCACCCTTTTGCCTGCTAAATATCTCGCCTTTCCTCTTCTCTCCGTTTTAAACCTTTAACGTTAACTCTTTGCAAACTTAGTTGTGGCACGTTGCGAGCACTCCGAGAGGATCGCTTAACTTGCGAATTTTTCTTGCGAATCGTCGCGAGGACCGTACGCTTTCAAAGGTTCCTCGTCCCCGTGTACGGGACTGGTCGTCTTTCTTCGTTTTCTCTCTATTTTGGTGTTGTACGGCATCTTTGATAGTCGTTGCCTCGAGCATTCCTAAGCCGATTGGATTTCATTTGTGCGCTACCGCTGTTTTTGCCCCCGACCCAGCATCACGTATTCCAAACGATTCGCGTGCACGGGTGTCGATGGATATCGTATTTTATTCCCGTGGATCGCGATTCTCTTTTCGCAGGAATCCTCTGGCGCAGCTGGAGGAGGAGAAGCGCGAGCACGACAACAAGATGAAGAAAATGGAAAACGAGATGGAACAGGTCTTCGAGATGAAAGTTCGCGAAAAGAAGCAAAAGATCAAAGATTCGGAAGCTGACGTAAGGAGAGCTCCGGCATTACGTATTTCAATTAATTTTAAAAACGCAAATCGGGGGAACTTCTTTCCTCTCGTATTTATGGAAGTAATTCACGGGTTCTCTCTCCGATGACTCGACCGTACTCGACGAGTCACTCTCAACAAAGTGAATATCATTTCTAAGAGCCACGGTATATCTTTCTTGCAGTTGCAGCGAAGGCACGAGCACATGCGGCGCTCTTTGGAGCAGCAGGTGCGAGAACTCGAGGAAAAGAGGAGAGCTTTCGAGTCTGAAAAAACTGCCTGGGAGCAACAGACCGGACACAGTATCGAGGAGCTACGTAGGCGTAGCTTGGAAGCCAACTCGAAAGAGTAAGTACCGCGTTTTCGTTCTTGACTCTCCCTCTCTTTCTCTCTCCATCTCTCGTTGTTCGTTGTGTCGTAGTCGTTGAGCCTTGATCGGTGTCATTTTGCACGGAGCGAGAGAACGAAGGATCCTTTCGGCAGAAAGGGATTCCCTCTTCCCGACACGAGCACGGTTTTCTCCCGGAATGATCACCCGATGCGAATCGCCCACGCAAACGATTTCCTGTTACGAGTCGGTATAAAATACCCGGCGAATCTCTCGTCGTTGCTACTCGAAATAGCTGATCGCAAAGAAAAATGGCAAGAACAAAATGACTCCTTACGTGACTTCTCTAACTCGCTTTGAATGCGACGACGAGCTAGCGTTTCTTATGATCCGTCCTTGGACCGTCGCTATATCGTCCTCGTATTCGTAATGCTTTAATCATCCGCACGGAACCGGGGGAAGGGAAGGAAAACGAGAGGAGGCCGTGTTTTATGTAGCTTACCTTCGTTACAGGAAATTGCTAATAATTGATAATTAACCAGCCTCGATTGCGATAGATATGGAGAATACTTTAAACGTCGAGCCTCGCGTGTTCACTGACTCGAGTATCGGCTAAACCGTTGACTCGTCGTAATTGCTACGCAACGCAGTCGCGGTGTCGAGCAAAACGGGGAAACCGGGGTAACCGGGGTAACCGGGGTAACCGGGGTTCATGCATCGTTCGCTTTTATCGTGCTCCGGGTATTGGTCGCGGTGGGGACGACGACGGTCCGCTAGATGGCGGGAGAGGCATACTTTTTCCCAAACGCGCCGCCATGAAATATTCGCCTTTAAAAATGTCCAATGCCAATGGCACTCCGGACACGCGGGGATTCGTCGACGATCGACGGACGGTCTGGGCTCGCGTTATCCGATCTGACGGAAGGAAGGCACGCAATCGATGACGATTTTGGTCTTCCGAGAGACATCATTCCTCCCGACATGTCGCGCCACCCCTAAATTAGGTGCACGGGAGATCCGGTGATCGTCCGGAACGTGACATCGAGATCGAGGTCACGGTCGGGTCGAGTCATACCTCTCGCGGAGCGGTTACATCTTTTCCGCGAGAACCATCTTGGGGGGGAAAAAAAAAGGCAACTCGGCACAATGCGCGCGGATCCAACGATAAAACGAGGTCCGACTCTTTCGGCCCCGACGACCTCTTTGCGAGGACAAAAAACAGGAAACGCCGGGAACCTCGACCGCGACGTCGAACCACCTTTGTCAACCGAGTCGGTTCAAATTTTTCGACCGAAACGTTTATTTCTGGCGAGCGACCGATACGCGTTCCCTCTTCCGTCATCGAGCCCCGTGGACTCGTCCCCGGTTCCTCGGCGAGTCGGTCGACTCGAGAGAGGAGACAACCCCTTCGCCTTGCACCTGCCCAAAGGAGCCGCCAGGGCGACCGCTTTTTATTTCGCTTGCATCTCTCTTTGTCCGCCTGTCCGTCCGTTTGTTCGTTGCTGTGTGTATACGATGTCGGGGTGTCCCTGATTTAGGACGGGCTCGGTGTCGTCCGAGGGATCCACCGGTGGCGGGGGTACGTTGAGGGGGTCCCGAGGGATAGGAAGCCTTCTGCGTCGTCACGCCAGTTTCAAAACGCCTCAAGAGAACGCTTCCGCCCAGATACAGCTTGTCGTACAGCATCCTGAGCACCCTTAGGGCGTGCGGCCCCGGGCATCGATCACGCCCTGATCGCGTCCCGACGACGCCCCGACGGCGCCCCGACGGTGCCCCGACGGTGCCTCGACGGCGCCCCGACGGCGCCCGATACCGCGCAGGGCTCTTCGTCCGGAAAGAAAAAGAGACTCCGGGACCTCTCGGCGAATCGGCCTTTCTCTTTTTCCTTCCTCTCGACCCTTTCCGTTTCGGTTTTGCAGCTTTACTTTAAATCGTGGGGAGTTGGAAAGAAACGTTCAATTTATCCCACGGGAGGGATCTTTCGCGCCTCCGTTCGATTTTTCGGTACGAAACGGAGCCGTTGAGTTTAAAGAGCAAACGTATGTATTTTTTTTTTCCTTTTTTCCTTTTTTCCTTTTTCCCTTTCGTAAGAAGAAACGGTCGCAACGTTAACGAGATTTGCTTCGGTCGGGATGAAATGTTTGGCCCGATTTATGTTCGAGGAGTGCGGAGCGAAGTGCATCGACGATGCAGCGGGTAACCCATTTTCACGGAGTGCGCGGGGAGAACCGGGGCTTTGAAATCGTTCCGGGGGCGCGTTACTTGCTCGACGAGAAAACGGGCGTTAAATGCGTTCGTATTCGTTCCTCCGTTTACCCGATTACCCTCCACGTGGACGTGGCCGTCGCGATACGTAAGCTCGTACGTAGGATCGCGCTCCGCATTACCGAGGGTCGATTAACGGGGATCGCGGTGCAAGTAGGGATTCAGGATCCAAGTATATTCGCGGTGGGCAGAGAATTCTCGCGGTATTCGGTTTTCACCCCCCAACGGCACCCTTTCTCGCCGATACCTCGTCTCGGGGAAACGCCAACGAAGAGCCCTGCAACGCGAAAGGAGCACGTTACTCTGAAAATTTCCGCGGAAAGAAAGTATTTGGGACGGAGAAGATATTTTTGACACGAGTTTTACGATTAACTCGAAATTAACGCGACGCGGATCGTTATCTCGCGAAAACGATTCCGATCGAGAGTAACGTCCTCGTTTCGTGTCTAGGATAGTTGACGTCTATTGTAAACTCCGAGCAAGCTGTCCGCCCGGTTTTACCGCGAGTCTCGTCCCGAGGGACGGAGCTCCTCGGCGACGACGTCCCCGCGTGGAACGGCAAGAGACAGCTTGACGGAGGAACGTCGGCCAATTACTCGCAACCGATGATAAATTGTTAATCCCACTTGATTGAAAAGACTTTTTTTACAAATAAACCTCATGCTCTCTTATGCCATTTTCACTAACCATTTCTCGCCCTCGTGCGTGTACATACGTCCATGCTTCCGGGCGCACCCGAGGCGGAGATCTCGGGCATCGCCTCGATCGCAAAAGGAGAAAGAAAAGGAGACTTTCGGAAATCGCGACGCGGTAAATAACGCTCGCGACGCGATTCGCGATCCCGGAACGCGTAACAAGGTTTGTCGTAACCCGCCTGCAGCTGGCATGTGGCTTTTTGAACGTGGCCTTTCCGGGTTGCCTAGTTCCTCGCGGAGCATGTGAAGATGCGTATGCCGACTGTCTTGGCATGACTAGATCTCCGACGATTTCCGACGATTTCCGACGATTTCAGCGAGGACGAAGGTACCGGTCGATCCGCAGGTAAAACGGCACGACGCGAGTTCCGACCCCTTTGATTCCGCGACGTCGTTCCCTTCGTCGAAGTCCCGGAAATCGTAGGCCAGGTCACCGAACGCGACTCCCGCCCGAGAAGGAGAAATCGTTGCCGTTGCCGTCGCCGTCGCCGTCGCCGTCGCTTCGCCTCGTCGAGGAGAGCCGCTTTGAGGCCGGAGTTTGACCGAATTTTTCCTTTCAGGGCCGTCGACGGCAAGGACAAAAAGAACAAGAAGAAGGGCCTCTTCTAGGCCGCGGCCCGCATCCCGGTATACGATTTGCGCGGAAAGTGCGGTTCGCGGTCGCGTAAAGCGTCATCGGACGCGAGGACGCCTTCCTCGAGGCGGCTCGCGAGGCGCAAGTCGAAGGAAGACGAAGACGTCTCCGGGAGCCCTCAAGAGTTCCTGAAAGGAGGTCGTCGATCGGCGGGACGCGATTCGTAGGCCTAAGTCGACTCCCGGGGGAGAGACCGCCGGGGACGTTGTAAGGCATTCCCGTAGGCTTAAGTCGGCGGTGGTTCCCTTTTTGCCCCCTTCCTTTCCAGCTTGAATCGAGCAAGAGGCGCGAGGGGCTTTCCGGAATCTAGGAGCAAGACGAAACGAGAAGGCCGCGCGCTACATTCCTATTTTCTATGGACTTTTCTAGCCGGAGACTTCGCGGAGGATAAAAAACGGCGGTTTCTCAGGGAAGCTCCGTCGAGTCGCGGGTCTCTTCCCGAGAAATGTCCCCTCGGTCCCGTCCTCGATCTCGTCCTCGGTCTCGTCCTCGATCTCCTCGGTCGAGGATGTCCATCTTTCCTCCTTCCTTCCCGAAGTCGTCCACCGAGTCGTTGGTGGACGGTGCCGGGGTCGTTGGGGCTGCCGACGATTTTCTTCGGGAAAGCAGCGGTAAAGGACGGCAACGTCGAAGGTGGACTCGCGCCCCCGACTGTAAATAGACGTTACGGACTCTGATCGGAGCCTGGGCGAGTCGCAGTATTAGAAGAAAAGAAAAAATATATATATATATGTATATGTAACAAAATAATATCACGGTAAAACGAACAAAAATTGAATCGCACTGTGATTTAAGGGGCCGCGGTCACTTACCGATATATCATTGCTGAATTCCACCGAGTTTGCGAGAGTAAACGGATGGGAAAGCGTGTAAAGTTGCTCGAAGCTAAAGTTAGTCGCTCGCGATGAGGTCGTATGTATAATTACTCGCGATCGCGTCAATTTAGGATGGAAAGTTGTAAAAATTGGGACAGGGCTGGAACCTCGGGGGGAAATCGGCCGGAACGTCGGCTCCGCCCTCTCTTCCGGTTAAATAAGCTAAAAAATATCGACGACGGTATCGCGAGGAATCAGAGGATTTTTTACATGTTTTCGAATTATTTCGACACCGATTTGGAAACAGTCCCAGCTCGGAACCAGGAAGCACGAAGAGTTCCTTTGCTTAAGGTCGCTGAAAAAAAGGGAAAAAAGGGAAAAAAGGGAAAAAAGGGGAAAAAAAGGAAAAAAAAGAATGAAATTGAACGCAGGTACGCTGCAAATCGATTAAAGTGTGTATGGTACTTAATTCGTCCTTCCGGCTGATTCGATCCTTGCTCTGCCTTTTCAAGCCCCACTTCGCGGTCGACGTAGCGCGTTATTCGCAAACGGGTACAATTCATTTCTCTCCAAACAACGAGTCGAGCGACCCTTAATCGGCCGAACGTAAGAGTAAATCTAGGTGGAGCGATAAGAACCTTGCTTTGCCCATTTTTCGGATCGATCGATCCCCTTCCGGTTCTCTCGTCGGTCCATCCAATCGGGGGTGGACCACGGACGAGATCTGAAGAGGTGAAAATGTAAAAATTGGAAAATCCCCTGTCCACTTTCTCCGAATTGACTCGCCGCTACGTTACTCGTTTCATTCCTCGCGATTACCTCCCTACGACTGTAAAATATTCTAAAATAATCTGCAGCGTTCACCATTGGGGATAGACGTATACAATCATCGACAATGGAGGGAGTAACGTACGCGTTCCAATAGTTTCGTCCGAAAAGCGCTTCCGATAAATGGACAGGGCGAGCATCGAGTCGTCAGGCCTGAATTAGGTCCTTAATTAAATCGATGGTCTGGATAAGAATCGAATGAAATCCGACCGCGTAAAGAGTGTACTTAAGTTTGCGGTCGACGGTTCGTTAATTAAGAGGCCACTTTGACGGTGAACCTCCGACGTACGTATACGCAACCAAGAACAGCCTGGAACAGCCAAGGAGCGTTTCTCGCCCCTCGGGGCCGATTTTGATTTCACGGTCGATAGAATAGTTTGTACGCGTTTCGATGTTACTTCGCATTTATACATAGGACGTGGAAAGAAAGTGTCAGGCAAGGAAAGAGATGAATCGAGAGGCGTATCGACTACTGTGTGTATTTTTATCCTCAGTGCTTAGATTTAACGGTTACACGGTAAATTAAAAATCTTATCGCGGTAATCGACGTAATCATATCCGGAAGGAAGGAGCGAATGGGACGAGCGAATGGAAATGCGTGAATCCGGGAAAAAGGGAATAAGATAAGAAAAAGAAAACGAAAAAGAGAAATAGAAATTATATTTTGCCGTGCCAGACGAAAACGAAGCTGCCGCTGCTACCTATAGACACGTTGTAACATTGTACCACGATTATATATTGACAATTATTATAATTATGTACTCAGTAAATTATCTACAAAATAACGCAAGCGTTCTTTGTACCTCCGCTTTCGCCGAAATTTCGAATTTTTCGGTACAACGGTACGCGAGTTATTGCAAATCGACGTCCATGCAGGTACTTTTCTTTGCCGAGACAGTAACCATTTCGATGAATTATCGAATTATTGAGTTTTTAAAAAGAATTCGAGTCACGGCCATTTCCCTGTCCATTGGCGTCGTTTCAAGAGCGTCCACTTTTCATATCGCATTTGCCGTTTGCACCCCGATGCCTCTAATCGTGAGCAAATTACATACTTGGCTATCAATCGCTACGTAATGTTTTCCGGTAAAATACTAAACGCAAATCCGTATCGATGTTTAAAAATTTACAATCGGAGAGAAAAAAAGGTACCTACTCAAACTTATCGACATTTCGAGATATTTAGAAACCGTTTAATGTTATTTCGCGTTCCTCGGCCCGAAGACTCTCGACCAGGGAAAGTTTTACGGCGATTCGTTCCTTTCCCTTCTTCTTCATTTTTAATAGTCGCATTCGGACAGAAAACTCGCTAATGTTATCGTCGGTGTACGAAGTGCCACCACCTTCTTTTGGTCGATTTATTTTGCATGTAAAGGAGGGTGATAAATTTGATGCTAAGAAACAAGAAAAGAACGTCCTTGACCTATTCTAACGGTAAAGTATAGGATAAACCAAGTGGAGGGTATTGCTCGAGCCCTTTCACATATATTACGTATACCAACGAGTATCGCAAGGGTACATAAGGTTCAACGTAAAAAGCAACTTGCTTCGGAATCTCAGAAACGCGAGAGAGAGCGCGTGAATATCGATTTGGCAATCGTCGGGCATTCCGTGAGTCGTTCCCGAGTGAATACCGGCTTAATGGCCAATGATCGTTCCAGCAATTGCACAATGAAGGGAAGTGCTAATACCAGAGCTCCCTAAGGCGCCGTTCGGATGGAACGCTGGCACGATCCATTGATTCCTGCCGATCTGGGCGCACATTATGTAATAATACTTTAACGACCGAGAAACGAAACGGTCACTGTCGTCCCTCGGATATTAAATCAACCGGCCATGTTAGTCTATAAATCACCGGTAAATAACGGGAAGACCTAACGTTTCAAAGAAAATAACCAGAGTAAAAGAGCACGGGGAATAAGTAGATTTTATCGTTCGGTCTTGAATTGTCCCGGCTACCTGGTGGCAACGTCGAGCGTCGTGAAACCGCATATCGCGGTAAAAATAGACCTTGGAACTCTTGAGGCTCGGCCGTAGACTTTGGAAGATACCGAGGTGGATTTTACGTAACCGTACGAACGACGCATCGGGTCGCGTCGGGTCGCGTCGGGTCGCCACGTGGACGAGCGTATCGTTGAATTCGATCGGAAATTAGAGGTTAAGTTGGGTCAGATCTCGGTTGCGGTAGTCGTTTTGCGTCGCATGCTTCTTTACGTCGATGACAAGAACGAGTCCCCTTACCATTCGAAAAATGCTTCCCTCGGGTCACGGGCTTCTCTTAAAAGGGAATATTTCTCCGGTGAAGGTGGTCCAAGACCGTAGGCGCGTTTCATTAAGTTAACCAATGCAAACGGAATACGTCTCGTCTCGGGGTGGGCAGGGTGGACTCTCGTTTTAGGTTAGGTCGACGCAAAAAGCGCCGGGGATGCCTCGGAACGATCCATGTAATCGGTGAGCGTTAGCGGTCGAGCGGCGGATCTTGGGAAAGAAGGAGGAACGGCTTGGACTAACCCCTCCTTCGAGTCCCCTCGGGGACTCGGTTCGAGACGTGGAGGCTCGAAGTGGCGCGTACACTGTTAGGAATTTCAGTGAGTCGCTTCCTCTCGTCGAGGCGACTGCCGTTGTGGCGAACACAGGCGTGAAAGCTCCAAAGCACGTCAATCGACAGCGATTCCGCTCGTAGTCGGCCTCGCTGACCGAAATTTTCACTCGGGGAGTTTCACTTCTAACCTGAATTCTTCCGGAGAAGCTACTAAGGACAGCGCACTCCGCAAAGGCTTACCGGGAAGAGAAACGGAACCGAAGCCAAATTGCGGATGAATATAAGCAGAATCCCCAACGTGCTCGCCGACTTAATTACGGAGGACACGTTGACTCGAAACGGATCGATCGGTAAGTAAAGATCACGACTGTCGTGTAGCTAGGTTTCACGCATTTAAAGATATCGCTGATAAGTGAGTCATTTTTCCACGTCTTGTAATACTTTGCAGAATAGAAGGAAGCAATTTAAAGCAAACTTAACCGATTTTTTTACTTCGATCTCTAATGAGAATTATGTGGCCAAACGATGTTGGAATTAAGGCAATGGAAGTATACTTCCCGGCACAATGCGTCCGTCAGGAAGAACTCGAACGACACGACGGGGTTACTGCTGGAAAATATACCGTCGGTCTGGGCCAAGCAAAAATGGGATTTTGTAGCGATCGGGAAGACGTCAATTCCTTGTGTCTGACGGTAGTCCACAGGCTGCTCGACGGATATGGAATAAATCCTAAAGACATCGGAAGATTAGAGGTGGGAACGGAAACTCTTTTGGATAAGAGCAAATCGGTCAAGTCCGTTCTAATGCAGCTGTTCGAACCGTCTGGCAATACGGACGTCGAAGGTGTAGATAGTACAAATGCCTGTTACGGTGGAACGGCTGCCCTGTTCAATGCAATTTCATGGGTCGAAAGTAGCGCTTGGGATGGCAGACTGGCAATAGTCGTGGCGGCGGATAATGCCGTCTATTCTAAAGGCAACGCCCGACCAACCGGAGGTGCCGGAGCGATTGCTATGTTGATCGGACCGAATGCTCCTTTGGTTTTCGATCGTGGACTCAGAGCTTCGTGTATGCGCCATGCCTATGATTTTTATAAACCCGATCTTCGATCCGAATATCCAGTTGTGGATGGGAAACTGTCCATTCGTTGTTACCTCAGTGCCCTGGATGATTGTTATCAAAAGTATTGCGAGAAGGTAAAAAGAAATGAGGACAAGACCGTGTCTTTGGATACCTTCGATGCTGTATTATTCCACTCTCCGTACTGCAAACTGGTACAAAAGTCTTTTGCTAGGTTAGCATTTATAGACTTTTTAAATGAGCCAAACGAGCGACTTTTCGAAAAGTTCCCAGGTTTGGAGAAATTCCATGGGGAAAAGTTGGAGAAAACTTACTTCGATAGAGATATCGAAAAGGCATTCATGGCCTCCAGTAATGCTAAGTTTCTGCAGAAAACACAGCCTAGTTTATTTATTGCCAATCAAGTTGGAAACATGTATACACCTTCTGTTTATTCAGGATTAGTATCGCTGCTCATTAAGAAATCCCTTAATGAGTTGGCAGGCAGCAAAGTCGGCATATTCTCATATGGCTCTGGCTTGGCCTCCAGTATGTACTCCCTTACGATAACTAAAGATGTAAGTAATAATTCGGACTTAGCAAAGCTAGTTTCCCATCTTTCGTATGTAGAGTCACAATTGGATGCCAGGGAGTGCGTCTCTCCCGCGGATTATACGAAATGTCTTGAGTTGAGAGAGCAAAATTGCCACGTCATACCGTATGAACCTTGCAGCAGTATTGCCAATATGTTTCCTGGGACTTACTACCTAGTCCGTGTTGACGAAATGTATAGGAGAACGTATGAGAGAGTATTACTTTCGAAATAATTACTATACCTTTTTTACCGACTTCCGACAGAGTGCTTTTTCTGAACGAAGTTTCATCATAAAAAAGAACATTTTGTTGCTATTACGTTTTGTGCACTTTGTTACATGCCGTATACTGTTTTTATGTATATTCTGAAATATAGGCCTTTAAATGTTGATATCGTCAAAGCTTATCCAACATATTAAGAATATCACGGATATGTAGGATTATTAAAAAATTACAAAGAATTTGATACTATTTACCCCTGTTAATAGTCGATAAGACAGTTGCAAGTATAATTAGTAATTTAAAGTCTATTTCATTTTACCGTCGGCAATTAGTTTGAAAAATAGTTGCTATTAGCTACAAGCAATTATTAACAAGACCTTTCAATGAATTAGCAATTCTAAATTGCTACCCGTTTGAAAGTTTGTAACATTGAAATTGTCATCGATACCACGCAGTATCAATTGAACATTCTTTTGTATGGAATGGTGAAATGAACCGAAAAAAATAAATAAAAAACGTATTACGTGAAGACGCTTTATCAAATGTATTAAACCAATACGCGAGTATTTATTTAATATCTTTATTTTACAGAGATGTTTGTTCAATTTTTACCAGTTTAAATATACATATACACACATCAAACCCCATTCGCGCCAGAGTTTACAGAATTGTAAAAACCAGAGAACAACAAATTTTAAATAATCATCTTTATACATACTGTATTATAGTAGTTGGTTGTATATTATCATGTTATCAATTAAATCAAATGTACAGTGAAGTAATTGTATAAACGCTTGAAAATATACAAAGTCGTCAAAATCCGACATAACGATGCAAGAACCACTTGCAATTATAAGAATTATTTTCACGAATAGTTTATTAGTGCTAGTGTTTCTTTTTAAACTGTATATGTATTGTTAGACATTATTTTGTATTAGAGATAAGTAATTTATGATGAAACAATGATCATGAATTAAAGTAGTAATTGAGGCATTCAGCTTCACAGATATGTTCTAAACACATTTTTATTTATAGCACATGGTAAAGGTTTCATAAGAGAAATGACTGCCTTCATTCAATATGGGAACTTCATTGAATAAAGATTATCGACGCTAGTACTTAAAGATGGTTATCCTGTTTCATCTTCAAGCCTGGTCATTATTTGCTATTTTTAATACTTAATTTGCATAATATTTAACAGTTAGTAATAGGAAAATAAAATCCAATTTATCGTACAAAAATATATTAGCAACAGCCTATTAAAATACAATGCCAAGTTCGCTAGTAATGTTACAAATTTTGTTAACAGTTTACTTTCGATACAACAGTATCGGAAGTGCTCATGCACTTATGTACATTACAAATACTTAGTGCTCTCTCGATTGCAATAGTTTCAATATAAAACATAAATAGTAACAAATATATCATTTTCAAGACTAATTCAGATCCATAATTTACAAGGTTGTAAAGTTTAAAAATTGTAGTTCTACTTGGGTACAGTAAGGTTAAGCTTTATGAAACTTCTAGTCAAACGACTGATTATATTCTTGCAACCTATATAAACTTTAGATTTTATGAAATAAATTTGTTATTGAAAATGAACAAGCATTGAGCATTTACTTTTTTAGATCGGTATAACGCAGCAAACTAGAATAACAGTTTTTTTAACAACTCGTTAAAACATTTTCTTTACTAGCAAATTTATCGACAATTTAAACAGACAATATGTCACATATTGACATCATTAGAAATCATTCCAATTCTCAGGTTTTTAATAGTAGTGCAATGTAACTTGTGCATTAACAGATAAGTTATCGATAAGTTTTGCCTTACTCGACCACAAAAGTAGAACTGCATATTTAACATTTCTCAAATGTATACATGAAAAACATTTGTACATTAATGGCTTTTCCATGAAAGGACTGCATCAGTCAGTACATGGTAATATCAATTATCATTCTGTCTAGAAACTTTTAAAGCACTTTGTACGAACAAACAGAACAGGAAGACAATTCTCGGCCACTACCAAGCATCACGATATCGTCCTCGCTTGATTTAATCTGACGATTTTCGTGACGCTTCTGAAATACAATAATAAATACATATTTGACCCAAAGTGGCTAATAAAAATTTACAATTACCTTTAGTTCAGATGCCAAGCAATAAAATACTTCATCTATGTTGGTATTTTCTTTGGCCGATGTCTCTATAACATGTAAGACTTCTGGTACACATTCACGCACTGCTCCAGCTTCACCCTTCTCTACTTCCCGATAACCCTCCAAGTCACATTTGTTGCCTAAACGATCGATACTACAATGTACATACTCATTACGCTAAATTAAAGAATACTTTGAACGTGGTCATAAAAATCTTACCAACTAATACGAGTATAACATGAGACGAGGTATATCTTCGGACTTCTTCGATCCAACGTTGGAGGTTTAAAAAAGTTGGACGTTTTGTAATATCATAAACTGAAAAAATTGTAAACAATCCGGGGATGCAGGATCAAAGCGAATAAGCCATGCCTACAGATAAAACACTGTTATTAAGAATTTACCTAGGATTACACCATTTGCCGAGCGGTAATAACTCTGAGTTATAGTTCGAAATCGCTCTAATCCTGCTGTGTCCCATATTTGGAGCTGCAAGTAGACAATTGTAAACGTTAAGTTACATTTTATGGAATTCTTTAAAATCCGCGTTAGTCATATCGGCAAGCGAACAGTTAAAAAGTGTACCTTCACTCGTTTGCCATCAACCACCACCGTTTTCATCGAAAAATCGACACCGATCGTACTTCCAAGCCTCTCGATAAAGGTACCCGATCGGAATCTTTGGACGACGCATGTTTTTCCCGTGTCACAGTCACCGACCAGCACGATCTTGAACAGATAGTCAAAATTCTCCTCGGTCGTAGACATCAAATTGTCAGGATCACGGTCGGACATTCTTCGCGGGATACGCACCAAAAAGTGGAGTATCTCGTATCCGCTGATAGATCCTCTAGTCTGTCACATCAACGGCCATTCATGGCCACGCCATCTTTTCCCACGAACGAGTATATAAATAAATTATATCGCATTCATAGCGGAGAGTGGCAGAGAGTGTCCATGTTTTACGGTATCATCAAGATCGGATAGATATAATACCTCATGAAATATTCGCAGTTTTCTATGGTTTTCTTTGTGTATGATGTATGTGTTGTATGTACGTACACATTGCATACCCCTGCATGCAAGGTTGGCATTGACGCGTCTCTGCTCCCACCTTAGCTCTAAGTATGTACATATGTACATACGACCGCCATTGGAGGTAAGTGCATGAGCCGCCTGAATGCTTCACCGATGGCAGTACGGAACACGATCGCGCGACCCTACTCATGAGGCCATGAGCAATCTCCCAACTCATCTCTGTATAGTATTACAATCATATCGTGCATCAAGTAACAATTAAGTTTTGCCGCTTGACCTTTGCTTTGATATATAGTTACGTGTAAATATGCTCTCATTCTTTCGTAAATTATCACTCGGAGCAAAAATAAGAGATGGCATCTTGCCAGACAGAGTGATGGGCACCACAGAGGATCTCTTGAAGGCAAAAAACCAGAGTACCTTAATTCTAAAAGATGACGCAGAATTAAAAGAATCAGTTTATGGCAAGTGAATAATTTTCTTTTATATTTGTGATAATCGCTATGGGTAAATTTAGCCTGAGTTCACGTAATCAGTAAAGGAAGGTATTCGTTCGCTGCCCTCTAACATTCCGAATTGATTCCTTACCGAATGGGTAAATAAAACTATACTCCGATATTTAATAACGTCTACAAATTCATTGGAAATGTAAATATTTATTAAAATAGTACATTCAAAATTGAATAAATACAAACACGGTAAGTGATATCATTGGAAACGCCATATAAAATTATTGGTTATGATTTTGATTAACCTGTTAACCGGGTATAACGACATTCCTCATTGCGAAGTGAGTTGTACAAAAGTTAATTCCCCGGTTAACAGGCTAATAATAATGGGTACAGATATCGAGTATTCGAATAATGCCGGGTATATAAGTATTACCGTGAATTTTTAGATTTGCTTCGTACTATTAAAGACCCAGAAAAGCCTCAAACGTTAGAGCAACTCGATGTCGTGTACGAAGATTGCGTGTGCATTTGTGATTCCACACCAAGTGGGATATCGGTTATTCGGATAGAGTTCAATCCTACCGTCCCTCATTGTTCGCTAGCGACTCTCATAGGGTTGTGCATAAGAATAAAATTGGAGAGGCATCTGTTATCGTTGTTTAAGTTGGACATATACATCAAAGAAGGCACCCATTCTACGGAACAAGAAAGTACATAGTTTTATATATTGTTTTCACTTTTGGAGCTGTTGAAAATGTATTATTATAGTAAATAATAATTACAGTAAATAAACAAATAAATGACAAGGAACGGATAGCTGCTGCAATGGAAAATCCCAATTTACGTGACTTAGTGGAAAAGTGCATACAGGAGGATGAATAGCGCACAGAGTATACAAACGATTAATGAAGAATTGTACATATAATGTAATGGACCTAAACTAATGTAAGTTTAGCACTTTTTCAGAATGGATATATATTTAAAAATGATATTTTTTAATTATTTACGTACCTCGTACGATAGATGGTCATTGGTATCGCCTGTGAATTAAAATTCACAAATGAAATTTTTACAAAACTGTATATACTTTCAGGAATTAAATTTATTCCTCTCCACTAGCATCTTCGGATGCGATGAAATCTATCGTCGTATCCGCCAGATTTGCAAGCTGTGAAAGGGTACGCGCATGTGTTTCTTCTTGTTCAGATTCCAACTCTCCTTTTTTACTTAGCTTTAATTGTAAGAAAACAGTATAAAACCATATCGTTTACACAGTTTAGTCGAATAGACCGTAGAGAATTAAATTACAACTACCATGAACTCAAGTGGGTATTGATATTTAACCGACTCTTTTTTTGGAGGGGGAGGTGGTTCCGGTTCTTCGTGTTCCTCTCCAAAGATTTTGTAGATTGCCGAGTTTGGAAGGAAACCATAGAGTGGTTGTCGTGGATGCTTCACCGAATCTGGTATAGTTTCCGGATAATCGGGAAACTTCTCAATGCTGTAACCTATATGATAACTAATTATTCAAAATTCTTTGAAATCCGCTTTAATTAAACGAAGTTAATAGAAAGTGAGTTTGCCATATATCATTCTAAATATTTCAGGTTTATTAAAGAATCGCCGGTTCTCGGATAACTTCTCTTTAATGCCCCAAATGTCGTAAGGTTCCATTTCTTTTTCTACTTTTGTGATTCCTAGCAATTCGGATAGATATCTCTGCCACGTATCATGATTCATTAACGCTCTATCTGCAATTGGTTTCGATACTTTCACCTGATTTCTTTTTATACCGACAATATCTGGAATTAGAAGTTGGAAGAAATTTAGAGTTCGCTTAAAATATGATAAAGAAAATTGATTAAATTTGCAGTTACCTTCATCTCTATACCTCAGTTGCATACATATTTGTTCTTGTATCATGGAATCTAAACGTTGAACGCCGGTACTGGTAGTATCTAAGGACCCCAAGGGTATACTACTCACTGGATGTAACAATATCTCTCTATCAACTTCCTTTTCATAAACTCTATAATGAACATTTTCAGTATCTGGCTCTTCTTCTATGTCGGCAGGAATCTCGTTTACAATAATTCGAGCTCGGTACTTCGGTGAAAGATCTATATANTTTCGGTTTAACAATTTAACTCTAAAGGTTTTACAATTTTCATAAGGGATTTGATAAAGATGCCGTCCAGCGCTGAAAACGATATCCCCTCTTAACGAAGAAAATACAATTTTTCGGGCACATGTATTAATTTCCAATACCTAGACAAAGAAAGTGCCCATGTTCCATTATTTTTAATCGGATTATGCAGACAGAGCCATAATTACTCACTTTGAGAAGCTCATTCTGCTGATCCCAGATTCTAATTGTGCTGTCTACCGACGAAGTAGCGCAGATTTGCATAGACTCCGATGTAGCTATATCTACCACCAGCATCGCATGATCTTTCGAAGGATGATGTTCTAAACGGACTGTCATTTGTTTTTAATTATTAATGCAGGAATTATTTCTACTTATTTCCATCGGTGTTACCTCTGTCCGTCATGTTATACATTAACAGTTGATGGGTTCTAAGTCTCTGCGCGCTACTGACCATGCAGAGAGTCATTCTGTTAAAATCCCAGACATTTGTATAATTCGAGGAGTAGGGTATTTCTCAATTAGTACATACCCCATGGAAGCAATGTGGGTAATTGGAACCGTATAATATACGGTGTAGGCTATTGCAAGTGGTTGAACGATATCGGCAAAAACTCTCCATACTTTAACGCATTTGTCTACACCTAGAGACACGATATGACGTGAGAAGGCCGATGACCACAATTTCACGACTGGCCCACTATGTGCCTACGTGTACGACATTTGGGTATCAATTAATTTTTCCAAATTACTTTTAGCTTCGGGTGTATGCGCGTTAATCCTAAAGTATGTATATACGAATTATTATTCTTACTGAAATTTTACTTTCATGTTTCCCAGTTGACTCCTCGATGATCACAAGTTCTCCGTTTTCCGTTCCCACGACGATACGTGTACGAATAGCGTAAAGCACTTGCGGTTCTGGCAGAAACATTATTACCAGATTAAATGTAATTGAACTTCTCGACTTAATTATTCATAATTGAACGGCATTACTTTGTGGCTTGAGGTCATATCCGCGTACTTCCTCGTAAAATTCATAGGCCGCGATGCACGTTACGCCGGGGCCGTCGTTTATCCAAACATGTCTGAAGAACAATCATACGCGACGTTTCGATCACGACCGGTATTACTTGACAAATGTTAAATTGACGATCCCACGGAAATAATCAGCAAACTCACTTCATCTTCATCGGGTGACCCTTCGTGCTGCTCACAAGAATCTCTCCAGTTGATAAAATAATCGTGTACAGTCTTTCTGAAATATTTCCATTATTATTATTTGAATAAACCACGCGATGTTATAAATTGGAGCGAAATGTGTACTTCTGTTGCCACTATATGCCGTGGACACTACGTTAAGTTTTGGAGGAAGGATTTGTACATTGATCTGTCTCCCAGCAGGTGCGGACAGAATCCTGACGGAATTGTCGACGCTACTCGCCACAATTCTCGTCGGGTACATTGGATTATTCGTTGACGTTAAATTTGTAGCGGGTGCTCTGCGGAGTGAAAATGGACCCTTTACGTGCTGGCACTTTGCGCGATATTTGAGACCAACTTACGTGAGAGGGGCGTAGAAAATATACAATTGAAGCATGTTGAAGCAACTCAGTTTCTGCCCAAGTGTCGCAAGAGCCGCTGTAGTCAGATTTGTTGCCATGGCCCAAATTTCGCCTACGCTCGCAAAGCCTTCCGTCTACAATAATTGACGATAGCAGACGATAGTTACGATTTAATAACTATCGTCGATCACAATTCTTTTTTCTACCTACCTTGTCGCGAAGGTTGCAGCTCCAGACTTGTAAAACGTTATCATCGGAGCATGTAATAAATCCACAAATCGAGGGATGGGGAACTACATCTCTTACTTTTCCAGCATGACCTCCGAAACATGTCATCGTGTTGTTCAGTTCTAGGTCCCATCCCATAACTGTAAAAGCTATACGATATATTTCACGGGACAAACGGGGAAACATCGAATATTACCGTTTCCTTGTTGATCACCGGTAATGATCCACATGCTGGTAAGATGAAAGTGTAAAACCGTTATCGCTGCCTTTGTGGCATTCAATCGCTTGGCCAGAAATGCCGCGGGAACTCCGTCTTCTCTGTCTTTTCCAGATTCCAAAGGCAACACGTAAATAGTGTCCATATAGGAGCCGACCAACCTTAAAGTTGCTGCAGAAATCCATTATTTCTGAATTGCTTTTGAGTCAACTTTTCTACGTTACGTCGCATCCGCCCACGGAATATTCAAATATTAATTACCATTAAGAGTAAAAAAATTTCTCTAGTTTAGGATTTTTAACGACCATAATCATTCGTATTAAGGTAATTAAGGTACTAGAAATAAATACAGCAGTCCCTTAAGATATTGGAGTGCAATCTTACATGTACTTTGAGGTACCAACGAGGAGCATTCGATCTCCCACAAAGGACCGTATTCGCTGTCCACGTAACACACGGTCTTCCATGGATTTATCGTCTGTTCTTTATTGTGTAATGGATATCTCTGAACATCATTATTTTATTGAGACATTCTCTACTCTACTGTTTATTTTTAGTATTTAAATGGTATGTCTTACGGTCACTTTGTGCGAGCCCACGACTATTATTTCGTTAGTAACTGCTTCATAAAATATTCTCCCGATTCTGAATTCATTTCGCACCACTTGTACTAACGCAAATGTGGACGTTACTAGCCATATTAGGTCATCGTGAGGAACGTACGTTGCCAATATCTTGGCCTCGTCACACCAAATCATTTTTGTAAATCCCATTGCGGAACTTAAAACATACGATGGCTGAATAGGTTTCCCTTGCATGGAATATCTGTACACTGACACGGATGGATCCAGAACCAAGTACTCCTGAAAAGGACAAAAATGTTGAGTTCCCTAATTAGTGAGTATTTGAACATTCCTAAGTAGGTGTACGCATAATAATTCATGCTCGATAATGCAAGTTTTCAAATTGACAAGAAATTGAATTCAATAGAATACGGATATATCTACTCGTGTTTGGACGCAATAACAGATATCGGCATATTTTCCCAACATCGTGGACGAAGAAGTCATCTTTAGGCCATGATAGACTTTATCTTCTCGAATTCCCTCGAATACGTTCTCGTCGATGTGCGTTTTCAGACGTTCCCGCATTCTTGCAACCGTCGCCCGCCAAATTTCTTCCTTTTCCTCCTTTTCTTCAATATCCGAATCGTCCGACTCCATTTTTCTTTACAATACTTAACTTACTAACACTTCCGAATTTCAGTCACGAGATGACGTTAATACAAACTCCATTCCACTTACATTTCTGCAGCTTGAAGATCGCGATAATATTCGTTTCTTTGTTTTTCCATTTTAAGGGAGTTAAATATCTTACATACAATGTACATACGCGTTTAAATTTTCGACCAATTTTATTTTAAAACTACTTGTGTTGTACAAAAAATAGTCATAGTAGCAGAAATAAGCTAACGCGTTAGCGATATCGTACATGATTAAATATTGTCGGAAAGACTCTCATCGTTAATATTTCACACTTATTAATATGCATGGATAGAGAATTTAATAAAAAATCGATGACTATATACAAATTGACAGGATGAAAACTTATTCTGCTCGATCTAATTTAACATACTGAACTTTGAGTATCGCTGAACGCAAGATAAAGAACAGAAATAACAGTCAAATTTTGGGCTGCAGTTACCGGATACTTTAAAACTACTGGTGAATCCATTTAATTCTATGTTCATTACCCTGCGAAAATAGTAATTTAAACAAGGGTTACCACACGTGCAAAGCTGTGCTTCATCGAGATGCTTAATTAGAGTTAATGGAATTTTGCTCGATGTATAAGGTACTCTGCAAACAAAGAAAATATAGATCATTATTAAGGACTCTTGTATCGCTTCTTATGTTATAGTTTATAATAATGTATAATATAGTAAAATTTGCAACCTTTTCTTCAAAACCACGCGAGCAGCGATCTCAACTAAACTGAAAACACCCATTCTCACTATGGAAAACGTTTCGGATGGATTAAATGGATTTCCGGAAATGTCAAGATCATTTAATCTTAAATGTTTCAAGCTGCCTGGTAAAAATAATAACTTGTTCCCAGATATGTCTAGGTATTTTAAATTTATCATGCTTCCAATGGCTTGGGGCAAATACGACAGTGCATTATCACCAGCCTTAAGTGTTATCAAAGCTGTCAAGTTTCCAATTTGTGGAGGCAATGTGGCAATCTAATGACAAAAATATGGAGAAACGATTCGTTATGTTAATTTATTAATACCTAGCAGTCTTGTGCTCCTAAGTTCTTTTGTTTATCTTGAAAAAAAAATAGCGCTTGCATACATTAATGTGTGTATACTTTATAATAAAAATATGTTTTTAACAGTTATCTACTTACATTATTGGAACTAATGTCCAAAAGTCTTAGACCATGTCGCATACTTTCTCCGTTAAGCCATGCCCATCTAGAAAGAGGGGCACTTCCAAGTAAATTATTTGCTAAATTTAATTCCTGTAAATTCTTCAATAAGTCTAATTCTTTTGGCAAGGCAGAAATTTGATTATCCGATAAATTCAGGACTCTTAAACATTGCAGCCTCAAAATTTGCCGGTCGAATGATTTTCGTTTTAAACCAACGACGTGTAGTTCTTCCGTCGTTTTTGAAAACCCTTGAAGTACTGGATAATCTGAAGCCTTTCTTATAATAATTTTACTCCTCTGTCCTGGCAACACATTTTTAGGATTTAAATTTGAAACATTTAGCACATTAAGATCAGCTGATTTAGAGATTCCTAATTTTAAAACATGAAGGAAACTTTTCAATTGAAGAGTATCAGATTGGATAATTAAATCATGGGGTGGTTCCTTCATTCTTATGGTGGCTTTTCCTTCATTAACAAAGTTTGCAAATATCTTTTCGATATTATTGTCTATCTAAAATGAAAGTGCACATTTTAAAAAGGGATAAAATATACTCTTGGCTGATACGATTACATTTCAATTCAAAGTTCTTACTTTATATTTAATCCCTTGTTTATCCTGCTGGGTTTGCAGAAGAATATAAAGTTCATTGTTTTTAACCGAGTATCTTCCAAGGGTAAGGCAGGCTTGTCGAGATTTTCGTCTCGTACTTATACAATTTGATGTAACCGCTTGTCTAAAGCTGACCTCGATGTTGCAAATTAATTTCATGTTTCCTAGATCTCCGTTTTTGCTCGAGGTTCAACTACAGGAAAAAATTTGATTTCAAGTTGCTATGTGACAAACATATCTCTGGATTCTGCACTTTTCGACCTAATAACAAAATGATTGATAATACAGTTATTCGTGTACTATAGAATCAATTGTAACTAAAAATACTTTTAAAGGCTTGATTTCTTTCCCATAACCAATGTCCTGCCAGTCTTGCCTTCCATCGATTCACTTCATTTCACTCTATTTGGTGGATTTCGGCTCCAGTCGTGATTTCAGTGTCAGCGTTTATCCTTGCTTACAGCAGCTTACAGCGCTTACAGATATTTTCTTTTAATTTGGTTTGCGCTTTCCACTGATGTCGTCGTCTCCCTTAGCTTTGAGTGACATCTGTGTTACGTATGACGAACCTTCCGCTGGAAAAATTGGCCCAGCTTTCAGGGTGAATGTGTCTACGAACACGTTGTGCAATGTCGAGCATCAAACTATGACTTCGTAGGCGGTGCTAGAAAGTAATAGGTTTAGGTCTGGTGCAAATTACTGTTGAGTACTAACTTTGTGCATTTAAGTTGAAAAAACTCGATCGATATGGATACCATCTATTTCCTATAACTTTTGCGAAATATAATTTCATGAATGTTAAACCTTTCCCATTGTTCATTCAAATGCAATTGCTTACCGAGTATGAGTAACATCTAACCTGAATGCAGAAGTATTTTTTACTTTAAAAACGCTCCATTTATATAAGTAATGTTTTCAATTAATGTTTTTATCATAATTGCATCTGGTACATAATTTATCTCTTCTTTACTAAAAGTTTTCAATGTCACAATTAAGAGTATCGAATAAATCAATGTTGTTTTATGATTTTTAAAAACATTAAATTATCCTCTAACGTAGTAATAATTTTTTTGTTTAGATAATATGGATAAGACTGTTAAAAGTCTGCTGAGGTTATCGTTAACCTTCCGTAATATTAAATTTCTACCAAATCATGCCACATCGGAAAGATTAATGAAAACTACAGCAGTATGTTATATCAATAATAGAGGTATGAATTAATATTTATAAACTCTTAATTGATAAATTCAGGTATTGTGTTTAAATTTTACAGAGTCACAGGAATATACAGCAACAGATTCTGCATATCGAACACCCGATCAACTGATCAGAAACATACAATATTCAAAAAACTCGAATGATGTTCTTGCATTAATAGCAAATCATTATAGAACAATGAATGTCCAGCATGTTCGAACTGCAGCAGACTTCTTACTTAATTATTACAAACATGATTACGATGCTATTGAGAAAATTCGAAACACAAAAGAATTTTCACTTTTGTGTGAAGCTTTAAAAAGAAATATTAGATCATTGTCAACATCTGAAACAATAGAAATGTTGAAGTTCTTATCATTTTTTAAAGTCCCAAGTAATAGCGTAGTTTTCAATATGTTGCTCGTAATAGTAAAAGATTTAATTAACCGATTATCGATGTGGGACTTGATCTTTTTACATTTCTTATTAGGACAGATACAAGAAACTCCCTTAATTCAAGGGATTAAAATAGCTTTGCCAATTGTTTTCGATATAAATGTACCTACTAAGCTTGACAGACAGAATGTTAATGAACTAGCCTCTAGTTTAAGATTTCTGTGTACTACAGCAAAAAATTCAAAAACCATAGAATTCCTTTTGGACAATGTAAAAAACAAACCATTGAATGTAAAAGCAGCAATAGACTTGTACATAGCTTTATACTCATTAGAATATCTGCCCGAGAAGTATATTCCACTTCTAACGAGTTCACAAAACATAATAGCAAAAGAATTGAAGAAACCTACCATTGGCACCATTGCAAACCTTCTACATCTCATGCTCGACAAGCGGACCGAGAGGTGAATACAAAAGAGTACATATGTCGTTCCTTGTTTCATATTGATTTCCATTTTTTAATGTGTAGGCAACCAGTGTTTTACCATGAAGGGGTTATAGATGCTTGTGCAGCAGCTGTTATAACAAATGGAATGAGCTTTGTACAAGGAGCTCGTATACTTTGTATTTTGAATTATCTGCATCATACGCATATTCAACTATTAGATTATCTGGCAACAAAATGTTTCGAGGATCCAAACTTATTGACCACTTGTGCTCCAAAAATGGTTGAAAGCTTTGTACAGGGATTATCTATGGCCGACTATAAACCCATATTTTGGGAAAACATACAATCAGCAATAATAAGCAGTCGAATATTTGAAAGAATTGAAAAAATGGACTGCGATTTGACAAGATTTGCTGTAAATCTGTTATGCTTGGATTGCTTTCTTCCAGAGCTTCTAGATAAAATCTTTCGTCCATCTAATGGTGAATTGAAAGTCAATAAGGACATTGTACTATTGTATCAAGCCGTAAGAGCTCTGTATCCCATGTACGGAGGTCAATGGTTTTCTATAGACCTGTCTAACTCCGAAGGCATCCATTACCACAAATCATGGTTTATAATGCAGGACACGCTAGAACAAGCGTTAGGAGGTCGGCAGTATGTTCTAACTGCAATGCGCACAAAACTTGGACATTTCATTGGTAAGTTATCTAAAGCAGTGAATATTTAATTACTTCTACATTTATAAATCATTTCAGATCATGCCATTGTAATGAGAAAAGGGGGATATCCAGTGGCTGTGAACACGCTTTCAGAAACGTGTTCTGGCACAACGAACACTTTACTCAACCAATGTATCGAAGACATACAGATTCCATTGGGAAGTCAAGTGTAAGGATTATTTTTAATGAATTTTGTTTCTAATTGATGAAATATATTTAAAATTTGAGTCGCTCAGAGAAATTTCCCAAAATTTGGATACTCATCTGATTATTGTTTTAGGATACTCATTTTGTATTTGTCAGGAGGAGCATATAGTACCAATACGTCCAATTTACATGGAGGCTGGTCTTTAATGATAAGAAGCATAGAGGCATGGTCTGGTCACAAGGTTGTTATAGTTCGTTCACAACTGTGGAAAGATCTTCCTGCGCAAGAAAGAATTCCATATATCATGCAGGCAATAAAACTAAAGTGTGACAATGAAACGTCGCTTGCTCATGGATAATATGGAATGAAGCTTGACTTTCATTGACTGTACAATATGTTATCCACTTGGCAGTGCTGATTAAATTCTGAAAGAAGATACAGAGGTCGATAGCCTTATCTTTGGATAATTTTTTGCAAGTGAATCCCACTATGTAGGATCGTGAACGGTGCTAAAGAATAATGGGAAATGCTCATTGTAATAAGCACCTTGTATATTCACTGTCAAGATAAAGGTATTTGGACGCAGACGATATTTGTACGACAGAATGATATTTTTACTTGTCGTTTGCATATAATCACCTTGTTTTTTCAAATTGTATCAGTTGTATACAGACTTGCTGTAATGCAGCAAGCAATCATTAAAAACAATTGAATTCACTGTATTGAACATTAATGTTGAATTCACGATGGCATTACTTAAGTGGCAGCATATCTCCAGCTTAGGAACTTTATGGGATGATTTCATAGGTTTTATCGATTGATCTCAGTTAAAGCAATTTTTAAGGAGTCACACTAAAACTTACAATTTTATCTTTATAACAATTTATTTATATGAAAATATGTAACAGCAACAATAAAATATAATAATAGTTCGATCGCGTATGCTCTAAATATGAGTACAATGTGAAACTAACTTTGCTCGCATCAAATGCATAATGCAATATTGTTCGCAAATGAGACTACATCATTTTTGTAGACTTTCAGACAGTGAATTCTAATCCGAGAAGCGTTTCACTGTCTTTTCTCGCGGCCTTTTTTAAACATCGCCATTTTTCATAGACTATAACCTCTGTAATTAGACTGTCGAGTTCTGCATCTTGAGTCACAGCATAACTGGGAAATCGAAGTGATACGGAAAAAAATATTTTCCATGTAAAATGAGAAGAAATACATTCATATAAAATTTTAATTCTAGATATAAAAGATGTAGTTCTAGATATAGTAAAAATTGCAAAGCATAAATGATATAAATGTTATTATTCAAATTAATTTGTTAAAAAAAAAAAAAAACGTCTAATTGCAATCTCAGGTTATGAAGAAAAGCTGCCTATGGATAACACAACCAGAATCTGTCTGGAGCACCGATTAGCACCATCTTTATTATCGAGTTGTAACAAGAAGTAAAGATCATTGGTTCAAACCAAATAGCTTAAGAGCACTAAAAGCAGTGGCCAATGCAACTTCTTCAGGAGTAGACTGCATGAATGCAGCTACCATTTCAACTATAGCTGGCAAGGCACAGGGCTCGTTACGTTGAAAGGTACAATAACGATGAAGAAAAGTCATTGATCTTTCGGTGAGAGCATCCTTGACACGAGAGGGCAATTTACTGGCTCTTGTATTAGGATACATGAACGGGGCATCGGTTTCCACTAAAATTCGTTCTAAAGGTGCTTGGCCTCCTTCTAGTAACTGCCTTACACCACTGTCTGATTTATCCTTACATAAATAACCGGTAATGCCTAGGTAAAACCCTTCGTTTAGATAGATTTGACCTTCCTCTGCAGTTCCGGTGAAACAATGAATTAGTACCGATGGTAGACGGTTTGTATAATGACTAAGTACTTCTAGAACGTCGCTTTGTGCTCCTCGTTCATGAATTATAAGAGGCTTATTCAACCGGCAGGCTAACTCAACTTGTTTATGGAAAACGGAACGCTGTGTGTCTGGATCTGAAAAATCACGATTGTAATCTAATCCACATTCTCCTATCGCGACACATTCAGGATTAGAAGCTATGCTTTCAAGTTCCTGTGGGGTTTCTGGTTCTTCCCAGGATTTTGCATCATGAGGATGTACCCCTGCAGTGGAATATAACGTTCCAGGGTAAATTCTTGTCAAACGTAAAGCTTCTTTACTGGAGCGAATGCTTGCTCCAGTTACCATAATTTTCTGCACACCTGCATCTTTAGCTCTTTGGATAACACTATCCAAGTCTCTACTATACTTCTTATTAGTTAAATTGGCACCAACATCCACTAATATATAATTTTCGTAGCACCGAGTCATGGCTGATGCTGTGCCTTTCTCTTCCGCATTTGAACCACCTGCATTTTCAGCCATTCCTTGATATTTCCTTACCAGTATCTATAAGAAATACATATAATTGTACTTTGATATTCTTTATGAAAATTTTGAGGACATTGTTTCTAACATTGCATTGTTATTAATAAAATACTATACAAAAGCATATATACATTTTATAACGTTTAATTCTTTCTAAACAGGATACATTGGAGTATGTGTTTAAACATAAGCAATTACTGAAGTAAAGTGATTAAATGTACGGAATAAACTGTCTAAATTATTGCAAATACAAGTGCCGACTTAAATCAATTTAAATGACACCGTTCAGGTTAGATTTCTAACCTAGAACAGTTTGAAGGAACTAAGGCATATCTTTTATCAATTCTGGCGCAAATGCAGCAACCGCACTATAAAGATTTTAACGTGCTTACTTATTTGCTGCGGATATTTTAATATTGTACGTCGCAAATGACAAGTGTTGAAATCCAATCAGTAAAATGACATCACCGAGCCAACTGCATGGTATGGTCACAGGGTTGTGTCACACATCCATACATCATATGAATGTACATTTATGCACACGAAACAATGTGCATACATATAGGATTGCTGGATTCGATGCTTACAGAGATGAGTCGGGAGATTGCTCACGGGCAGGGTCGCGCGATCGGTCCTGTGCTATTCCCTGGTGGAGGATGCGGACGGCTATCAGGGGGCAGCACAGGACGCGATCGCGCGACCCTGCCCGTGAGCAATCTCTCAACTCATCTCTGACGCCAAGGTTCCGGTAAGTTTTGAGTTTCCTTGTATTGGCAGCACTGGACTGCATCCGAGGGAGGTCAGTGACGCATGCGCAGTCGCAACGCGCCGCTACAGTCATAAACAACATTTTTTCAATCCATATTCATTACGGGTTTACTCAAACGAAGAAAAAGAATCGTCCGAGCGAAAGCGAGGATCATTTTTCGGATTTTCGCGAGAATCTAGAATGAAAATCGGGTCCGTTTCGGTGGAGTGAACGTCTGTAGTCGAGACGCTCAGGGGACTTGGGTTATGCGGTGACGTCATTCGGATCGTTCTGGAAGAACGCTGTGGGACGATAATGGCGAGTACGTATTTGTCGGTGGCAAAAAAGCAACGAGATTGGCGCGTTACAGCCCGAAAATGGTAGACCGCGTCGATTCTAATTGCTGCATACGTTTTCCAGACTTGTACGGGACGTACAACTGTACGTACTGTCAACTGGATATCACGGATCTACGAGTTAAGTGCATCGAGTGTCCAGAATTCGACCTCTGCTTGCAGGTGAGTCGAGTCAACGCCTGCCCGGCGTCACGTGGTCTCCCTCTCCTTTCGCCGCCTCACCTCTCCGCGATTTTGCGTGCTGAGATTTCACTCCCTGTCCTCGTCCTATCGCTCTATCGTCACTACTGCTGTCAATTTCCTCTTCACCCCTTTCGCTGACTAAAAGCCGTTTGTCCATGCATCTCGAACGAATACGTACTTACCTGTATTCGATATACGCGTCCAATGTCAGTGAACGCCTCGAAAAATCGGAAAATCATGTTGCTTCGGTGATAACGCCCATAGGCGTCACATTTAAATCATTTTCAAATTGTGCACGAAACAATTAGGTTAATGAAGGATCGTAAGGTGCTTAGCTATTTATTACTAATTAGGAATTATTAATTGTATCAAGCTCAATGTAGCACCAAATAAATTTATGCTAATACAAGAGGATTATTTTACTCGCGATCTAGAGATTTTATATTGGTTAAAAAAATTTCAGGTAATGAAAACATATCTCATTATCTTTCATAGTAACGAAAAGAGCGTCGGAATATTTCAAAGAAATTATTTTATCAAGTTAAGACTAGGTTTAATGTATACTCATATACTACGCAGACGGTTTACAAAATCAACCATAGCTCAGAATATAGAGGAATATTTTTAAAGTTCACAGACCGCCTGCATACATTTGATACAAATTATTTTTAACTTATGATTATATAGCATAACCTTATTTTGCAGTGTTTTTCTGCTGGTGCAGAAATTGGACAACATAAAAATGATCATTCCTATCAATTTATGGTAAGTTTTTATTTCTAATGCATTGTCTATATTTAGTGCGTTAAATATTCCGTAAAATTTGAGAAATATCCTTTTTATTATATATACCAGGTAATGGATTTTGATGCGATAGCAATGTGTTAGATTACATAAATGATTCTTATACCAAAGTATCTTATGTTTCATTAACAGGATTCTGGCACCATTAGTATATTTAATAGTAGAGGCAACTGGACGGCAATAGAGCAACTTAGACTGTTGGATGCGATCGAACAATTTGGTTATGGAAACTGGGAAAATATCAGCGAACATATCGAAACGAGGTCACCCAAAGGTAAATGGTTTTATTTCTTTTTATTCACCAAAAGGTACCTTCATTCCCCCAAATTCGTTTTTTTTTTTTTAGATCCTCTTTAACGAACATAACATTTATTACATATCTTTATAAACGATTAATTTTAATGATAATTATAACAATATTTTATTGCAGAGGCGAAAGAGGAGTATATTGCTAGATATCTTGATGGGAACATTGGGAAACACACATGGCCTCCGACAGAAAGCTATAAACCAAATCTTACCGATCAGACCAGTTCAGATCATGGGCCGCTGTCACCTGACTTAACTTCAAAATTACCACCATTGGATATTACTCCAGAGGAGGCCGGAGAACTTGGCTACACGCCACAACGGGATGATTTCGATAGTGTGAGTTACATTGTGAGATATGTGCAATAATAGAAGGCCTACTCGTTAAGTACTGTCACAAAATGCTGCAACGGATTATCAATCAGATTTTCATTTCATGTATATGCCCTTTTTGGTCTAATGAAAAAAATTATATTTTTCAGGACTATAATCATGAAGCGGAGTCGCTCGTCTCGTCTCTGTTCCTAAATCCAGCTGAGGACGATGACCTTGACATCGCTCTAAAGCTAGCACAAGTTGATATGTATACAAATAATCTTCGTGAAAGGGCAAGAAGAAAACGCGTTGTACGGGACTACCAACTTGTCTCAGCATTTTTTGCTTCGAGTAGGAAAGACCGGGCAGTAAAAAAGAAACAAACGAAAGAAGAAAAGTAAGTGTCCTAAAGTTTTCAGATAAGTTTGCAAATGTCAAGGATTCAGCATTTCATGTGATAAGTTCATTTTTTTGTTTCGTTTTGTTTTGTTAGCTTATTATTGGATACATGTGCATTGCATAGGCTTGTATAAACTGATCAAAAATGAGTTCTTATAATTTCCTCATCTGGTAAAAGAAGTAGTAATAATGTGTCTTTTTATGTAGAGAGTTCAGAGAAAGGATGCGAGTATTTGCTCAATTTTATACTGCGCAAGAATATGAACAGTTTCTCAGCAACCTTGAGAGGGAACGTGAGCTTCGCTTGAGACTGTCAGAATTGCAGCGGTATCGGGAAAATGGAATCACGAGGCACGAGGAGTGTGCTCACTTTGAGCAAGTAATAATGCAAACTCAAAATCCAAACGACATAGCCGATCACTGGACGGAAAAGAAATCTGTAAGTATTAGTCGGCACCTTTATTTAATCTCAACGGTCCAAAATATTAGTCAGAAAGTCATTAGAAATCCTTTTATCATCTTGTGCTCGTGTCATACCCAGTATGTATGGTAGGATGAAATAATAATACGACTGCAATAGTGTTTCCTTTCTTCCTATGAGATCTCCCCATAAAACAGATAGCAGGGGCATGCTCAGTTGTTTGAGGAAATAAATCACAACTACCTAAATAAAATGCCATAACTGACTGTCATTCATGGAAGCATTATCATAATATTTGAGTTCAAGAATTTAGATTCTTACTCGAGTACATACCAGTCGTAATGGCAGTTCAGTTTTTTCATGCTTTACGTGCATCCAATCACTTTCATTGCCCATTAGACATCAGGGCTTAAAGAAAATCAATAAACAATTTAGACACAGGCATTTTGCACAAGATTTACATTCCTATAATATTTCTTCATTGGACTTTAACTGAACTGTCTACATTAACACGGCTAATTAACATTAACCCATGTTTCTAAGAAGCTTTGGGCCTACTTGGTTTATGCACAGTGCTTGTAAGAACTCGTAAGCTTGTAATAGCCTTTGCTACTTAATGCACGAAAATCTGCTGGCTAATCGGTTAAAATCTATTAGTTTAATAATATACATTTAAAACATAATCTTAAGTTAAATTAAAAATTATGCGATTATTTGAGAAAATATTGACACGCACAAGACATTCAAGGAAACTGTTTACTTTTGATATAAAATAATATATACAATTGTGAATACAATTTTAGTTCCGTTGAGTTGAGAACAAAATCGTACGAAGATTTAATTGAAACGGTGTACCTACATTTTACAATTAATATAAATCTACATGATCGAAACAAATTAAAATTCTTATCGATAGACATCAAATTTATTGGTTGTTGCTTATTATTGACTAATTCCATTGTTTGTGGTGCGTGTTGCCAGGCATTTGTGAACAGATTGTATCAGTTTGCATTTCACTTAGGGCAGCAGTGGGCCGTCCACGCCAATACATCGCCTAGCCCTAAAAAGAAGGTGAGTTTCCTTTCCAAATAGTTCAGTTTAACTCGATATTTGAATATGGTGGTTATATATACTTTAATAGTAACCGTTTTATCAAAAGTTGAAAACTGCCGTCCTGCTCTATTTGTGAAAATGTAAGGGGAGGTTAGAAAAGTATCTCATATCAGAAGGGTGGAGTTTGAGGAACAAGAGCATGTAACGGGCGAATAAATGAATGCAACTAAGGGTTTTAAATGTTTTCTAGAGTAAGGCCTAAATCCGTTTATGTGAAACTCTCTTAGACTGGAGAACAGAGGCGATTGATGGTATGGCCTGTAAACGTGAGTTTGGTATGAGTGATCGTGTAGGAATTACTCCGTCTTATTTTAGGTGCATAACTAGGAATCGTGATTTTCCGAAAGTGTCACAGAAATTGTTTTTGTAACCACCACGTTCGCTTGCTTCACAGCTTCTGCGTAGACTCGTCGGCGTGGCTTTTTACGTGGCTTTACAAATCCGACGATTCGAGGACAGTGCTCGAAACGGAAATTTGTTGATCTGCAGTCTAAGACTGACGGAGTTAAAATGTCGTCTTTCTTAATTTTAGTAATTAAATACTTGGGTTAATCTAGAATTTCACGTGAATTGTAAGTATAGTCGGTGCTCGTTAATTCGGTGGTTGATCCGTCATACCGTGAAAAAGTATTCTTAACGATTGCCACTTAAATGTGGTATTACTCAACTTGACCGTTTAGACGGCCTTGCAAGAAGAATGCCGGCAGTAGCACGATACTTTCTGACGTTTAGGGAGTGCAGGTAATTAAAGTTTGATAACCACGAGGTCAGTGTGCCGAAAACCACGATTCGGATACGATCCGTATAAATACGTGTATACATACTACAGGGTACTGAAATTTCAGCGCTAGTAATTTCGGTACTTCTAGCATGTATCGTTGGACGTTCGACGTCACCATTAAACGGGGGCGCGAACGATCGGACGGCGGTGCGGCTTGCTCGAAAATTGGCCGAGTCAAGTGTCGTAACGGGACACGATGAGCTCCGTCAAATTGGAGCGTAATCGGTAATTTGGCTTATTTATGTTTTTCAGAGACGAAGAAAAAAGCTATTGTTTCACCGACCGAAAGTACACTACAAGAGCAGACTCGGGCAGCAGCAGCAGCAGCAGCATCTTAGCCAATCAAGCCGGTCTCAGTCGGACGACGACTCAAGCCAATCAGTCGGTGGAGCTGGATAGCAATCCCAATTTGATAGACCACCACTCTGCGAGTTGCAGCTCCACCGCGGAACGGAGCAACGAAGCACCCTCGTCCGCGAGGACTTCCTCGACGGGGCTCGGGGACCAGGAGGAAAGGGACATAGAGATGGAGGCCGCGGCGCATCTTCTCACCAAGCAGGAAAAGATATTGTGCTTTCAGCTCGACTTAAAGCCCACTCAGTATTTGACGCAAAAGACGCTACTACTGCAGGTAATTCTCCGTCCATACGATCTCGCATCGGTTGCTTCCATCGGATCGAAAAGCGATCTTCGATACCGACGTTGCTTTTGCAGGAATACCTAAATGGAAACAGAAGGTCGGGAATGGTACCGCAGTCCGAGCCAGAGAGTAAGATCCTCCGTTACCTGGTGTCCAACGGCTGGATCGTAGCCAATTAAGATCAATAGATATGGATCGCAACCGTTGGCCGTTGTTCATCTCTAAGTCATCTCCTAGCTGGTGCAATCCTAGTTTCTAGGTGTAAATAGGCAGGTCTCCGTGCACCGGTCGCTTCGTTTTTCATCCGAAAATTCGTATCGTTTGTCTGCGAAGATGTGATTCTGCCTGCAAGAGGGGAAGCAATGCTAATTTTTCATGGAAAGGTGGAAACGGAAGTTCGTTCACGTTGGAAGTGCGTAAAGCAACTCGCAGAAGGATACGGTTTCCGATGGTCGGGGAGATATCCGTAATTATTAAAAAGGTATTTACGTAGGTGGGGCACGTCTCATGTACGTAAAGATATGTCTTAATTTCATTTTGAAATTGCATTCGAGAACTGTCAAATCCATGTGTTCCATGGGAAGGACGCTACTGCCGCGGTTAATTCGTAAACTACAGAGGAGCAACCTAATCTTTGATGACGCGTGATCCATGTTCGTGCCGATATAACGACGTCCCTTTACGACCACGTGTGTCTCCCGTTGGCGTCCGATGATTGCCAAAGTCGTTACTTCGGATTTTGTCGCGTGAAGCAACGATTCGATTTTTAGGTATTCTTAAGACTGTGGCGAGAGCATCGTTAACGAGGCTTAAGAAGTCAGGATAAAAAAGTAAACAAAGGAATCGTTATTATTTACTTTTGGTAGAACGAAAATGTTTTTTCATATTTATTTTTTCGACCTTACATTTAGCAGAATCCGCCTCTGAAGCGTGGTCACGAATTTATGAATATTAAGGAGCCCTCGTTGACGTAAGTCATGAAGATATGCATATCCGAATGGCAATAGGAGATCGGAAGTCAAGCCGCACTCCAAAAAACGATTATTTTTCATTACTCGTGCCCAACGGCTGGATCAATGCGAATTCGACAACCTATTTAGCATAGTTGTTGACCGTATGCATGTTACAAGTACTAGTAAGCTAGTATGCGTTGGTACGTGCAGATTCACTGAATTTCAAGTGACCGAAATTCCGAATACCAGATGGTAAGTCTCGGTTGTCTAAAAATTGTCAGCACGTAGAAAATTTTGCCCAACTCTACCGGGATGTACCAAATCTCAACGACTCCTGGATTTTCGAAAAATATTTAAGTATTTGTGCTCGAAATGATCATTTCCGACACGATTTGCGAACCGTGTATGTTATCATACGAGTGTCTAGTTAGGTACGATGTGTCTATCGCGTACATGGTACAATTCGTGAAATTATCTCGAAGTTGCATTCGCGAATTGCTCTTCGAGCTAGGCGCAAATGCCGATTGTCTCGTTTAATGGACATTCACCCAGTACATCGCTGCAATGAGGTTACAAGCGGACGAAAGGCAAAGATTTTTGAGTGGCTTCTGCTTTCACGAGTGTACTCTGGCTAACTTTCATAGTTGTAATGTATTGCTCAATGTAATCTTCCAAATAGTTATTTTTCCATGTAGGGTTTATGTGTTATTGGAGTTCTCTCCTTTGGAAGTTGAATGTGTTAATGTATCCAGCGGCGAGAGAAGCTCTCAAGAGAAACGTGACAAATTGTCAGTTATGAATGTCATTAGGATTCTTAAGAAGTGGTGAGCGATGTTTTTGAAATTTCGAGTAAGACTTAAGACGTAGCAACTTAATGGTCAACACAATTGAACACTTTACGTTGAATTAAAAAGTTATCGTCCCGCTTCCATCACTTTACAGATTGTGATGACAGAAATATCGTTGCACCGTGGTCGAGGTGATTTTCTCTCGTATCGCTGAAAGCAGTAGCTGATTTATATGGGACATGGCCCATTTATTGTAAAGTTATATCTAACAAGGAGACGAAGCGTAATTACGTAACGAAACGCAGTAACTTAGTCTTTGGCTTAATCCAAACCCTGTAAGGCTCGATTCCTTATGGCTGAAGAATGGTGCGATTGTATAATGCAAACATACAAAAGACACGACACTTGGTTTTAACTCGTGTTACGTGTCAGTAGACGATTCAACCGTTGCTTGTCCGGAGCACTTGTACATACGAGAAAGGCAGTACCTTTTTAGTAATAGTTTTGAGGAACATGTTAAAACACGTTATATTAGATCTTTCGAGTGAAAGATGCGTAATATCGTGTTCAGAAATCGCGTGCGATCCGTTGAAGCGGAATGCTCTTCACCGTCTGACAAATTCCTTAATTTCTTCCCGATTGTGCGTCAGTTTAGATTATCGCGAGATCAGTTGATCGAGGGTAACGTCCTTATTCACATTTTTTTCTTTTTTCCTTTTTAAAGCGTTTTGTTTTATCTTCCAACCGATGACTCTTGACGATCGATTTATTTCCCTTGCGTGTCCATTTTATGATCGAACTCATGGTCCAAATTGAAGAGATGTTCGACAGTGCAATGGCACGTTCCTCGTTCGACGCTTCACTTTTCGTGAAAGGCATATTCTTAGAGAGTAAAAAATTGCTGAAAGTTCTGATGCGTTCGTTGAGAACGCAATTCCGTCAGAACTGGTCGCATCTCTATTTTTCCACCATACTTATTGTGGCCTCTGTGAGAGAAAGAGCCACGCTTGTTAACTGTGAAACTATTAGCCATTAACTCTATTCTCTCCCAAAACATCCACGCTTATTAAGTGTTTAAGTGAAACGTAAGTTTAAGCTAGGTAGGAAAAACAAAGTAAGACCTATGATTACTTAGGGAAAAAAAAATTACGAGCAAGGTATACAGATAACGCGTAAACAGGATGGAATTGACGAAGGAGTTTTCGGCTTTGAGAGTCGGAGCTGCATACATTTTTAGCTGTACGCTTGTACGTACATATCTGTCCGTTGCGAATTATTGTTTACGCGGAATTGCAGTTCAACGGCGAAGACGGATTCTCGCTCGTGTTTTACTCCCGGAGAGATACTTACGGCAATCGGACGATCGGCGAGTTTAGTTTTTTTCTTTTATAGTAACCCGGTTTACTCTCTCTTTTTTTTTTTTTATTATACAATGTATGTTTCGCAGTGGTTGTAGGTAATAGCAGTTTGTCCAGGAACGAGTACTCTTGGGTGCTGCCTCTTGTTTTCTATAAGACTTTTACATTTTGTGATATCTGAACTGCGATTATTGTCACGCGCTTCGTGCAGAGGGAACTCTTTTGCGCGTCTTAGGGTAGTTGCATCGAGGAATGCCGTTGTTTGATTACATAAGCAGGAAAGATGACTTAAAAATTTGTTCCGTTCGTAGAAGTCCGTCGGGTTAACTCGTTGCTAGAATTGAGTCGATTAGATGGTTCGAAAACTATAACGAGTTTGTAGTAAGATCCCGCAGCGATTAAGCGTATAAGATGTAGCATGCGTTTTGTCCTCGACACCTCTGCCAACGATGACATTGTATTTGACATTTGTTCGGCATTTTCCACCCGAAGAGAATTGTACCGAAACGATCGCCAATCGACGAGTCCACTAGAGTACGCCGCATCTTCGACGATAACGATGACTATTAACGAGCCGTGGTACAAGTTATTATGCCGTCTAGTCTTATCCGCGCGTTCTCGATTCTCATCGGTTTCCGTTTATAGAATTTGCCCGATATAATTACAAGGTGCTGCCGTACAATTTTCTTCGTGTGACCGTACACAAGAAACGGAGATTACCCGTAAATCACTGTTATCTTCCGCCATGGCTTCTGAAAGGTGATCGTCGCTATTTTGCGTGCATGAAAAAGAACGAACGTACGCTTTGAAAAGCTCATCTAAATGAAAATGAAATTCAGCGAGATACCCTGCGACGCGATACCTGATTATGCGTAGATATCCGGTGCACCTTGTTATTCATGACAAAGAGGCGTGTCCGGTTTCCGAAGAAACGAGCAGAAACGAGGGTCTTATCCGTAGTCGGGATCGATGCGCAGTTCCCTCGATGTAGGTTTACGTTCCAATGGTTCACCTCTTTGCGTGGCTTCGATTAAAACGGTACGCTCGAGCATTGTATCTTAACAACGATAGAGTATTACACGCTATTACATGTTTGTTACAAAAGTTTGGTATTAGAGTACCGAATATATGTATATATATTTTAAAAAGAATCTACGCTCCTTTTTGCCTCCTTTTTTGTCTACCGCGTCTCCGACCGTTCCGGTCTTATTCCAAAAACTCTCGCAATCCTAAATGAATATTTTTGTGAAAACGGTTAATCGAAGGTTAATCCATGTCAGCGAGCAACCGTGGTTTATCCGACCGCTGCCTCGACGGACTCTATCGGACTCGGACGAGCGCGAAGGTCGCGACTCCGAAAAAGCTGGGAGTATCGGGATTCCCCCGGGAACACCCGGGAACACCCGGGAACACCCGGGAACTTGGACGGGCCCCGACCTCGACCCCTCGACCCCTCGACGCGAGATCCCATCTCGGGCGCATAAATCGGTCGTCCCCCGTGTCTGCTTTTTTCCTTCCATCGTCGGCTCGTAAACAGTTTGACCGCAAGCCACGTCACGGCGAGTCGCGTCGCCGCGAAGGACGCGGAATCGGCCATCCCGGGACTGGGACTGGGACTGGGACCGAATCGAAACGTCGGCGAGACCTTTGTAACCGATCCGCTCGTTCTTCCGACTACCCGTATCGTAAGGTCTGATCTAGAAGGACCACGGGTATCCGAGTCAACTCTTAGACTCTCGAAATAACGCCGACGCGATATCGGCTAATGAATGGCGCCAAGTATTTTGACCAAGGATTTTGGCCGATTACCGATCGCATCGCGAAGACTGTCGCGGATGTATACCGTACGGATAAATACATCGACATCAACGAGTTTTCTTGTTTCCTTTTTTCTTTCAGTTTCCAATCATTAATAACGTCATCGAGTGCCTAGGTTATTGTCGGTTATCCAGAAAATTGCACGAGGTGAATATCAATTGACGCAAGCCGCGTGAGACCTTCGTGCCGATCATAATGCTGCATGTAATTTGCGCATTGTTCCGACTACCTGGAAAGTAAAATCCATCCGTCATTCTTGAAAGTCGACGTTGATGTCCTCGATCAATGGACAAGAAGCGCCTCGTAAGTTAATCGCGTCCAAACATTTTTCAGAATCCTTTCGTTCGTCCCTTATCGTCGTTTTACGTGAAATCAGAAGTTTGTGGATTTTAAGCAACTTTTTCCTTCAAAGTACCCTCGTACAAGAGACCGGGAGTACCATCGTAACTTAGTTTTAACATCCAAGACCGTTAAAAGTTCAGAAGGTTCTAAATAAGTATAATAAATTAATACAGAGAAGATCGGTTCACCCCCCGGGTAGATGATTTCCTCCCGAGTTCCATCGAAAGTAAAAAATTGTGCCAACTGCTCCATAACAAAGAAGATCGAAACCTGCGTTTTAACGTAACGTCTTCTTAACGCGTAATGCATCGTTTATTCGTCAGCCATTTTTGCATGCAGGAAAAGGAATCGATACGTTAGGTGCATTTTCCCCCTTCTTTTCGATGGTTCGTTAATATTAATGGTTTTGCAAACGTCAGCTCGCGTTTTTCTTTTCCCTTGATATATAAAGTTAATCCCTAGTCCCGTCGATTCCGTCACGTTGCAGTTAATTCGTTGGCACTCGAGTGATTCATCGATGCCAAAGTAATACATCACGAAAGGACACTTGGCGTGGAAATCGCTAATGAGCGCTATTGGCAAAAAGTATCGAGAGTCATTCATGGAAGCCGATACCGATCGATAAAAAGTGAATATCACGTTTTTCAAAGCGGAAGGATTAAGAAATGTAATAATTACCCAAGCGTTTGAATGTTTCTTTTTATCCGACTCTTGATCGTGGATCCTTTGTTACGATGGAAATCGTTTTATTTCCCATTGTTTAGGAATCGTGCACGTTAGGACTTGACTTTCGTTCGGCCGTGAAATGGCAATAATTTGATGACGATACCGATAGCCTCCTTGTAAGAAAAAAAAGTCTTGCCATGGCAAACGAAACCGCCCTAAACGCTTGCCGCGTTATTCGAGTATAACTCCCTCCTTCGACTCGGCCATAGGGGGAAAAGCAGGAAAACGAATGGAACAGCGGGAGAAAGATCGAAGGACCTTCGCCTCTGTTCGCCTCCGAAGGAAGGAAAGACACGGATCCGTTGCTCGGCGGGAGATCGGGGGCCTGTCTTCTCTTCCTCCCCTTCCTCCCCTTCCCCCTGTCGAGGTACAAAGGTGAAGGTGGGGGTCGCAGGACATTTGTCCGGAAGAATCGGTGCACTTCCCACCTTCGGAACCCCTCCTTGGAGGCATTTGCGTAATCCGACTCTTAATGGCCCCTCTATATAAGCTCGATCTTCATACCGCATCGACGCACTTGCACCTGATTACGACAAATACTCAGGTGAGACTGCGTCTTTGACGCGAGGACCGGTTCTCCTTTTCCTCGCACAAAACGGGCGCGGGTGTTATCGGAAAATCCGGGAGCAAAGGTACGAAATTCGTTTTTCCTCTGTTGCAGCCATGAAGTTCTCCCTCTTTGTCCTGGTGGCCGTGGCGCTGGTCGCGGTGTCGGCGAAACCTCAGGCCGAAACCCAATACACCACCAAGTTCGACAGCATCGACGTCGATCAGATCCTTCAAAGCGACCGATTGTTGGAGGGATACTTCAAGTGTCTAATGGAGACCGGAAATTGCACCCCGGAAGGCACCGAACTGAAAAGTACGCACTTCTTTCAAATTGACGCGTCTTTCCTGAATCCTCCTCCTGAGGTTTTAGGCTATTCATCGTCGTATCGAAACTTTCAGAGGTCCTCCCCGATGCTCTTCAGACCGAGTGCCACAAATGTTCGGAGAAACAAAAGGCCAATACGGAGAAGGTCATCGCTTTCTTGACCAAAAACAAGAAGGACCTGTGGAAGCAGCTCGCGGCGAAGTACGACCCCGAAGGTGTCTACCAGGTTAAGTACGAAGAGAAAGCTAAAACCGCTGGCATCGAGGTTTAAGTCCGCTTCGGACCCTCGCGCATCCCTCTCCGATCCTACCCGATGATACCCGGCAGCCCATCATTTTTTTAACTCTCCGTTGTATTTCGAGCAAGTGCTCCAATTTTGCAGAAATAAATGATTGTCAATCAAACCCTCGCGTTTCGCCCAATATTTCCCTAAAGTCGAACCTTGAACCCTCGAACCTTGTGCACCTAGTCACCATTTTGAAATGAAAGAAAAATAAAAGATCGTAACGATTCGCGGAAACGTTCAGCTCGGTTTCGATTGACAAGCGATCGTAAACGAAAAATCTCTACATCTCTACGGACCTCGGATAGCGACGTTAAGAAGTTTCTAATAAATCATAATCTATCGTACAAGATGCCGGGACTAGAAAAGTTGAATCGAGCGGGGATGCTCGTGGAACTTTATCGCGAGAAACTTTTGAGGAATTATTTGAAAACGTGTCCGACGTTATTTCATATTTGCTACGACCCCATTGGCACCCATAAAAAGACTCGAGCGTTAATTGGATTCTTCCTCGGGTTCTTCTTCGGGGTCTTTTTCTACGAGACGATCGTCGTCGATTTAGCGTTCGAGAAATACACCAGCCTTGCCCTGGGAGTCGTCATCGTGACCTCCCTGTCCGTTGGCTGTTCTTCGTCGATTCAGGTCGGTCATTTGAGTTATTTTATTACGACGACGCGTGTATTCGTTCGCTCGTTAGCCACGCGTTTTGCAATCGCGAGAACTTGCTCGCTAAGACGTCGGACGTCAACGACAACGAGGAAAGATAGCGAGATGGCTTAATTCTTTAATCGAGTTCTTATACTTATAGGCGTCTCGCGCCTTATTCGCCTTAAAGCGATTTAGAAAGAGAACGGAGTCTCGCTTCGGCGAGATAGAGAAGAAAATAGTTATTTGAGCCGAGTTCGATTACAGGTGAGATGTATTTGCTTATTGACGGTCCCGTCATTTTTTGGAAGAGCCGGACGAAGCGTTCTCAAAGCATTGGTTCTGGGCTACGTGATCGCTGGACCGATATTTAATCTAACCGTTAATGGAAAAGAAGTGGTTCGCACTTTCGCCTGTACGACCCAACTAACGTATAACCTTACCAGAACTCGCTTCGACCTCATGTTTAAACCTTTCCAACAGGTAGAGACCCGGAGCGTCGCTTAAATTTCATTTATTCCTCCTCCTTTGGAAGATATCCTATCCTATCTCTTAGTTGCCATTCGGACCGTTAAAAAATGTCGCAGGCAGGGTTCAACGTGAGAACCGACGCCAACGAGATCAAGGACACCCTATCCTCGGTGAGAGATCTCACGAGCTCGATCGTCGAAGAAATCGAAGGCGAGGAGGAAACGAGAAGACTGAAGGAAGAGAACGACTACGTGGACGATTCGATGGGAGACGCGAAGAGAAGCGAGGAGATCGAGGAAAGGAAGAAGAAAGCGGTTGCCGGCGCTCGAACGGAAGGCGAGATTTACGAGGCCAAGTACCGAGAGAAGGTCGAAGCGAGATGCGAGGAGCAGCTCGACAAAGGGTCCGAGCACTGCAGGCAAGAGCACCGTAGGCCCGGCAGGGACAGGAGGGAGGAACCAGGAAACGCGTAACGCGGGGATTTCCATTTCAGAGAAATGTTCGGCGAGGCGTACAAAAGGTGTTCCTCCGCGGTGACGTGGATCGCCGCGTGGCTCCTCTGCTGGCCCGCCAAGCTCGCCTTCGTCTGCAACGTCGCGCAGGCACTCGGGGGCCCGAGCATTTGCGATCCCGCGGGGAAGGTCGACGTCGACGTGGGCCGGAACTATGCCGCTCTAAAAGGTAAAGGCGCGAGACGAACCGTAGGCCAACCGTAGGCACACCGTAGGCACACCGTAGGCACACCGTAGGCCAACCGTGGGAGCGCTCCGCAGAAACGAGGGACGCGCTCGGCAGGAGCTTCAAGGACGCGAGGATGCGGTACAAGGTGCAGCTGGCGCCGACCCTCGTGGACGCGTACGAGGCGACCGACGCGGCAAAAGCCGTCATGCACGACTTCAACGTCCGCCGAAGACTCTTCGACGGAGGAATGGTCCTCCTGAAGCGCTGTCTGGCCTTCGTCTTCCTGAAGATCGTCCTGAGCGCGCAGGATTACCACGACGGGTACCTGAGGGACATCGAGCACGACAACGTCTACGTGACGGCGTACTTCCGCAAGATAGACGCGAGGCGCCGGGCGCGCGGCAGCGTCGCGCTGCTGCCCCTGAAAAAGATGGAGAGAGACAAGTTCGTGGACCCGTACAGCGGCAGACCCGGCAAAGCGGAGAGGGCCAACTTGATCGGGCAAACCGTCAAGCTGGTCTTGGAGATGGTCACGGCGACGACGTTCGTCCTGCTGGACCGACTCTTCTACGAGACTCTGGACCTGGTGCGACGCCACGCCCGCATGGAGTACGCGCAGTCCGGCCGCCACGACGTCAAGCTCGAGATCCGCGGGACGGGGGTGATCGCCTCCCTGCTGCGCTCGGTCGTCGCGGGCTTCGACCTGAAGAGGCGGGTCCGGACCGTGGTCTCGAACGAGGCCTGCCTGCCGCGACCCAGCCAGCTCGAGAGCTACGTCCTGGGCAAGATCTACGGGACGTATCTCGCGGTCTGGGTCACCGTCTTCCTCTCCTCGTACACCCAGCGACTGCGCAGGGTCGCGTGCTCCTTCTTTTACCGGAAGCGCGAGAAGCGACGCGTACTCTACCTGTACAACGAGACGCTCAGGCGGCGACTCGGCTGTCTTCGCGAGGCGAGGGCCAGGATAAGGGCCCTGGGGCGCGCGAGGCTCCTGGACCGCGAGGTCGGCCGAGGGATGTTCGCCTGGATCGACCTCCTGGCCCCCCCCCGACCCAAGTGTCTCGTCTGCGGCGAGTCCGAGCCGAGGGCCGGCCCCGCCGGCCCCAAGTTCCGCGTTTGCCCGACGCCCGGGTGCCCCTTCGTGTCCTGCCCGGAGTGTTGGACGGACGTGGGCCAGGTTTGCTTGGCTTGTGCCGATCCGCTCGACACCGATTCCGAGGGATACGAGACCGAGGCCGAACTTTAGACCGATTCGCCCCGGATGTCTCCAAGGACGAGCCTCTTGCCACGCACCGTTGCAATTTCCTCGCCCGTCATTCCGATCGCGTGTCTCTAACGATTTTGAAGAACTCCAAGTTCCCCTATAAGGCGCACCCCCGACCGACCGACGCTTCGTTCGGCGGCCGGCACGGTGGAGACGGGACGATGAGAGTCGTTCTCATTTTCGCGAGCCTTTGCGGCGTCCTTTTAGCCGAAGAAAGGAAGTACACGACCAAATATGACGACGTCGACGTGGATTCGGTAATTAATAGTGACCGACTTTTGAACGGCTACGTTAAGTGTTTATTGAAAGAGGGACCGTGCACGCCGGATGCGGCAGAACTCAGAAGTAAGTTCCGTTGGCTGTGTACGTACACGTACATACGTACATGTTAAGTATTCCACATGTGCCTTCAAGATTTCGCTGCCTTGTTATTTTCCACCGTCGATCCTTCCCAGAAAATCTCCCCGATGCATTGGCCACGGACTGCACGGCTTGTAGCGAAGCGCAGAAGAACGCAGCGAACAAAATCTCTCAACATCTGATCGACGCTAAACCGGAACAATGGAAACGCCTTGAAGAAGTGTACGATCCAAGTGGGATTTACAGAATCCAGTACTTGGCCAATAAATCAAAAACGGAGTCAACGGATTAAATTCGCTCCCAAGAATTTTCCGCGTATAAATAATCCAAATTATATATTTCTCTAGTACTAGAATGTGGCGGATTGTAGCAAAAGGTTCTTCCTAATCTTCTTTACCGTGACGTAAGAGAGTAAATGGACGAAACACGGTATGCCGTTTAGTTCACTGCAACTATGCCAGATGGCTTCGTAAAGTATGTTTTTCCTTTTCTCCGTTGGGTCCAGCACAAGTCAGGTATTATATGAATTGCTCCGTGAGTAGCCTCTCTATTGATTTCTGTAGAAACGGGAGAAAAAAATGTGTATGTTAGATTTATTCCTAAGCAATGTAAATACAATAAAAATGGTTGGAACGAGTTAAGCAATATATTGCTGGTGTTATATAGAGTCTTTATAATTTTGCAATTGCAAGTGATTCTCTCGTCGCTATGTTATTCTTGTTTGCTTTTTTTTCTTTAAGTAGTTACCTCAATAACCCATGATCGGCGTGAGGTGACGTACCTCGGCTGTGAGATGTCAAGTAGGTATTCGTCCTTATCCGTGTCTAAATCGGAATTATAAGGCTTTCATGTGAATGATATCGCAAACGGAGCAGAAAGTTTACCATACATTCCTGTGCGAACACGGGAACTGAAACCTTTTCAGCGGTGCATTTTTAGTCATGTTTCTAAAAATAGCTGCTGCAAGATCTTGAAGATGTATCAGCTGTGTAATAATGGATACCGTGAAAGCGTCATTCTCCTAACAAATACTTCATATACCATCATTTTTATCGTATTATTGTTATCAACGAACCAAAGAGACACATAAGACATCGATCGTGTCAAAATTATAATGTCGTTCGTACCGTAAAATTTATTCCTACTACCCGGACCATTACCGATATCAAAACGTCTAGTACAATTATTAATATAAAATTATATTATTATAGAAATTATAATAATTCAATGTTTCTATTTGTCATTTACAGAATAGTCATGAAAGACTCGCTCTACAGTATAGTTCCGCTACATGCACGACCCGAATTAGCCAAAGACTGTTGTGCGTTAATCAATTCGGAATGGCCTCGAAGTGAAACGGCACGGTACTTAAATATTTAATTGTCTTTTAGTAAAAGCGAAACCTATTATATAACACATTTTTTTTCACAGATTAAGAACATTAAATGCATCATGCGAAGAGTTTCCAACATGTCTTATACTTCTCAAAGAAAAAGACGTTATAGGTCATTGTAAAATTTCATTAATACCCAGTTTAGAAAACAGTTGTTTTGTTCAATCTGGTATGTATTCACATTCAAGATAAAAATACAAGAATGGATATGATTATTTCAAATACTGTGTTTTACCCAAAACTGAATGTTTGCTACAGCAGAGTTTAGACTTAAAACGACCGAACGGTCACAAAGAAAATAATTGTCAAATATGGTTTTCAGTTGTGATAGATAATAAGTGCAGGACTCAGGGATTAGGATCCATGTTAATGCAAGGCACCGAAAAGTATGTTAAAGTCAAAGGGATAAAAAAAGTCTATTTAATGACTCAAGGACAAGAGGGGTTTTATTTGAAAAATGGATACAAAATTATTGAACCAGTCAACATATATGGAAGTCCCACGTTTCTATCTCCTGTTTCCAATATCACAAATACTGAAAATGGAAAAAAGGAATATTTGGGACCACCACCTCCACCAATGCCTAATCAAATACGGAATACTGGTTTGCCCATTATATCTTCAAAAACCTACATGCTAAAAGCATTGTAGAAACAATAACACAATTTTCTTAACATCCTTGTATATTTATGTTCATTATCACCAATGCATATTTCAACTTTTTTTTTATGCATCAATGTCTTTATATATATATATATACACATTATTGTCCGATATACGTAGGTACACATATAGTGCTTAGAAACTTGAAAATTTAATACCTACTATTATGAAACTACTGAGTGTGCGATGTAATTCCACACACTTTCCCATAGTGTTCAGGTTGTACAAGACTGTCAACAAGAAATGCACCTAAGTCATGCTTAGATACCACTCGGCCAGGCGACTCGTCGTACTTTACGATATATTGAGTCTGGGGAGAATCTGCAATGTATAAAATAAACAATTACAGCAATAAAGTTAAGATTAATCCTTAGAAACGATAACACAGTAATACGATAAAGACATGATTGTGGTGTTCTCATATATTAAAAAACACTTTTGTGTATAAAAAAGGAAAATATTCTTTAAGGAAAGATACTTTTATTTTATGATTACTATAATGTAAGTTGAACATGCCTGCTATATGTGGTGGTAATACTGCAATCCACTTGAGCTCACTGTTTTTTATTATATCTAGCATACGTCGATGATCTGCATTTAAATCCTTAAATATCACTGGAACGGCGTTAGGCTCATAAAAAAGGAATGCTGGAAACAGTATTCATTAAAATGATATTGGCCACTGTGTTCTTTTCACGATAGACCGGTATATTATTCTTATTTATGCAGGGTGCCCAAAGATGTTCACCCAATAAGATATAAATGAGATTCATGAGGGTGTCCTTATTTATTTTAATGATTTTTAAAATATATGATTTCCAAATCTGAAGAATACCTGATAGGCACAAAGATACTTTCTCAACTTTATGTCTCTTCATTGCTTCGACTATGTTTTTTAATCCTTCTGACAACACAGTTGTTGGACCTATAAAGTGTAATAACTGTATTACTCTTTAAGTTATTATACTGTAGCTTATATCATATAAATGATAATGAATATTATTAAATTGTGCATGCAATAATGTCACTTTCAACTGAAAGGTAACAGGTATTCATTTTAATATTTAATGATAATACTACTGCTAAAAATCGACATTTTCATTATTTGGTATTAGGAACTAAATCCAATATCTTACTAAGGTCGTTCCTTGTTCCCAATACAACCACAACTCCTTCTCTATCGGATACAGCTTTGGAAACTTGTTCTGCATTAACGACATCGCCAACCACTGCTTCCACTTCATTTCTAAGACCTTCAGGAATTTTAGATTCATCCCTTACAAAGGCTCTGACATGCAAGCCTAAAAATAATAGTAACTTAACCTAATAAAAAATTAGTGCTTGTAATTCTGAATACACATAATCTCGGTTTACGTCTAAAATATGCAAGCAGTAAATAAATTACCTTTTTTCACAGCATAATATAAGGCACATAAACCTGTGTTACCAGTAGCTCCAAAAATTACAATTTTCTTCATGATTACTCAGAAATGTACAGTGCGTAACTTAATCCTCCCACAACGTTCGACCATCAGCCGTTTAAGGTAAATCATTGCAAGTCATTTCAATTACCGGCTGATTAAAGCCGCATTCTTAATCACGTTTTCATCGTATATCTAAATCTGGGATTTATCGGGTCCGGATCCAGTAAATCGCATGTCCATCGGATTAATAAATACGCAGATTCGATTCTGAGCGTCTCGATCAACACTTAAATTCGGATTTACTGCGTTTAAACCTGATAAATCCCGAGCGGGTACAAGCGGGTAGAAACTGTTTAAACACTAATACAGAGGGTCTTCCAGCTGATTCACTAATAAGTCGATAAACTTCTGTCAGTTTGTACTTCAGAGTATAATTTTTACGTTCCGGTTGGTGATTATAGGAAAAAATGTATCAAATCCGCTGCAGAATGGACTTTTATTACGTTTCCTAATATATAATAAATAATTAATTTTAGTACAAACTTCCGATTTCTTATAAACATTCACTACAGCCTTCTCGTGCATTTAAACTTGCCGCTCTCGCAGTAAGTGGTACCCGACCTCATCACCTGGTGGCGCCATATACACGAGGAAGGCATTCATGACCGTCAGTATATGTATGTACATTCACATTTCTGACGAGATCATTCAAAGCCATCACAGCGCGGCAACATTTACGCCACGTGCTCGTACTACAAGGAGGTTTATAACCTAACCTCGAGTCCATTTAATTATTACTAATTTAGGTTTAAACCTACAATGGGTAAACCGACGCGTAATTTGAAAAGAAAACAAAACCTAGTAGATTCTAAAATTGCCGAGATTGAAGAAGTACCACAAGCTAATGAAAGGGAATCCGATGACGAGCCGGTAAGTTTTTTGTACATAGTCTTGGTTTTGTTTCAGTTAATTTCACTTTTGCGATTTTTATAATTATATAACTCTTATTCAGGATTCGGGACTCGAAGATCTGCTGGCATTAGACTTCAAAAACAATGATCAAGATAGCACGGATGGAGAAGGTGAATTGAACGAGGACCAACCTTCGGATACTGAAAGAGAAGAGGTTCTTTTTGGATCCGATGATGAAAGTGAAGAATTAGAATTTTTAACGGATTCTGAGGAAGGTAATGAATCTAAAGATGCTTCAGAGTCCGAAAAAGACACCAATTCAGATGGAAGTATCGATTCTGGAGAATACGAAGATGAAAGTGATTCAAATGTTGATGATTCCATAGAAAATTCTTATGGTAACGATAGTAAATCTGATGATAAAACTGTAAAAAAATCATTGATAAAATCTTTTAACGGTAATGCTAAAACAATGAGCAATATTGTTTCAAAGAAGGATAACAAAGATAATAAAAAGGATATATCCCAAACTCGAAACAGTACAGTGGAAAGTAAACAAAGTAGTAACAAAAGTAACGCTAGTAAAGTAGGTAATGTTAAAATCAACAAAGTGACCATTAAGGAACCCAATAGCAAAAACATTGGTAACGTACAGGAGGATAAAATAATGTCCGATTGGATAAATAGTAGCCGGCATAATGAATACGAGTATGATAGTTCCGACGAAGAGGACATCCGCAACACCGTTGGTAACATACCAATGAAGTGGTACGAAGATTATCCTCATATTGGATATGATTGGGAAGGCAAAAGAATCATGAAACCTGAAAAGGGGGATCAGTTGGACAACTTTTTAAAAAGAATGGAGAATCCTGATTTTTGGCGAACCATAAAAGATCCTCAGACTGGTCAAGATGTGATTCTCAGTGAAGCTGATATAGAGTTGATAACAAGAATTCAAAAGCAGAAAATTCCTGATGTTCAATTTGATGAGTATGCTGTGAGTATGCTTCCATATGGAGGTTTTTATTCCTTAGCATGTCTATTATTCACAAGTTATGATAACCATTGGAATACAACATTTTTGTACTAAGATATAAAGCTTTCTTAGTTTAGTGATCTACGTATGTGTGGAGAAATTATTTCAATCATTTATTTAAGATAAGTTAGTACTAAGATTTCTAAGTAAAATGACATTGTTGCAAAGATTTTTGTATTATTACAGCCTTGGGTGGAATGGTTTACATCAGAAGTGATGAAAATGCCTCTTCGGAAATTTCCTGAACATAAACGATCGTTCGTGCCTTCAAAGCCAGAAGCTAAAAAAGTATCAAAGTTGGTTCATGCTCTAAAAATGGGATGGATAAAATCTACCGCAGAAATGCAAAAAGAACGGGAACAGAAGAAAGGAGAACACAACTTTTATATGCTTTGGGAAACGGATGACCAAGAAGAAGAGATGCGAAGAATTCATAAACATATTCCAGCACCGAAAAGGCATCTGCCGGGCAATGCTGAGAGTTACAATCCACCCCCGGAATACTTGTTTGACAAAAGGGAACTTAAGGAATGGAATAAACTGAAGGCAACACCTTGGAAAAGGAAATTACATTTTATACCTCTTAAATATAACTCTTTGAGGGAAGTTCCTGCCTATCCTAAGTATGTCAAAGAAAGATTCCAAAGGTGTATGGATCTTTACTTATGTCCCAGAGCTATTAAAATGCGATTGGCGATCAATCCAGAAGATTTGGTGCCACAATTACCCAATCCAAAAGATCTGCAACCATTCCCAACTACGATGTGCATGGTATTTAAAGGTCATGCCGATATGGTTAGAAGTATATCGGCTGAAGCTAAGGGTCAATATATTGCTTCTGGCAGCGATGACATGACGTTAAAGGGTAATTATATTTACATGCACTGTATTAAAAATTACAAGGTATTATACTAAAATAACTCAATTCTTCCTGCGATGTAAAATGACGATACATTTCAGTGTGGGAGGTAGCCACGGGTAGATGTATAAAGACAGTGCCATGTGGCGGAGTAGTTAGAAGTGTGGCATGGTGTCCCAATCAAGCGATATCCTTAATCGCCGTGGCAGCGGATCGAAAAGTGCTGCTGATTAATCCTGGAGTTGGAGATCGTTTGATTACTGGTAAAACTGACCAGCTTCTTGAGATAATTCCTCAAAGTGATGCTATAGGTATGTTTTTTAATGCTTCGTGAATAAATAATAAACATACCGAGTATGGTGCAGGTATAAACAGTCGAACATTTTTTTAGTGAGCGAACGAGTCAAGACCGCAGTACAGTGGGAACAAGCAGAAGGTGAGAGCCGGCAGAATGGTATTAGAATAATTTTGAACCACTTCAAGACTATACAACAGGTCACATGGCACGCCAAAGGGGACTACTTTGCTACGGTCATGCCCGATGGGCAAAATAGATCGGTCTTGATCAACCAGTTATCGAAAAGAAGGTCTCAAGTACCTTTCAGCAAAGCCAAAGGATTGGTTCAATGCGTACTGTTCCACCCTATACGACCCTTCTTATTTGTGGCGGTGAGATATCGCCAAATGCATCCTATACTTACCACCTATCGTGGTTATAACACTTTTTTCATCTTCCTTCCTATTGCAGACACAACGGAACGTGAGAATATACGACTTGATGAAGCAAGAAATGGTTAAAAAATTACTTTCCAACTCTCAGTGGATTTCAAATATGGCCATACATCCAGGTACAGCGTTTAAATTTATATTCATAAAAATCAACTATATCATATTCATAATAATTGACAGGAGGAGATAATTTACTGGTGTCCACTTATGATCGTAAAATGCTCTGGTTTGATTTGGATTTGAGCACAAAGCCATATCAAACTTTACGATTACACGGAACTGGAGTACGCGGAGTCGCATTCCACAAACGTTATCCTCTCTTTGCTTCTGGCGCCGACGATCGAGGGCTCATCGTATCACATGGGATGGTTTATAAGTAAGTACTATTATTACAGAAAGTTAGTCCAGTGGAAAGTTCCGTTGGAATTGTCTTTGTTCACGAGTCCTTTTTTTCTCTCCGATGGGGGGGGGGAAAAAAAACTAAGGCGCTAACGTCATTTTAATGTTTCAGCGACCTTATGCAAAATCCCCTGATCGTGCCACTAAAGAGATTATGCGATCACGAGTTATTCAACGACTTTGGAATTTTGGATGTCGCATTTCATCCTGTTCAACCCTGGGTGTTCTCCGCTGGAGCAGATTCAACGATACGGATGTATTCCTAAGTTTGACAGATCTTTCAAAATACAGTTAAACGTGATGACCCGAATAAAATTGAGGGAGATTTTCGAGTAATTTGAAAGTGATTCAAGCCATTGGGCAATGCATGTTTAAATTATAGTTTATTGCTATTCATCGTAGAGACATATGTATACGAATATAATGTAATCGTTTTACGTCGCTTACTACGATGATGCCATCTTAATACATAGGAACTTCTACGTTGCGCTAAATTCGAGTTTGAGTTTGTTCTTACGAAGAATTAAGTTTGTACATAAGAGTACGTAAGTATAAGAATGCTTAATACGCATCAACTAACGTGTGCAATCAATGTACATAATGTAATGAAAAATTACTGGAGGCGCCGTTCGTCGCATCGCCGTTACATTGACGGTAGGTAGATCAAGGTAAAGTGGGTGTTAAATTAGACTAGAAAATGAATTACGACAATGGAGAGTGTCCAAGACACTGCCATTCCGGCTCGCCGCATTCACAGGTACGTCCAGCGTGTCGAATCTGAAATACCGTGACTATCCCTCTGTTATCGTCGAACCTACAGCTGATATGTAGGTCGTGAATTAAAAACGTGTAAAATTGATTACCCCACCTTTGCCTTAAGTACACCGATCTTGGGTCCTCGCGCAGAACGTTTTCAATGGCCCGCTTTTGTTCGTCCGCTTTGTCGTCTAGAATTTCGTTCAATTGAAGCAACGCCCTGTCGTTAAATATGACGGACAAAGTGGCCACTTGAGGCCTCGATATCCAATCTGGAACTCTTACGTCGAACGAACCAAAGTCTCTTGGGTTCTGAGAGCTCCTCAGCTCGGAGCCAACGTTTATGTCCGCGGTTGGACTGCCCGACGAGTTGCCATCCAACGTCGTGGCCATGCTTCGAATATTTGGTACGGTTTGAGAAGGAGTCAGAGTCTGCGAGGCAAGACCCTCTTCGCCATCCGGTGCCTCGCGGATGCCCATCCTGACCGGAGAATTGTCGAGTCGGGAGCTCAGAACTCGCCTCTGAATTAAATCCAAGTCCGTTCCGCAAACCGTATTCGGCCCGTCGGCTCCGTCAAGAAGTCTGGAATTGCGGGATGTCCCGTCTTCCGCGTGTTGAACATCCGCATCTACGATGCGAGACGACTCGTTGTTCTCTCGAGACCCTAAATTGAGCGCCTGAAGCGAGTTGCCCATGCCTCTGACACGGTCGACTTGAGGATCCGAATTTCTGTTGTTGCGCATCACGTTTCTGGAGTCGGTGACCAATAATTGCGGATCCTGTCTGAGATTTTCTATGACGTTATCGGAAGTTAAGATGTTCCGTCTGTTTGGAGCACCGAAATTCATGTTTGGGATATTGGATCTTTCGTATGATTCCGAGCTCCTGCGCGTGGATCGCATTTCGCCGTCGTCATCAAAAATAGCACCGTTATCATAAGTCAATTCGGATGTATGATAATAATTCCTTGAACCGTCGTAAGTATCGAACGTGGGACTGCCCTCGAACTCCTCCGTTTGCAACCGTAACGCGATCTCCTCGTCCCTGGAAATATCTGTTGTTTGCGAAGCTTCGTTGGATCCATTTGCATAAATTGTCACTTCGAGCGGATCCCTGGGTTGTTCGACATTGTCATAAGGGCCATCGCATGAATTCACTCTTCGATTTGTATTTAAGCCTAATTCAGCTCCTTCTCCTAACCTCTGACCAATGGCTTCGGAGATATCACCATTTTTTAATTCAAACTTCGGCAGTCTGTTATTGAATTCCTCGATTCCTGCAGGGTTATCGTACTGCGGTATGTACGGTTTAATGTCCAGAACGGGTGTTTGATCTACCATGTCCACTCCTTCGAAATGGATCGTGTAGTTTTCGATTTTTATTATTTTTACGAGACTTAAACCAATCGGGCACGGCCGGTGCGGAGATCTAGTTGAAAATACCCCAGTTCTTACGCCGTTTAATCTGGGTGGAGTAACCTTTGCACAGACACGATTGGAATCGTTTCTATGAAAATGAAAAAGTATCCTGGAAACGTGTCAAAGGATGAATTAGAGTTCTCACTCATAGTAAACACCGATTCACCCTATTTTAACTTATGCTAAACTGAAATCTACGATAAATACGATAAAGTCAAATTGATACGATAATGGGATAAAAAAAATTTCTTCGATACTTACCATATATGCGAAAAATCTTGTAATCCTTCTAAAGCGTGTTCAGGATTTGTAAGTATGGAATTGAAAAGTGTCAATTTTCCAGGTGTTTTATAGCAAATCGTTGGTTGTCGAGGAGTTCCTCGTTTACTAGGAAACCATGTTGATATCAAACCAATTGGTTTCAATTTCAAGATATCGTTTGTATCGCTACTTGTACTAGGTTGTACCGCACTTGCAGATACATTTGCCGAAACGGATACACCGTCAGCACATAATCCCAAAAGACGTTTTATATTGTCCACATCTTTCTCGTGGATATATCGGAGACTCTTTATCTGTTGTCTGAAACATTTCACACGTTGGATTAAATAAACTTAGTTTTTTCTCGCGTGTGGGGTCGATATAACTGATTTTTATAGTAAACCCATAGATTGGAATGAACTATCATAGCACTTAAAGTCTGTCATTATACCACGTGTACGTACAGAAAGAAAGAGAATTACCTCAAATTATTAATCTCTTTCCTGGCTGTTTTCAATTGCTCAAGTAAATATTTTGGATCCAACTCGGTATTTTGACAGCTCATGTCCATGTTGCCGCGGCTTACTGACAGGTGCTGACAGGTGTTTCCGACAGGGTTGACAGCCCTAATTTATCATCAGAGTAGTACACGATGAGATGAGTTGGGAGATTGCTCACGGGCAGGATCGTGCCATCCTGTGCTGCCCTCTGGTTTCGTACGTTAGCTTTCACCGTTTTTTGCCCCCAAGGGCGGCGCAACGAATTTCTGATAGGGGCTCGCGCACTCGCGATGGCGGTACCATCTACCAGTCGCCGTTGGCGGCTTACGTACTCGTAATGGTAATACCATGCGGCAGTTGATGGCTTACCTACACTTACCGACACTGCTCCCTTTTGATGGTAAGGGAAGAACACTCGCGACGCCCTATTTGACTTTATCCATTACTTACCTTATTTATTTTATCCACAAATGATACAGGCAAAACTGCAACGTGGGTGCTCGAGAGTTGAGTTATACTTTATATACAATTTTTATAAGCTATGGAAATTAATAAAAAAATAATGAATGTTTCCTAGGGAACACATAAAATCTACATGGAAGGAGATACCCAACAACATAGCTTGACGTCAGGTGTAACGTACGTGTCGCAAGTTCAAATTCTGAAGGAAGGGTGGGTACGGTTTTTTACATCAATTTTTTTTTCTCACGTTTTACAGTTCATAGCAATCGCACAAAATACATTGTAGATATGTAATTTTTGATTATGGGTTCAGCTTTTCATTATTTGTTTCACCGTCCATAAGGTGATTTTAATAATTAATGTGAAAATAATTAAAAACGTACCGTAAGACAATGATATCGATCTTTCTTATCGTTACTATTATTATTATTATTTTGTTACCCATGTTGTTACCGTTGTCTCATTCATTGAAAAAATTTTAATTATAATCATCATTTTGAGAATGAGCTGGGAAGTTAGAAATCTCTGGTTCAAGTATTTGTCCCGTACATTAGTAACTTTACTGCAAAACATTTGTCCTGAAATATTCCGGCTCGCGGTAAAACAATAGTAAGCGGTAGGGATTAACTGAACTTTGTATTGAACTTCTAGGCTAATTAAAATGGCGTTGTCTGCGGCCCGCTTCGGGTTTCGACTTTTCTACCTGGAAAATGTGGAGACCGAGCGGATTAACCCCTGAAATACCCATTAAGGAGGTATTAACGGTAACGCTTTATGAAGGAAATGCAGGAAAAGGACTCTCCAAATCACCAAATACCGTACAATTTCTGGAAACACGGCGTGCCTACGTGACGACAGCCACGGCAATCTTCCCTTTAACCGAAAATAATTACTTTTCAGCAATAATGCCTTGGAGATATAACCTTTGTTGCAGGGGCAAAAAGATAGAGCAGATTGTCATAGATTTGCAAGGGACTCCTTTCACATTACTCATTCCGTTTCCTCTTTTGTTAATTGCCTTAATATTCTCAAGTTAAATCGATTATATCAATAATATCTGTACATACAGAAGCACCGATCAAACCACCCGTGTAATATTTGCAAGAAATATTTTTGATATAGTATACATGATAAAAATAGACGCGCCAATCTGTAAAAGGTTGCAAAAGTGCATTGAATATTATGGAGAAATATACACTTGCCATAGAAATTATTCGTTATTCATAACACCGAGTTTATTCTTTTCGGTACTCATTGGATATTTCATATTGTATGAAAAAGGAAGCGAGACAATTGGCGTGCTATCTGCTGATCGACAGATTACCGATGGACAATGGTTACCTTTCATTTCCAAAACTTTCCCTAATCGAATAGAGACTCAAGTGGGGTAGGAGGTACCCGGCAAATGAGTATAAAAGGTATGCAAATCATCCCGGTGGTATCAGCCTTGGAGTGACAATTACTCGCGTAAAGCTTCACATCTTTTATAAGATTTCCTCCGTTTGGCACGTCTTCCAACTTGGGAAGTTTCCATTCGCTGTAATCATGAAATTTCAACTTGTGATCGTTCTTGTCATCGCAGGAGTCTTTGCCATGGCTCAAGCGCAAGATATATCTGCATTGCTGATGGACAAAAATTATGTTCTAAGGCAGATTGACTGCGTTTTGGAACGAGGACGGTGCGACTCCGTTGGACAACAACTCAAAGGTAAAAATCGTATTTACACTTTTCATTGAAAATGAGTATGTTAATACGTCATATGTGTGCAAACGTATATTAAGTACATAAATACGTCGTACGTTCAGATCGAGCTCACTTACGTGAACGTTTAATATAATTTGATATCCCAAAGGATTCAGAAATTCATGTGTTATTCGTTATACAGTTGCGTTGCCGGAAGCATTGAACAACAATTGCCGTCGATGCACCCCGTCTCAAGCAAGGAATGCCCGAAAACTCGTGGAATTCATGAAGAGAAACCATCCCAACGAATGGCTCGCCATTGCCGACTATTATGCTAACAAATATCGTGCTTGAAAATCTATTACCTAAGCATTAAGTGTGCTCTTAAAATGTCTGTCTATAATAAATTATCGTATTTATTGTTCTTAACATTTTCCCCTATTAATGTTTCTTGCTTAAGAAGAAAAAAAAGACCATCTTGGATTATGAGGAAGAATTATGAGGAATGTCAGAATACGTAGTTAAATAAGCTCCTCGATAGCAACGACCAAAAAATAATAGAAAAACCAAATTAACCTGTAGTTTTTAAGGCGTGGCAGGTGAATCGACAAGTTTGGACTAGACCGAGATTTGCACGTATGTACACCACGAACTTCTGGGAAATGCTCGACTCCACTTTGACGGAAATCCCGAGGGTATATACCGATTTGTATTGCAAGGCAATATAAATCCGAAGAGACTGGGAACTAAATTTAGGTTTGGGAAATAATCCTTGGAAATAATCCTTGGATGATGGAAGGAGGACTTTCCTTAAAGTACACCTATACAGGTTACCGTTACCTGTCTTCAAAGGAATCGGTAGGACGTCTATGACAACGGCCATAATGGGGTTCTCGACTTTACCTGTATCGCACGATACGGGGACAAAGATCCGTATTTCGTCACAGTCGGGGCCGAATGTCTTTCTTTTACTACCGAATCAGCGAAATGCAAATCCATACCAACTACTCAGGGAGCTTATTTACAAGTCGCTGCAGCTATTCGTCATATTATTTTATTTCGTTTCGATTTATAGAAAAGATAAATATGAGTTCCAATTAGCCAGGGTTTACCGTCACCGCCCGTTTGCGTTTTACAAGAAAAAGAAATGCAAGTGTATTACATTTTTCAATTCTAAAAAACTTTGGCACAAAAAAGGAAGTACGAGATTTTCCTTACATTTATATTATAGCTCATATATGAATTCGTTGGGTTGGCTTTACTCGTGTACGGTCGATTATTTCAATTATATCTTGAATTCGAAAAATATTTTCCGATGCAACCTCAAACGTACTCATTGTATATCGGTAGAACATAATTTAACAGGGACCCTTTGTACTCTTTCCCAACACATTCCGTGTTATTTATCGAATATATTCTAACCCATACGTTCCTATTCCAGCTTTTTTTGTCATAGAACATATTTTACTATTTTCGCGCTTTATAGACATAATTATAATTAGTACAGCAATAATTAATTAGTCCATTTTTATCTGCCACGTACTAATCGGCAAGTCGTTATATTCGAATAGCCCAAAGACGTCGGAATGTTTTCCGAGTTTTCTCATGGAAAATTCCCCAAAAATCCGAGTAACGGAAATTGAACTCCCTTTTCCTTTTAACGGCACGCTGCATACTCGGTACTATCGACCATTGTCGTGGTAATTACAGGGAAAACTTATCGCTTCATTTTCTCCGTATCCGAATATGTGCATACTTTTGTCATTATTTCATCGACGTATTCAAAAGTTAACTCAACGGTTAATTCGATTATTCCATTGAAAATAATATCGAGAAAAAAATGTCTAACAGTCGACGATGTTCGGTCGACGTTACATCGAGTTAATATTGCACTTAAGAAAATATGTACTATACTCGTCTATTATTTATTTACTTGTCTACTATAAATGTCTATCTCTCAACTTTCCAGGATTCTAGATATCGTTTCTAATTTCTTTTAGGCGCGTTTTATTGAACCGAAGCAAATTGAGTAAAACGCAGCTACATTCTCTGTGCCGTCGCCTGATGCGAGATATATAGGACAGAGGTTAGATATACGAGGAATAAAAAAAGGAACGGAGTCCAACGTTCGTGGAAAATAAATATGTTAATTTATTGCGAACAGAGGGTATAAATTCCTAAGTCGAGGCATCTCAACCGCGGTAGTATCGGTTGCCGTAACGCCGAACGATGGCGCGCCACTCGTTGGGGTAGTTGGTCTGCATGAACTCCATCAGCCTTCGGGCGATCCTTGCCTCGGAGGGGGTACAACGGCGGCAGCCGTTGTTCAGGGCGTCCGGCAGGAGAGCTAAACACACCGCGGAAACGCGTTAAATGGAAAATGGCAATTCGCCGGGGAGAGATTTAAATGGAGCCTTACTTTTGATTCGTCTTCCGATAACGTCGCATCGTCCTCGTTCCAAGATGCAGTCGATCTGCCGTCGGACGTAATTCCGGTCCATCAGAAGGCCAGAGATGTCCTGCGCCTGGGCCAGGGCGAAGACTCCCACGACGACGAGGACGACAACGAGTTGAATCTTCATGGCGAGGGCGGCGAAAATCGGTCTGATATCGTTCCGCCGTTTTCCACCCCCGTTATATACCTGAGAGTCATTTACCCTCGACCCCCACTTCATTTTCCGGGCAACCTGTCGGAAAATTCAATGGGATTGGTCGAGAAAATTAAGTGGGGATCGGGGGTTGACGACTCTCAGGTATATAAAGGGGGTGAAAACAAGGTGAACGATATCAGACCGATTTTCACCGCCCTCGCCATGAAGATTCAACTCGTTGTCGCCCTCGTCGTCGTGGGAGTCTTCGCCCTGGCCCAGGCGCAGGACATCTCTGGCCTCCTGATGGACCGGAATTACGTCCGACGGCAGATCGACTGCATCTTGGAACGAGGACGATGCGACGTTATCGGAAGACGAATCAAAAGTAAGGCTCCATTTAAATCTCTCCCCGGCGAATTGCCATTTTCCATTTAACGCGTTTCTGCGGTGTGTTTAGCTCTCCTGCCGGACGCCCTGAACAACGGCTGCCGCCGTTGTACCCCCTCCGAGGCAAGGATCGCCCGAAGGCTGATGGAGTTCATGCAGACCAACTACCCCAACGAGTGGCGCGCCATCGTTCAGCGTTACGGCAACCGATACTACCGCGGTTGAGATGTCTCGTCTTAGGAATTTATACGGTTCAAATTTCTACCCCCTGTCCTCAATAAATTAACAAATATTTATTTTCCACGAACGTTGGCCTCCGTTTCTTTTTTCTTATTCCTAGCATCTGCCTAATTTTCTTTTCTTCTATACGAGTCCCGCGAAACTTTGATCATATGTCCGTTGCATAAATGTCATCGGATCATCGCCGACCACTTTGTTGCATTTCAAAAGACTCCTTTACTTAACATTCGTCTCGCATTAACGGTCGACGGAAAGCAAGGCTAACTCTCGTTTACCTTTAATTTACGTTACTTCGAATGCATACCAAAATCGTACGTCAGATCGGAATCAGGGCAAGATGAGATATTCCGTCCTCTCTGTATATAGAACCGTTCGCAATCGGCCGTACGTAATATATGCGTAATATATGCGTAATATATGCATATATGCATGGAAGTAAATGTCAGGAATTTGAAATTTCTTCCCGGCTTGGATCGCCGCGTTCTTGTAGCGGGCTGTACGCCGTGGTGAAAAGTTAGCGATGCATGGTGCGTCGCCCCTATATAATAAAGGCAACCACCTACTCGGGCCACTCGGGCCATCGACTTCTGCCGCGTCGCACGTTCCACGTATCGTCCCCGCTGCCGAGTCCGTCCGCGGCCGGGCCGAATCTCCGAGCATCCGAGCGTTCGATTTCCCGACTTTCTCGGTGTTAAGAAAACGAAAAAGGGGTGCTACGATGAAGGGGTGCTTCATCTTCTTGACCCTCGTAACGGTGACCGTGGCGATGGAAACGTATTCCAGCAAGTACGACAACGTGGACGTCGACAGAATCTTGGCAAATGGTCGAGTGCTTTCCAATTATATTCGGTGCATAATGGACGAAGGATCCTGTACCGCGGAAGGACGTGAACTTAAAAGTAAGACGAGCTGCCAATCCATTTTATGTATTTTATATTTCGGAGACAATTTCTTCACCGAAGTGGAGGGACGTTTTCGGGTTCTCCTAGGTTCCCTTTAAGGTCCCTCTTCCCATCTCATCTTCGATGTATGCCGTCTACGTTTCTTTCTCCAATTTTATTTCTTAAACGAAAACGTCTACTTTCTTGGTCGATGAAACGCACAAAGGAGACGCAAAGCCTTGCCGAAGCAGCTCGTAGCTTGGGCGGCGACGTCGCGAATAATTGAAATTCAAGTATAGCTGGGCTAAACGATTTCGACCCATTGGGTCATTCGAACTTCCCTTGAGAACCGTGACAATTATCCGAACGCGTACATACGATCGTTACGAGAATTTCTCATTAAAAGAGAATGGAATAAGTATTCGCCGTCAATTTACCATAGACGGAATATTTAATTCCTTTTTTCTAAATCTCGCGCTCTCGGTCCAGTCAACAAAGGGACAGTAGGTGTAGGCGCTATTTTAATCTACCGATGTCTGGCGTTGCAAGAAGCGACGTAAGTTGGAAGACGCGCGTACGCAAAAGAAATGAAACGAGATGAAATAAAAAGGGTATAAAAGTACGAATATCGATTCTAACGACATCCAGTCACGGGGTTCGTGCCTCGCTCGGTATGCACAACGGACGAATGCTAATCACCGTAAACTCGAGGACGCAACTTGACCCAATAACGTCACGGGCATTCGGCCACGACGTGTCGTCGTTTCTTTAGCCCTTCTCCTACCCTACTCCTTCGTTTCTTCAAACGTTACGGACAACCAGAAACCTTATTAACTTTGACTAACATCGATATGATTATTTTCGGAACGGATCGGATAGATAAAAATGGCTTGAATACTCGTGAGATTCCAAGTTCTCGCGCGGAATATAATTATGAGACTTCCCACTGTGTCAAAATTCAAAGCAGATTAGAATTGAAATATTTTCGAATTATAAAATTCCGTACTGCTTTCCTTTCCAGAAATACTGCCGGATGCTCTTGCAACGGAGTGCCAAAAGTGCACCGAAAATCAAAAGGCCACCGCTGAGAAAGTGATTCGTCATCTGCGTACGAAAAGACCAAGAGACTGGGAACGTTTGGTCAATAAATACGACCCTTACGGTCAATACAAGAAACGCTTCGAAACGTTACAGCCCCGCAATAGAGCGTAAAGACTGTAACGAAACGAAATTATAATTACTTCCTATACTTACCACCTATCGGCTCTCACGTTGACACAAGATCATACTTTAAATATATAACCTTGAAAATCCTACTTATTACAAAGAAGAAAAAAATAAAAATATGGACAGAAGCTATAGTGCAAGGATCCATCGTGTCCACGGGTCTATCATTTCAATGTGTACTCTAAAACGTTAATTTTTACCCTGGTTCTTGTTTAACTCACAAGAACAAATGAAAAGGATATATTATATTATTTCGGTTGCCTGCTAGGAATATACATAAATGATAAAACTAGTCACCTGTGCGAAACAGAGCAGCCAATGATGAAATTTTACACAAACAAAAGTTGAAAGAGCTTTTCCCATTGTAATCTTAAAAACGTAATGTAATATTGGTACAAATATAAAGTTGTCAAAATGGGATCAAAGTACAATAAAGAATCGGAGGGTGTTACAGAAACTGTTACATTGAAGCCGGTAAATTACCAATTTACGATCAAGGATTCATTTTTGCACTATACTGTACGTTTATAAGATGGAACAGCTAAAATTTATGGCGAATTGTATTTGTCCTTTCAAAAATATGTTCATCTGCCTTTCTTCGATGCCTGAGAATTTAGCATTCAAATCTTTCATTTATTAAGTTAATGAAATAGGAAAGAAAGGAATGTTCTCAAGTGGATAGAAAATAAAGAGACTTTTTCAATGAAACGCGTTCACTGAGTATTTTCTTCAGACAATAGATTGCATTTATTCATCACGCCATCCAGTATATCTATCGTGTTACAGAAGGTTATGTAAAAAAGTTACTTACACAGCTTAAAGAAGTGCCGTTCACTCCACGCGCCTTTTTTTAACTAAAGAGCCAAGCTGAAACCATAAGCAGACGTTATTACCATCAAATGCTACACTAATCGAGATCATGTATATTTTCCTTCAGAGATTCCCTCGCACAAGTTGTAAGAGGAACTATTAAATATTCTTGTAAAATTACTTTTAAAACAATTTGTACATTGAATATTAAATTTGAATGATCATACAAGGTCTGATATTGCTGGCAGATTGCTGGTTTGGTCCGCCACCGTTGTTTCAGGCTCGCGAGTCTCCTTTGTTTGATTCGTTTTCTTTATATTCCTATGTTGCGGAAATGTGGGCATCAACTTTGGGTCACACGCTGTACATATAGTAAGACGCGTCAATATATTAGCTGGGAGAACAAGTTTATAATAAGATACCACTATATAAAGTCCTACTGCACGGAATGACGTCTCCAATACCGGTGCAATGTATTAACTGCGATCAAAATTCAATAGGTAGTAAGATGTGATACTAACGTAATGGTGCTTCCTTGAAATAGCTACTCTCCAGGCACTCGTCAGCAGTGGCTCGTTTCTTAGGATCATACATGAACAGGAAATTGAGCAATCTGAGACCAGCAGGACTCAGCCATGGAAATCTTTGTTTTAAATTATTGTACGGTTGTTGCTTTAATGTGAAATTCTGGAGTGCTGGCAAAGAATTAAATTCAGGCCAAATAGCCTCGCTAGGAGTTCCTAGCAAGTCAACGATTAATTCCAACTGAGCGATCTCAGTCCTCCCTGGCAAAAGTGGTCTGTGACCAAGTAATTCACCTGCAAGTAATCGTGCTATTTTGATCGAACGAAACCACTATGCATTTAAAGGAAAAAGAAATGAATTGAAATTTGCACTACCTAAAATACAACCAGCTGCCCACATATCGACCGAAGTTGTTTGAGTTTTGGCTTGTAATAATAGTTCTGGTGCTCTGTACCAAAGAGTCACTACTCTTGGTGTCATAGGCTTTAGAGGTAATCCAAACCACCTGGCAAGTCCAAAGTCAGCAATTTTAACACATCCTTTATCTGTCATAAGCAGATTTGAAACCTTCAAATCTCTGTGGACAATAAAATTGTGATGCAGATACCGCAAGCCCTTCAGTACTTGCAACACAATGCACTTCACTTGACTTTCAGAGAAGGGTGCTTGCATGTTATCGAGTAAACTGGCTAAATCTTGCTCGCAATATTCCATTGCTAAAAATATGCTCTCTAGACTTCTGCCTACAACAACTTCCTTCAAGTGTACTATATTTTCATGTCGGCATGACAAAAGGACACTGATTTCTCGAAGCCCGCTGACGGGTAAGCCATCTTTCTCGTGTTCCATTCGTACCTTTTTCAAGGCTACAACCTTGTCTGTTTTTGTGTCACGAGCACGATATACAATTCCATAAGTACCTTCTCCGATACGATTTAACTTTTCAAATTCTGACACAAATCTACACTTTCCCAACTGCAAGTAAAAGGATGAAAAGTAAGATACAAGGCAATATTAACTAAATATTAGAAGCAGAAACTATAAAGAATTATCTATATTTACAATATCTGGTTCGGGTATTTCCATGGCTTTACCAGTCAGGAAAGAGGTTAGTATGCCTCTTCGAGTTATTGGAGCCGATGGATCGGGTCCAGCCTCGGATGCTGTTTTTTTGTCGGTGTCATTACTGTTCTCCACCGACTTCTTTCCCATATTCTCTTCTAAGAAACATTATAGAATCTTGTTATTTTAAAGCATCCAACGACTACCCAAATGCAGGAAGTAAAATTTAAATAAAATGCCATAAATAAAAGTGAATACATTTTCTTCCCTAAATGATTTCTTTATTGTGATCGAGATATAAAAAACACCAAAATCCATTTTAAAATACTGGAAGCACTTTGCGATAAAATTAAGCCAAAAATGTACCACATGCGTCTAACGATTGTCATTTTCATTACCTTTAGTCATTTTTTCATCAATACTTTTCAGAACCGGCGTTACTATTTCTTGGTCGAAGCTGTTTCGAATTTTAGTAGATTGCTATCACTACGTGTACGCAACTTGAACAAATTCACCGAAAAATAAACAAATTCCCCGACCGGCGTCCAGTAACAGTGATGAAATAAAATCAAACAAGACTGCTAACTGGTCCGTTAACAATGTAAATAAGTTTGTACTGCCCTCTTGAGGGATTATATTGCGATAAAAAATTTATTTGCGCCATCTACATCAGTTCATGCATGTACATATGTACATTTACTGTTAAAGGTTCAGACTGCTCGCACCCGCTTGCACCCACTTCTACGTCTTTCTACGTCTTTCTATTACTTTTCCGCGCCTGCTTTCACTGCAGCTCAACAGGGAAGTTTCTTCCCTTCATATTGGTCTATCGTCTTCCTGCATCTTTCTGCGTTACCTGCCACATGGTATGAGCATCACGAGTGCGTGAGCCGCTAGCCGCGATTGTTAGATGGCACCGGCATCGCGATTGCGCGTTCTACCACCAGAAATGTGTTGCGCCACCACTGTGGGATAACAGTCAGCAAGTGCATTAGCCGTCCGCATCCTCCACCGGAGGGTAGCACAGGACGCGATCAGACGCGATTGGACGCGATCGCGAAACCCTGCCTGACCCTGCATGCACCTGCCCGTGTGCAATCTCCCAACACATCTTTGTTACATACTTGCATATGAATTATTAATAAAAGAACAGTTTTTATCGAAGTCATATAAAGTGAGGGTATATTTGGTCCGGCATGGTTTATACGTTTGCTAGTTGAAGAACTCGGAAGTGAAAATGTTTATATTTTTAAGATATTTTCTCTAATTATCCAAACCTTAAGGAACAAGTTTACTTGTAATAAACAACTAAGTACAGTGGGAGCATATGAGAATCACTTTGTGAGATAATTCGTGAAGATTTGTCATTTAGGTTAGTTTATCAAAAATGCAACACATTACAATTAATATCATAATATCAGAAATTATATATTAATATAATTATTACGGTTTTATTGATGCACAGCTGCAAAGTAATTAAGGCATTTTTAAACAATTGATTATGTCAGTTATTCTTATGAGGCTACAATTAGGATCAAACGAATTGTTTCGGATGAAAATCAATTGATAAATTAACCATGGATTGATTACAAAACAATTCACGAAACTGTAGATAACTTCCAAGTATAGGAATAACAAAATTTGATGTTGTATTTTCTTATTACAGATTACCATAAAGTTTCATCACAAACCTCCGTGTTTGCCATGAATTAATGTATTTTTAAGATGAATCAATTAACACGCAGTAAAAGATTTCTTATTAACTGGACGAGCTTCTGTTAAAATTGATTTAAAACATATATTGTCCAAAATGGATTTATTTAATATCAGGAAGAAAGAAAGAGGAAAACAATCAAATGGTTTGAATAATCTGTCATTTTCGTTCAACTTAGACTTTGAAAATATGAAAACTGACGATTCCTCGGATTCGGAAAGTACAGAATTGCAAATAGATATATCCGAAGTAGACAACTGTGAGCCTCCTACTAGGCACAAAAGAGATACAATGGATGAAATAACGGTACTAAATGAGATGGAAGAGGAAATCGAAAGACAACTGGATGCAAAGGCCGCCAAAACTAATTTAACTGCCACAAATGTAAAGAACATTTTAAAACATGTTATTACAAATGAACATGTAATGGCTATGGTGCAAAAGAGGTTACACAATTCGGATGATGACATAATATTTGAACCCAAGCTTACCCGAGCAAAAGCAAAGTATGTAAAAGCATAAACAGTTTTTTAATTTATTCCTTGTGAAAAAAAAATGCATCTCGTATTCTTTTTAAAAATGGTGTTTCTAAATATTATTGATCTATTTAATATTCAAATACCAAGTCTTCCATGTATTTATTTTTATTATTTTTATCCAAAAATTTATATATTGTCCTGCTTTTAATATTTCAATGGCGTAGGGAATTGGCCATGACTCAACCCGATATACCGTGGCCAATGACTCCTGTTAAAAAAACAGCACCATCCGAGGTACAAGTATTAATCGAAGAAGAGCTTTCTGAAGATTCATCGGATGAGGAATACAATCCAGATCAGGATCAGCAAAGCGACGATGAGAGGGAGGCCGAAACCTCGGTTGGCAGTGACGCGGAGTCACAGCCATCCACTCCAGCTACTTCTATGGGTCAGAGTACATCTTCTGAACAGTTAAAAGTGTCAGATACACGGTATGATTCTGATGGAATTTTTAAAATTCCAAGGTAAGAAATGTTCTTGTTGATGTTTGTATTTATCATTACTTATATTCTAATACTATTTTTATTTTAACTAGCATTACAATTACCAATACCGTTTCCAGCATTCCTCTTGTACCAACTGAAGAAGAGAGTATTGGGCAAAGGACACGGTCTAAATTGTGTTTAAGCGAAACCCCATTAGAGCACATTGAACAAGCATTTGTGCCTCCTGATATCACGACAGATATGTATGACTGGGACTGTGATAACGACGAAGATTGGGATAACTTTTTAAAAGAATTCACACAGCCCCTTGCCCAAGAACCTGTCGCCGAAGATGATCCTGACGCTGATCCTGAGTATAACATTTTGGAGGATGAAGAAACGGAATTACGTACGTATGGTATACTTATTCAAACTACGTATTTATAAGTTAGCGTTCAGTTTTATTGTAAATTATTTATAATCTTCTATGTAATTAGCTGTTTAAAATTTCAGTTGACAAAGAAGAACTGCGAATGGATAGGGCTGTCAAAGTTACTCGTAGGGAATTGAATAATTTAGTTGCCGAACTCTTTGAATTTGCTGATATGTTCTCTAAAGAGGAACAAGAGATTCCCAGAAAGAAGAAAAATTCCGATACTTTGGTCTCATCTATGGAAAGTACATCAATGGTAAGTCATAAGATGTATAATTCATTGATTTTAAAGAATAAACTTCTAAATTCACAAATAATTATCGGATTAGGAATTGAACGGTGTGTTTGGTCAATGTTTCAGAACAATTCAATGGTAGATCTTCTACCTGCTTTAGCCGAACGTGAATTACCAAAATTGGTAAATGTCGAACAGCGCTTTTTGTTGGCGACTCAATTTCGTCAGCACGTACAACTTATGACGCAACATTTTGCGATGACGTATATGCATCCAGAGTTTCATTCTCAGTCAACAACGTGCAAGCAAAATTTACACAGTATACGGTATATTCAAATTTGTCTCATTTTAAATATTTTCGTAAGGGTAATTTATTGTCCTGGTGATCCATCTGGATATCATTAAAAGTCATATAATTATCCGTTTTTATTAATAGAAAACAGCGAGTAACGGTATAACTTGATTGACCAAGACATATTTTTCTCATAAAAAATAGATATTTGAGCAACGGTTCAAATTCTGCGTTCAATGTTGAAAATTTGCCGGATGCTTTGGCATTAGTTGCTGCTTGGGAAAAGAAATTTTTGGACCCAAAATTCAAAGCGGAATATATAGATATGATTGAAGATGAAGACGGAATTGGAAAAGTTTATGCCAATTACAGCTGTAAATATATTCCCAAGTTCCACCCGGAACTGGAGAAACTCCTTATGGAGTGTAAGGCTCTAATATATCCGCAGCTTTTACCAGAAATGCCGCCTAGATGTAACTTACATAAGTGTGTGAGGTTAGCGTATTTAAAATCGGAAGAAAAGTGAGTATCGCATTTTTTAAAATTAAAGAGCAATGACGTTTAAAAATTAGAACCGTAAAGACAGTGTAGCCAATTAAAATTCCCCATGGAGAAGTTTTTCTAATCTTTTTACCCACTTTTAATGTACTATTGATATTATTCATTTCTATTTCAGCCTGATTGCACTGGGTTTGGAACAATTTCTACCTTTTGTAGCATCCAAGAATAGCAAATTCAAAACAAATACAACACAGCTCAGAGATGCTGTGCATTTGATTATGCAATATTTATTGCCTACTAGAGAAATGAATGGCATACTTTTCCAAATTAAGAAATGCCGTTCTTCCGCACAAGAAAATCCAATTAAGGTACCCTCTTTAGATTAAATGTTAATAACTGCAATACTTTTTCTAAATCCATTGAGCGGTGCGCTGCTTGTCGTTTGATCGGTACACTCTATGGTTGCCATTTCTTCAAAGTTTTCTTTTTACATGTAAATATTTAAACTACATTCACAGTGACCGTCTCGATTCAATTAATTTGCTTTGGTTGCAGTATTATTATGAGACTGGATCTGCACCCAGAACCGTACATTATATTACACGTGATTGCCAATTGCGTGCCCCTAAGGATCAATCACTTCAGTGTTTATCACGTAAATGGCAAGACTGTCTCAATGGAGTAAGTTAATTGAAAACTTTATTAGGAAAACTCTTTACCAACATTACTTTCCACTCACGGAGACCACAGTGCTAATCACAATGTAACCATTCAGGTGAAACAAGATGAATGTTCTACAAGATACAAAAAATATGCGGGACTTTATAGAGATTTAAAAGAAGAACGAAATTATGCCGCTAACCGGCTAGATCCTATTCGCATCGATAGGAATTTACGTAATCCAATAGTAAATATGTTGTCCAATACAGTGTCTCTGAAAAAAAATCGTATAGTTAACAATAGCGGGAAGAAAAATGTTGCCGAAAACGTCCAGAAACAAGAACCGTCGGATACTAAAGAGTCAACAATAAATCAAAATTCCGTGACGGCGATGAAATGTTTAAAGAATGATATGAAATTCGAAACTTGTCATTCATCTGTAGAAAGCTTATCGTCGAACTGTAATAAAATTTATCAGAAAAAAGACAATGTTACGACGACAGAAGTGGAAAGGAAAACGATTGGTAGTAAATCAGATGAACCGATAGATGTTACGAGAATACCCCAATTAAGAAAAACTACTGCGCGGTTGGCGAAGATTCAAAATGCACAAAATACGAAAATGACGGCCCCAATTCCTAATTCGAAAGACTTATCTTTAACCTGTAGTCCATTAAGGTCTTCAGATAAGTGCGGATCGCCTAAAGACATTGAAGAATCGTCTACTTCGTCAAAAGGAGTACGTTCACCTACGAAACACCTACGAGTACATGCTATAACGGTAACACATTGCGAGCAGATTGAACACTGATGACGGGAAGAATCGTGCTGCAAAAAATTGTTATGTTACAACTTTATAGTAGCATATATTCTGTACATTGTATGTTATATTTTTTGTTCCTCTACGATTGTAATAGATTTTTATGTCTTGTTCAAAGGATAACGAAGATGAAATAGCTGAGTTAATGCTAGCCAGTACGACAATAAAGAAAGATACGGCCAGTAGAAGGAAAGCTAAACAGGCTCGGGAATTAGAAAATATAAAAAGGTTGTTGGAAGCTGAAAGCGATTTAAGTCAGGAAGATAAAGCAACAAGTAAGTAACTAAATGTGAATTATCTCTACTACTGATCTGCAATTGTTTGCGTGTTCGTAGAATTTGCAGCATCATACTTCCAAAAATTACATTTGACGTTGGAATCTACGAATCCAGATACTTTTAAAGCTGTGATAAAGACATATTTAGACTATAACGACAAGCTTGATGCTATTAATCAAGTGGACATTGAGGAATTTCCTCATGACGAATCGGATGCATTAGGAAAGGATTCGAAACGAGTAAACAGCAGTGTCATAAAAGACAAACTAGCCATTGATCTCTATAAGGAAATTTGTGAAAAATTAGTAGGCTATCCAGAAATGTGCACGGATTGCTTACTTTTCTTAACGCCGCATCAGGCTGCTCTAATCGACAAGTCCGTCGAGCATTTGATGTTGCAAAAAATGAGCGAATTTGTGAATGTTGCTCAAATATATTTCGCCAAACAACCTTCTCGCCTTGCTAAAGTAATGCAGGCAATTACTCAATTGGCTTCCGATCCGTATGTAACATTGGAAAAAGCATACGCGGTGATGGGTCCGGTATTAAAGGGCCACCCTCTCGTGATGGATATGTTTTTACAGGTACTTCCCAATGGAAAACCACCGGAAAGGTACGTGTGCCCGCTATAATTAAAAGGAAGAAGGATCTGTAATAATCGTTATTAACTCTATTTGAGTTTGAAAATCTTTCGTAGTTGGTCGTTTCATCTTGGGTATACAGAATGCTGTTATATTAAATTTATAAATTGCACTTTTAGTTTGTTCGCGTCGCATTTGTTTGAGAACTTAACTTGTCCTTTGGGACCTCACGATAAGAATAAAGTGTATACAGAAGATGCACCCGAATTATATGAAACCGTTGAAATGTCTGCACCGACATCCCAGGACGATCCCTACGGCGGGGAAAACTGTAAATGCGAATGCCACACCTTAGACAACCCAAGTTTAAAAATTGGAAACGAACACTGCGTATCGTGTGGTACCAGGGTAAGATATTTCTATCTGTGAGTGTATATATGTAACATCTTTTTCTTCTTCTGTATCGCATTGAGTTATATCACGTTTGGGTTACCGGTCCAGTTTCTGAATGGCAGAATTTATTTACAAACCTCGGAAGGATTGAGGCCTGCCAAAGTCACATTTCCTGGGGACGACGAGGAGAGGTTGGAAAACATCGCCCGTGTTTCGATGAAGACGACAGAGAGAATTCTTCCAGTTTCCTCGACCAGACGGCGTAGAAAATCATTGAAGAATGAAACCAGTCTTGAAGATTCGAAACAGTTGACATTAAAGCATTCCCCGACTAAAGACAGTGACGATGGCGACAGAAGTATACCTAGATCGAGAAAAGGTGCCAAATCGCCGCCGAAAGCTTGCGAACAGAGGAAATCTACTAAAACTACAGATACAACCGATCAAAGCAAAAATTCTAGTATTACTGCTAATAAGAAAATATCCTCCCCAATAAAAGTAAAACGCGAAAAAAGGATCGAAAAAAGGGAAACGAGAGTAGAAGCGGTGAGCGGTGCTAGTTGTGAAGTAAGGTATAGCGATCATCCACAAGTCAATGAAGATACATCTAAAGCATTGGACAACGATGAAAAGGATGTTGGACAGCTTAGAGAAAGCATGAATTATGATTCCCGTAAGTAGGATACTCCAGCAAGCTTACGATCGTAGATTTATCGCATATAAGATCAATCATTGATAATGAGTCACTTATCAAATTCATTTTAGCGGCAGCGCGAGAGAAACGTCAAATTAAAATTATTTCCTGTCATAAAAACATTATATAAATTGAAACGATGGTCTTGGCAAAAATAACAAAACGATCAGCTGTTTCAATTCAGCTCTATTTATTTTCAATATCGAGTACGGCAACTCGTGCATAAAAAATATAAAAAATTTTTATGAACAAATATGCACTGTAGAAAATTTGGATAAGAAAATGTTACATCATTGTAACATCGTTTCATCATTTGGTTGCAGCATTAACCGAACCTGATGAAACTGAAGGAAATGTTAGTCTAGAAAAAATGGACATTTCCTGTGACTCGGATAATGCTGAATTTCTTGAAATTCAAAGTGAAACTCTCGTTCGACCTTGGACTAGGCAGGAAGATATGATACTTTTGCAAAGTATCCAAAGAGAGTACTCGGATGATACATTTCTGGAAGTAACCAAAATGCTGGAGAATCGAACCATTAAACAGGTAACTCATATATTTCTTTTCAGTTTCTTCATATTTTGAAATCTTAAACCGTTTCAGGTCAAAGAACGTGCTGAGACTTTACTTTCATTGTTGGAAAAGGCAATGTAAAAGAGTAAGATTATAAAAATTGTTAAATAAACTCGCTTAAAAATGAAACTTTGTTACGGTAGCAGCTGACCAACGTTCATATTTACTTTGTATCAGACAATATTTGTGCATACACTGGTAGATCGTATGGTACCATATAAAATCTGTCCATAAAAATCACACAGAATTACTGGCCAACCCAATACATTATAAAAACTTTAACCACATGATGTATCCTGGCGGTCATGAACAGAAATTAATTGGGAGATTGTTCACGGGCAGGGTCGCGCGATCGCGCGGTCCTTCCCGTGAATCTCTCAACTCATCTCTGATTTGGCAGAGATGAGTTGGGAGATTGCCATAATGGTAAGCCACCACCGTCAACTGCCGCATGGTATTATCATCACGAATACGTGAGCCGCCAACGGCAACTGGTAGATGGCACAGCCATCGCGAGTGCGCGAGCCCCTACCAGAAATTCGTTGCGCCGCCCTTGGGGGCAAAAAACGGTGAAAGCTAACGTACGAAACCAGAGGGCAGCACGCGATGCGATCGCGCGACCCTGCCCGTGAGCAATCTCCCAACTCATCTCTGGCTGCATTTTGTTTTAAATTCAAAAGGAAAGATGAATTTATGGTTCATCCGCATTATTGGGACCCACTTGTGTAATACATAATTTGATTGGATGAACGTGTGTCACAGCGTTTAGCAAACCAATCACGTTCAAACATGCAGTCTTTTAAAAGAAAACACCCGTGTCCTGTTTCGTATTCAGTAGCCAACATGGCTGACGCGAAGGTTGAAATTTCAGCCGAATAGGTTAGTTCGGTTAGTTGCAAATGTAAATCCCAGAAAAACATTGCAGCGGTTCTATTTAAATTTGTGATTTCATAAAGCGGCTGTGTTAGGTAAGATTACATTTTCATTTGTATATTTCTTGCATGTAGTAACTTAATTGAATTTCATTTATGTGGAAATGCTACTTGCCTGTCCTCCTATGTATCTGTATACTTAGAATATTTTATTAAGGTATTGCAAATGAGGAATCGAAGGTTGTTGGAATAAAAACATATATTATCAACTTAATATATAATTCACTAGATGTTCTGAAAATTAAGAAAAAATGCAGTTAAAATTGTATTCTGAAATTATAACCTCGTATTTTCTCCTGGACGAATTGTCATGTTACATTTCCTATGTCATTGAAAGTTCATTGTCTGTAATTGTAACGAGTCAACAAATCTAAAGAAGAGTACTTTAACAACATTAAATTGTAACTTCTATTTAATACAGCACTGAACATGGATGAAAGTTATGAGAAAACATTGTGTCGTTTATGTGGCATCAAACTTGAAAATTCTGATGCTCTGAATATTTTTGAAGATTCCTCAAATCTGTCAGAAAGGATAAACCAGCTGCTGCAGATAATGGTGAGTTTTGAGCATCACATTTTCTAATATGTCTACAAAAATATATTGTGTTATGTTATAAATTTTGAATATAAATTCTAAACATCTACCAAGAATCAATGTAAAGTCTATTAAAACATCGGATTTGCAGAACTCATTGATGCAATTAAAATATGAACCGTTGATATATATGTATATACTTTTATTTTTCAGATATCTCCAGATGATAAATTCTCAAAATGCATATGTTCTACTTGTTACAACAAAGTTAATGTTTTACATTCGTTTTCAAACTTATGTCTGAGTTATGAAAAACAGTTGCATACTACTGCAAAAACAGAAGAATTGAATAATGTAGAAGGTAATAAAATTGAGGAAGAAAACGACTTTTGTAAAAAATTAAGCGATGCAGTGTATTTGTGTCCAAACTGTAATGTTAGTCTGGTTATTTTATTAGAAAACAGTCCAGACGGTTGTGAAAGTAATCTACAAATCTCATTAGCAAATGTAGAAGATCTGACCACGACTAATGACATCGTAAAAGATTACCAAGAAAGATTTCAAGAATATGGAAGTGTGAATGGATCTGAAGAAACTGTAGAGGGAATAGCTAAAGTTAACTCAAGGAAACGTGAGTTGATCACATCAGATATAACAGTAGAAGAAAGTAATAATGACGAAGCAATTAATACCGTAGTTGAAATTGATCAAAAGTCCATTCAAGAACACTGTAAAAGTTCAAAAAGGATGCGCTATAAAAAGAATACATTGCAAGTTTTACCTGCCGAACCAAATTTTGCAGAAAATGATGTCAATTCATCTTCCGTTTTAAAACAGGAATCGGCTGATGAAATGCAGCTTGAATTAACATCATTTGATCAGAGTCATGATCAGGTGCAGCAAATCATAAACACAACTGAAGAAAATGATGAATTAATCGACGCAAATTTAATAGATGACAGCGTCGTTAGTAAATTTGATTCAAAACTGACGTGTGATCTATGTGGAACACGCTATGTCTCACAACTGAAGTACGAGTTCCATATGGAAAGGCACAAGCGAGGATGTATAGATAATTTTACATGTCCCCTTTGCGGAAAAGAGTCAGGCACTGAAAAACTGTTATGGAACCATTACTTTTATATTCACAAGTGCGCACAGCGTTATGTCTGTAAAACTTGTGACAGGATGTATACAAGATTGTCAAAATTAAAATTACATCAGGATAAGTTTAATCACGAGGGTATAACTGAAATCAGTGTCAATAGGGATACCAACGATATAGTTAGCGAATCGAAAAAGGTATTGGAAGGAGTCACTTCTGCTAACTGCGTGCTCTGTGGAAGCTTAGTTACCGATTTAGATCCAGAAGCGATAAACGATGCCGTTAGTTGTACCGCTTGTGAAGATTATGCGTTTTCATTAATGGTTCATACAGGTGGAAAAGAGGTTGTGTCACGCAGAGAATATCGTTGCTCTCAGTGCTCCAAGAGTTTCGGTCGAAAAGATAGGTTGGAATTTCATGAGATGAGGCATAATGAAGATATGAACGAATTTGTCTGTAGCAGTTGTGGAAAAGAATTTTCCACTGAGCACGCTTTATATGAACATTATCTTTTTGTTCATAAACAGGCTAGACCCCACATGTGCGAATTGTGTGGAAAATCATTTCAGCTCAAAGCTAGATTAAAAGACCATCTACGATCGCACACTGGGGAAAGACCATTCCAGTGTGACGTATGCGGCCAGCGATATGCAACTAATAGTGCATTAAAACTTCATAAAAAGACGCATATTGCTTTTAGACATTTTACATGTCAAATTTGTAACAAGACATACAGAAAGAAACAAAATATGAACGAACACCTAGAAAGACATTGGAGAAATGACAGCAGTATATTCTTACCTCAGGCATTCATTTGTCCATTTTGTTCGGAAGGATTGCCAACATATCGTACACTGAAGTTCCATATGATGGAGATGCACAGAGTAGAAAAGGGAGATCCAATATTATCCGATCAGAAACCTTGGTACGAGTGCGAGATATGTCATGAAAAGTTCAAGCATCAAATGTCACTGAAGGCTCACAGAGAGAGAATACACGAAGGAAAAGTAAATCCTTTATTTCAATGCGATATATGCAATGTAACGTATAAGGTCAAGCAACGCCTTGAAAATCATATAAAAAATAAACATATTGGAGAAAGAAGATATAAATGTGCTCAGTGCGGTAAGGGGTTTTGCGAGACTAAATCTTTGCACAGTCATGTTTTACTTCATACTGGTGCAAAGCCGTACATGTGCAAGTATTGTGGCATGTCTTTTAGACGAAAAGATTCTCAAGACCAGCATCATAAAAAGCACGCTGAAGAACAACTTTACAAGTGTAAGGTTTGTGAAGAAACATTTTGTACCATGAATGATCGTAGCAAACACATGAAACAAGAACACGAGAAAGCAGACTCCTCGTTCGCTTGTCCTGATTGTGGAGAACAGTGTTCCGGGCAACGTGAGATTAGAATTCATTTAAACATGCACCTAGGTGAAAAGTTGCAGAAGCTGCAAGAATCATAACTATCGTTTCTACTCTATAATAACGTAAGAGACTCGCCATGTGAAAGAAGTATACAGGCAAGTCTTGCCCAGAATGAATGAGAGAAATAAGTAAAGTACAATTATCCAGACACAGCATTGTTTACACATCCAATCATTATTTTGGTGTACAGGCATGTATAAATGAATGCTGATATCTTGCCTTGAAATCAGTAGAGTACTTTGCGAATGAAATTACCATGTGTGGAACAATTAATGTTTACCTGTATCCAATGTTGCGATTCTTTTAAATTATTCAAACTGAATGTACACTCACGACAGTGGTTATTTTACAATTTTTTATCCTTGACTAGCTGTTCAAGAATTAACCAATTCTGTGGGTATACCATTAAGCAGTTAAACATCTTAATATACTCTGTGTATACATATTTCACATCCCTAATTTCCAACATGTACTCATACATGTATATGTTGTACATACATACAAGCAACTATCGTGTTCATAATTAAGATTACAGGTATAAATTGAGCATTGCCGCTATTAAGTTGTTACAAGTATAGAATGTTTACTGTCTCTTAATACTTAGAGTTATACTTACTAATTGTCAGTGCGATTTATTTTTCAAACACTCTATACTTATGCATGTCAAGTAATAATCTCTCCTGGATTGCCTTAAGTACAATAAACAGGTAACAAATGTGACTATATAAATATGCTGTAATTCTTTTTCAAGTAGCACAGGAGTACAATAAGATATTCATTTTTTTTCTCAAAGTCTCACTCCTGTTTTTATACTTCCATATATTTAGGACAGTTCAAATCATGGGCCAAATGTTGGATTCTTTTTTCTAACGAATACACTTGTACAAATACATTCTTACATAAGTAATACCATCATCATTTGTTGTATACAAATTTATGTTAATTTACTTGAAATAAATGAAGCGCTAAATGGATTTTGTGGCTAAATGACATTCTAGATACATATGAATGAGACACAGAAACACAAGAAAAAGAATTAAAACCAAATTTTTGTTTTAGATTTCATTGAATATTAAATTTAATATCCTCGACTTTTTTACATATTTCATATTTCTAAAATTGAATTATTGATAGGCATTTGTTAGCAAAATAAGTAACAATGAACTGTACTACATCGTAACGCAGTTATTGCAAACATTGATGTATTTACAAAGTAATTTTTTCTAATGCAAAGGTTGCTTGAAAATTAAAAATTTATATATTCTCAATAATATCAAGCGGCGTATGTATGAAACATGAGCGTACCGCTGTCAGTACGTCGAAAGAGAGACACTTGATTGTTAAAAATTGATCGAATATCATTGCGCCCACGTGTTCCGAGAGCGGTCCAAAGACGTCAAAGTTTAAAAGGTTCCGCCTTGACGGGTGCGTCGAGCGTGCAAAAATCAGGTGGTCGCGGTTTCCTCCAGCTGGGCACTGCCATCTGAAGGCTAGTTTTTAAATGCCACCGATGGAGACGTCTCGGTGTAACGTTAAGCCACCTAAAATATAATAAAAAGTCCTAAACTGAATACAATCGAACGTAAAACCCTAAAAAGGGTTTCCAACGATCGAACGGCCTGTCAGAAAGTTTGCGAAAAATTGCCTCCGTGGGACTACTTTTGCGCGGAGTAATATCACGAGGGAAACTCTTTGTCGGTGCTCGGAGTGAACTTTCCTGCGTTAAATCCGTCATGGATGTTTCATTCGTCCCGGAGAGTCAGGCGGAATTTTCGGAAGTCATCCAGAAGTCGTATCTCGAATTCACGGGATATTTGTACGGAAGTATCGAGTCCAACCGTCGCGGAGTAGCGTCGTCGCGACGCGGCGCACGGTCGCGAAACGACTTCACCCATTGGCTGAAGCAGCCGAGCGGTACACACGGACGCGTCAACACATTCACGAGTTGATACGTCACGACGCACGCATCCGCCATTTTAATTTGCAAACCAGGGCCGTGAGCACGGATACAAATTGGAGCGTGACTTCCAGTACCCCCGCCCTCGAGTTCTCCAAAGAAATTCGATTCCCGTCGAAAGAATGAATAAAACCACCGTAACTACCGCCTTCGCCGGCACGTTCGTCTACTTTTGTCGTCCGTATTAGTTGGAAGCCGTGGTTTACGTTTGCGCTTTCCTTCGAAAACGGACTCTGCCCGCGTTTTCACCCCGATCGTTTGCCCGAGGGACGGGTCGGAGGGCCTCTCTTTGCCCGGCATCGCAGCGGGTCGTCGACTCTTTCGTCCCATCGGAACACATCGGGAGCAGAAGAAAGAAATACGTTGGCGGTTCGGGTAAATGGAGAAGAGCGGCGAATCCAGGCGGCGCGCGGGGGGCGGGTCGGTAGACACGGCCCTGGTTGCTCGGCACCGGAGGGAGTCGCTTTTCGCACACACGAGCGCTGCTCGGCCAACGGCTCACTCGCCGGCTCAACAAGGACGCGTCGACGTATAGGCCGCCGCCGCGCTACCGTTTCGAGGTGATATATCTGTTATTTATCTTAACGGCGGAAGGCGAGAGCCGATCGAGGAAATGGCCGGAGAGAAGCGCAGCCAGGACCAGGAGGAGTGCCCGCACGAGGAGACGACGATCCTCCTGGACATCGAGGGCACCACCACGAGCATAGGCTTCGTCAAGGTAACAAAGAGCATGGCCGCGAGGCGAGCGCGGACCGCCGGCGAGGCGCCGCATTTCCTCGGGTTTCCTGCGAAACGCCCTCTGATAGTACGGACCGGTGGACGCTTTCTCGGGGCCAGGTTCCTCCTGGAAACCCCGGCGCTCCGATGCTTCGTGGAAGAGGACCCGCGAGGACCTCTCGGGTTCGCCTCGGGTTCGCCTCGGACTCGCCTCGGATTCGCCTCGAATTCGCCTCGGATTCGCCTCGGGTAAGCCTCGGATCCGTCTAGGATCGGCGGAATGGCGCGGGTCCGCGACCTCCTCGCCGGCCAGGCCAGCCCCGAGCGCGCAAGGATTGATCGGCTCGAGGTGGTCGCGCGGCGCGTCGGCGAGATCCGCCGGTCTTCGTCCGCTGCCGAGGGATTCAAGCTCCGTTGGATGCGCGTCACTGGAATTGCGCGCTAACCCGTCCGGATTTTCTCTTCCTTTTTTTTTCCTCTTACGTTTTCACTGGTTTTCGAGTACGCGGGATGTATACGTTGGAAGTTTTCACGAGGGGAAGGCATTCTGCATCAGGTAGAAGGAAAGACCGTCATTTTTTGAAGGGCGTTAACACCTAGGGGGTGGTACTTTCTTTGACAGTGAACGCGGGGAGGTACTCTCCCATTGTTGTGCTCTGTGAATTCGTTTCGAGTAAGGGATGAATTGTGTCCACGCTTTGATAAGTTTCGGCTTGCTTGTCGTTTTCCGTTACCGGCCATTCGCAGGATCTCGAACTTTACACGGTTTAGAGACAATCGCGTCGAGAAACGATCTTCTTGTGCCGTTTCTAATTTCTAAATTCAATAATCATACCTTTTCAAGGAAACTGCCATGCACTTCGATCGATCTTCCTCTATCATGTTTTTTGTCTACCGTATTCAGACATTTTAAGAGTTTGGAGAATTTTTGCAGATATTCTTTCTTCGGTCGATCCGATGCTATGTAATTTGCAGAAAAGACGTATTACTAGAATTGCGATAGGCATTTTTAAATCTGTCATGGTATTTAGCCGATCGTCGTGTTAGGATTTTCTTTCCTGCAGTTAATATAGTTTCCAATTCAAAAAATGTTTTTTTTTTTTTTTTTAACCAAAACAGAGATCTAACAAACGTTAATTTATATTACGTTTTCTCTCGGCCTATGTTATTTTCTTTGTTTTATTGTAGGTCTTCGGAATGTGTTCGCTGTAGGTTAATGGTTTCGTGTTTCTTCTGATACACCTAAGTTGTTTAAATTACATCGTTTGTGAAATCTTTGTTAAAAGTAGTAATGTTAACTTTCAGGAAACCCTTTTTTCATATGCAAGAGATAACGTTAAAAAATATATTGAAGCACACTGGGAGGAGGATGAATTCAAAGCCGATCTTGAAAAACTGAAAGAACAGGTAAATTTAACTATAATAAATAGGTTGATTTATTTTTTTGTGTGACCTTTAATATGTAGCGGATTGAGCTGCTTCGGTACAGGTTTATTAACTTTATGTCATAATAAAGTCTTAGCTTGCATAAATATCTGTTGGTTAATCTACATGCTGTATTTTGACCGTTGTCAAAGTTAACGATAAAGTTGGGTAATAAATAAGCTGTATAATCTTAGCTGTTAACATAAGGTCTAAGATTCGACCAATGGTAGGAGAGATTTCAGACAGCTGGTAGGTTCAGGTTTTGACCTGAGTGTGCCCTTTGTCCTAAAATTCTGCAAGCCAGTCCTTTGCCTCCGACAAAGACTCGGCATGTTCTTCATGAATTTCAAACATACTTTGCAATGTTTTGAATATGCAATTTGAATTTCACTTATCTCCCGTGAAACGAAATTTAGTATCTCGTTTAGATATTGAAGAGTTATTAAAATTCAAAAACTGATTGTGTTTCAGAGTCTAAAGTTTTATTTATGGTTGGACTTTAGGGATTATGTTGTTTCTTTATGCGATGCAAGAATTATTTATCAGTTTATGGAATAAAAATGGCTACCAGGATAAATTTAAATTTACACTATTAAGGTTACAAAGCAGATAATCTTTTTAATATTCCAGGCAGTGAAAGATGAAGAGGAACATGTTGATGGAATTGTGCCTATTATCAGCACCACTAATGAAGAAGAGAGAGAATCTCTGATAAAAAATATTTTATGGCAAATGGACAACGATCGCAAAACTGGTGCACTGAAGCAACTTCAGGGGCACATGTGGCGCGAAGCTTATAAATCTGGCACCATTAAGGGGCAGTGAGTTATTTCATTCATATCTTATCTATTTACACCTTATCAATTGAGGCAGAGATTTTACAGAACATTTTTGTATGACAAGTACCAGTTTTACTAGTTGGTCTAGGATTTGTCATTAAGTAATGTTATAAAAGAATACATTGCCAAACATGGATTGTAAACAGAATAAGTTCCAAAGAAGTACTGACATTTATCGTTTCCCTTCTATTCCATATTAAAGTATCTTCAAATATGTTAAGTAGAAAGTACAAACGTTCTATCTTTTTGTATGGTAAAAGATTTGAAATATTCCATAAAGACCCTTTCTCAGGGTTCTCTTTTCTTCTATTTACGTTCAAATATCCATAGACGTGACTGATAAAACATATTTTATATCCTAATGAGATGATTCATTGAGTTTGTTCAAGTTAATGTACAATGTATACATCTGTTTGCAGAATATTAGTAATATTAACTGCATACTTATATTCATGTCGGCATCAACTACTTCTACGTGAAATGTGTTAAACTTTATCCGTTGTATAACACTTCCAATGTAATGTACATTGTAATTGAAGTTTAGCGTCTGACAAGGGTTAATAAAAGCTAACGACATAACATATTGAACGGTACTACGTGTAATTGAACGTTATTCAACTTTTCATTAATTCAACTGACTCGAACCCGATTAAACATTAGTTAGATACTGGTGTAATGTAATTGATTATGCTTTTATTAGTCCAATTAGTTACACATCGTCAGAAACAATAATATAGGGAGAGAAGCACAGGATAGACTGATAAATCTATCATAGCCTGTCATGTTTCTGATTACTAAGCTGTTAAAATGATTTCCAGTCGGAATAGGTTATCGCTATTAGATTCAATTTGTTACAAATTCCTAAGACGAGGTGAACATTCGCACTATGGGCTCACTTCAAGATATCAGTTTGCCACTTTTGCATGCATACGCATACGAGTATCATTTATAAAAAAAAAAATTATTTGATATAATAATTTTTCCTGGCTGATCACTTTCTCGCGTTCATAGGATTTGACAAGTTAACTGCCTCTGTATCGTGCGCTTAAATACGTAAAGGTACTCCTGAAGAAGTGTTTTCATTTGCGTTTTGTGTCCTCGCGCTTGCGTATAATTGGCAATCCGCGAGCGGGTTTCCGAAGGGGAAACAAGGGGTATTTGTGTACATGCGCGTAAATATTGTACATCGAAGACCAGGTTATGGGCCTTGAGGTAGCCTCGGGTTTGCGCAGTTTCGCCAAGTTGTGTAAAGCACGCAGTTGTTGCACTATATCGAAATCCTTCTTAAAATCGTTTACGATTATATAACATTTCGGGTGTGCGTATATTTCTTCATAGGGCGAGAAACTAGTTTTTTTTATGTGCTATGTAAATTATGCATTTTGCAGAATTTTTGCGGTCCTTCAAAGTGAATTGGAAAGAGAGACAGCCGAGGGAGGACTTATCAAATGAAATACGCGATCAACTTTGTCAGTGATCACGGGTGTGTTATGACACTATAATTTTTGTGTGCATTTTACTGCGTACAAGTTCCTCACAAAATTATCGTATATGTGCAGCAATTGCGTGTCAGTTATAATCCATGCATTGCAAGTGATTTGATGTTATTAATTCTGGAGTACGCGTGGCAGTGTACCCAACAGCCTTTGACTGCATAATAAAGATGTTTGTTTTAGATATGTCGACGTGACAAAATTGATATGCTTAATCAATCGAATGTTTCTTAGTTAAAAAATTGTTCATAAGTTGTTTTCTAATTTGTCAACTTAAGGATATCTTTTAGAAGTAGATATATATTCTATTGCTTGTTTAAACAGTGTTTACGACGATGTACCAAAGGCTCTTCAGCAATGGACGAGTGCCGGACGAAAGGTGTACGTGTACTCGAGTGGCAGTGTCGAAGCACAGAAATTACTTTTTGGGCATTCCGATCATGGAGATTTACTCAAGGTAGCGTAATCTACAATTTAGTAGATAAATGATTATACGAATATATTCGCTATTCGCTGCAAGTTTTTGCAATAGAAAAGATAGCATATTACCGCGAACGCATGATTTATAATATTATTTTATTATTTATTATAAATTCATATGGGTTCTTCCCCTCTTTACAAATGAATTTTCAATCAATCAAATTACATAAAATTGTTTTATTTTTCACGTCATGTTCGAGGCAGGGTATTAATATTTAAAGTATTAAATATGCATTTGACCTATTTTAGACATATGAATTCTCGAGAATATGAATTTTATTCGTCACTAGTTTTGAAGATAACACAGTACCAATGATATTTTTATGCAGCACTTCAGTGGCCACTTTGATACCGAAGTGGGACCGAAGCAGGAAGCAAGTAGCTACAAGAACATTCTGAGCAAAATTGGGGCCGAGCCTTCCAGCGTCCTGTTCTTCACCGATGTCGTGAAAGGTTTGTACCATCTAGAGAAAGTCGTAACAGTAGTTAGTGCTGTTGTTAGTGCATGTTCTTTAACATGCATCCAATGCTATTTCAATTTTCTACTTTTCTTTTCTTTATTTTTCTTTTTTTCTTTCCCTCTCAATAGAGGCTCGAGCTGCCAAGGAAGCTGGCTTGTCAACGATTGTCGTCACACGTGAAGGCAACGCAGCGCTCGCGGAAGAAGACAAAGTGTCATTTACGTGTGTCAAGTCTTTTCTAGACTTATCGTTCCAGACGTCTTCGAAACGTCAGAAATTAGACGCCTCGGCATCGAGTGAGACCGCAGAAACTTCAAGTAAAGTAGCTGCTGGAGATGCCAAGGAATCTCCTGTTGTCTCAGAAGACGTTGAGATGACCGATATCAGCGAGAAGTCAGAAAAGGAAGCAAAATCTAAGGAGGTCATCGAGCCCGAGCAATCAAAGGTTACGGAAACCTCGGAAGTAAAAATAGTCAGCGAAGAGGCCATGGAAATCGACGGGAAAGCCGTCCTCGGCAAAAAACAAGACTCAACCGTGAAGAGCCAGGAAATCGAAAAGGAGGTTGCAGCCGCAAAGGCCGAGGACAAAATCGCCGAGATTAAAGAACCCGGAAAAGTCGAAAAGGTTGATAAAACTCTAACGAAACCTGGAACTCGTGAAAAGGATGAATCCGCGACCAAATCATCCACGGATGTAACGAAGAAATCCGTGCCAGAGGAAGCGAGCACTGTGTGCGAAAAGAAGCCCTCGCTCGAGAAAAAAGTCAACGAGACCATGGACACGAGCTCGCACGATTCTTCTGAAACGAAGCCCGAAAAGTCAACGGTTGCGACGGAGAATAAGACTGACGAGAGCCCGAAGATTTTGGAATCCACAAAGGCGGAACCCAAAACGGAGACTGAGACGCAGCGCGTCGCATCTAAGGAAAAATCCGAGGAGTCGGCTAAATCGACGGAAGTTGTCGATAAGGTCGCGGAAGCCCCCGCGGAAAAGGAGCCGACAGGGTCAGCCGAAGTCAAACCTACTCCAGAAGTGAAAGAAACGACAGGGGAGATAACCGAGGGGTCCCCGAAACCGGAGATCGCCAAGAATGCCAAGAATGCCAAGACGGAAGCCGCGAAATCCGAATCCATAAAACCCGAGGCCGCGAAAACGGACAAAGTCAAAGAGAACGGCATGCCCGTAGAGGCACAAAAGGCGGAGAAATCCGAAAAGTCGGAAAAGGAGAAGGCTCCGACGATACCGGAGGCGGAGAAGGACAGCAGGAAATCGGAAGCCAAGGGCGAGGAGCAGGCCAAGTCGGAAGTGGGGGCCGTTCCCGAGAAGAAGGAACCGGAAGCGAAGGAGATCGTCCCGACAGAATGCACGGACGCCAAGGAGGAGAAGGTCGAGGCCAAGGGTCAGGACAAAAAGGAGGAGCCGGAAGAGAAGGCCCAGGAGACGAAGGAAGCGGCCGCGTCGGAAGCCGCCGAGACGGGAACAAAGGAGACCAAGTTGAACGGATCAAAGGAGAACGGGGAGGCCGTCGCTGCCTCGGCAGCAGCCGACCAGCCCCACTCGAATGGACTGAACGACGAGGCATCCAGCGCGAAAGTGTCCGAAGTCAGCGCGGCGCAAAACGGCGAGCCCGAGAGTTCCTCCGACGTCAGTACGGAAAGCATTAAGGTTAAGAAAGTCGTCGACTCGACGATCGCCGACGGAGCGGGCGAGCCCGACGTCGTCACCCCGGTAGTCGTAGCCGCGACGTCCTAATCTCGTTCTTATACCGTTTAAGGAGTCCTTCATACATAACCCCAACTCCCCCAATACTTATCTTAAAGTATAAACTAAAACGTTGTCTCCCCACACCTTGCATCGACCGAGTACGACGTTCAAGCATGCCGCGGTTACTCCTCGCTGACGTAGCTCATAGATATCTAACGTTCCTTCGATGAAGAAACGCGACGGATCGTTGAAAAACCAATACCAGACTTTTTAGCAGACTCCCGGGGGTGTACGATATCGGCGGGTTTTTCATTCCCGGTTTTTCTTCTCCTTTCAGAAAATCTACCCTCTTTCATAATCGATGAGGTTGTAAGACTTCGCCTCTGGATATAAGCGCGAGTATTATTTTGCGAAATTGGGTGAACTTCTTGACGGGAAAGAGAGAATCTGGATTGAAGATTAATCGATAATGCGTATACTTCCTGGAGATGTTTTAAACGTGAGTCGTATCATAGACTGAACGTAAAGTAGAGACATCTAATCCAGTGAAGATTTAACGGCAATGTGACTTTAACGATGGGTGGTCCGTGAGTGAGACTTTCCATTTTTTTTTTTTTTTTTTCTTTAATAGTGACATCGATTCCCTCACGGAGTGTTTTTCTTGATTTAGAAGGAATGACCACGCAGTGGGTACAAATTCTCTGCCAAATGACTCGATTCTCTGGAGTAGGGGCACCTTTATATGTTAAAGCAAAATATGATTCGGTTACCTCAGAAACATTATTCTAACTCGATCCTACATGACTACGATTGCAAAACTGTCCTCTACGGAGAGGAAAGCTTTCCTGGCCGAAAATCCTTTTTTCAATAAGTATACAAATGTAGGAAAATGGATGAATACTTGACAATACGATCACCCGACAAAATGAATTTATAAATAATCCAAGAACTTCATTTACTCTAGCTTAAAATTTTAGTCGTACTTTACGACCCGAGTTTTGAGTTCATTTCTGTTTTAATCCGTAACTATTTGTTTGTGTTAAGATTTTATAAATCTGCAGATAGATCCTGTCAGGAATAATGATGTAATTAATCTTATAGAATAATAGACAACAAAGATTCTTAGTTCAAAGAGGGAAATTAGGTTTAGATGTGATGCATCGCAACGTTATCACCAAAATTGTTTATTTGGATAAAAATATTTTTTTACAGTATTACTAGTCGTACTATATATTTATTAAAAATAGTTATTAGTTGAAAGTGGAAGTAGCAGTGAAATTTTGATCGTGACAAATTCTCAGACGAAATGTTGGTTCACGTTATCACCAAATTAGATGTCTTTACTTTTACAGTGCTTTGATAAGATTCAACTACCATCGCGGGGATCAAAGTAGACTTCATCGTAACGTTCCAATGGATCTTTACTAATGAAACCTTTGTTCGGATTTTGTTGTTCATTTTTTTCATCGTAAATGAAGATGTCGCGTCACACAGTCGAGTACCACGTCGTAGCTCTTAATGCCGCGTTTAGGTGGAGATGCCCCTTTCGCTATTTCGTGACTTCATTTTTTTTTTTTTTTTTTTTATTAATTGTTCCCTCCTTTATTATTTCACTCCAGTTCCTTATCTCGGAAGCTTCGAAACGCTTTTTGTTCGTACGGTTATTTACGTTTTTTAAGTGCGCGCGCGATAAGCGCGGGTCTAAGAACCTCCGAGCTTGCCAACTCTCGGGAAAGGATATAAGTTTCTTCTCCCTTAGCCTGCAACGTTTATTACATTTTACATTTCACGTGTCGGGCGGTTTCTTTATTTTTTATTATTATTTTTTTAATTTTTTATCTTTTTTTTTTTTAATAATGACTCGACGAGGCGTTGGATGCGCTACGTAAAACAGGTAGTCTAGGCAAGCTCATCGTAATTGGGAGTACGCTATATGAATGGAATATACTCTGTGCCAAATGAATTTCACATGTCTTGTCTGTCACTTTCCGAAACTTGGGCCGTTGGTGTCATTCGTGCTTTCGATTAATCTTTCCTTCCTGCCCCCCCCCCCCTGCCTCTCCCGTTTTAATATTAACGCGACGAGCGTGCGACAAAGGACGTTTTTAAGACTGATCGAATGACTTGGAACGGAGTCGCTGGCTACAGATCGAAAGGTATCCCTTTAGGATCGGTGCACTGTACTTAAAAGTCTGGGGTCCTGGAACTAACGGGGCAGTCCTGTGCTTACTTCTTCATGCGTCGATAGAGTATTTTTCATTCGTCGCACGTCCGTGATTTGCAGAATCATCTTCGCGTTTCCAGGCAGGGATCTTTCGACGTCTGTCGAGTCGTTTCGCCGATATTTTTCTCGGTAGTTTTCGAGTCACGCGGTGCATTCGATTAACCCTTCCGCTGCTGCAGGCCTTTACGTATACTCGGGTATTGCGGACATTGTCGATATCTGCTTCAGTAATCTCGACGCGTTTGTCCGTTCCATAATTCGCGAACCGAATTATCGGATTTATTATTTCGGAAAGTACTACAAGTTTTCATTCGCGATCTGGCACTTGCTCGCCTAGAAAAGGCGTTCACTTGACAATGTATCGGGAATTTTTCAAATATTCAAATGTCTTTCTATGAGAGCGTTAAGTAAAAATCACTTTCCACGTGAACGAGCGCGTTAACGGTTCCACTCGAAGAGTATCGAAATTGGAGTCCCAATTTCTGAGCAACAAAGGTACGGTCGTTGGTCTTGCCGTGGCGAAAGGGTTATGGATCTTCGGATCATCGCGCGGGGTAGGGTCCTGGTCAAATTGATGAAGGTCGTCAGGGACTGTAAGCGCTTACAGTGACTGTTCAGGGAAGATGCAGCAATTTCACTGACACTCAATCATGCTTTCCTCGATTCTTACCCGACGGATCTACGCTGACCGGAGCACGCGACAGTAGACCCCAAGATTGTCGATTCGACTTAGCGCGACATTGGATGACACTCGAAGAGGCTGGGACAGAAAAGATGTAAGCTACGCGCGATACTTGTATCCTTTTCGCAGCGGGCCATTTAATCGGGGCCATCCACGATACATTTTGTGCTCCCGAAGAGCCCGGAGGGATTCGAACGAAAGAATAATTTGTAAATCTCGACGATAAGGGGAAAGATCGGATACAGACGCTGAACTTGACTCTCACGGCCCCGGGCTCAAACGAATCAGGAGCTGCGACGAAAGAGAGAGTCCCAGGGGGTATTTGCGAGGCCTCGCGTCGAGAAAGCATTTGTCGGGGAACGCGGGGCTTGACGAGGAGAGAACGCAAATCCCCTCCGTTCAGTCAACGCGGCGCGTCGGTTCGGTTCGTGGCAGAGCAGCCTTTTAACGTCCTACGCAGCAGTTGTAAATCGCCAAGTTCAAAGGTTTCACATTATTTATTTATTACTTTCGACGGCAAAATTGACTGTGATTTTACGATATTATGGTAGAGATGGTAGACATAGAGGGCCAGTAAACTGGTCCGTTTGTGTCGCGGTGTGGTAGCGATCGGTCGACATTTACCGGTGCGTCTCGCATTGCCGCGGCGGAATCGTAAACTCGACGATTTTTCCCTCGAATTGGTACCCTCTTTGAGCGTTTGCCGGCGACTGCGTCTCCCCGATGTGGAGGAGAGAAAGAAGTCGCGTCCAAACCCTTTTGTCATTTAGGGCTCTAACGACCTCCGGCACTCGGGTTACTTCCATTTTGGCATTTGGCCCGGTTCGTCTCGACCCTTGGCTCGTTCGCTGTCATACGCTTTTAGTCGGTAACCGTTATTGCACTCGGCGATATTTCAAGGAAGTCATTGTTTGTAAGGTTTGGACGATACGCTTACCAATTGCCGAGCGACGGGAAATGAGCATTTTTTTCGCTTCGTAGTGGTCGCCGCGTGACGGACCGTTCACTCGATGCATTTTCTTTTGCGAGCTTGAAAAAGGTTCCTTGAAAGTACGATCCTTCCGGAACAACGAACTCGAGTCGTTTGATGGTTAAGCGGATTATATTCCAGTTTTGAATTCATTTTGGGGAGAATATTAAGTAGAAAAGAGTAGGACAAGTTACGATGAATTTCCGACAGACCGTTAAATTATGTTTTTCTATTATCTTTCCATTTTACGTAGTATGCAACAGCTGGAGACCGGAAATCGCTTTCCAAATTCCAACTCGAAGACGTAGCATTACGCGTTACAGAGAGTTCCCTACTTCTTTGTTAGGTTGCCCATTTTTATCTTCCTCGAAATCGAGAGAGTAGTTATCGTAATATCACCCCTGTCGATCGTCTAGGTCGGTCCCGGTTAGTCATTCGCGGAAGATCCTTCCAGCCCCTGGAATAACTCGAATCGTTCCATCTACGTTAACTTGACCCTTTCCGTAAATTTCATCGAGAGCGTCCGAAGCACCCTTGAGATTAAGTGCCGATCCCCGCACCGAGCACCGATAGAAGAGGTGGCTGAATTAGTTGGTATTTTTATAGCGCCCCAAACGCGAGACCGTTTTCTAGTACCGCTACACGTAGAACGGGTGAGGTTTGTTTGGATATTTATGGGTCGATGTGTATATCCGTTCGACCTCGAGTCGACCTCGAGTCGACCTCGAGTCGACGTCGGCAGAGTCGAAAGACTTGAGAATACTTTTGTAGTTCAAGGAAGGTGTTATCGAATCGACAACGAGTCGAGTATCGTCCATTTTCTTTCCGACCACTCCGACTGCTCGTCGGTACGACGCTTTTCGCTTTCGCGACACGGTTACGGTTATGGACCGCGTATTCGGGTCGTCCATCTTCTCCGAGAGCGTTTTCGCCAAGTGGATAGGGGTATCTTCTTCTTTGCCTCGTCGGATTCCGTATCCAGTGAACATTCCCTCGATGACGACCGATTGACTTCGGTATAGACTGACACGCTTATCGACTGCAACGTGCAACGACACCGAGCGTGAGGTGGCGATGCGACTTGGCGTTCCTCTCGGCTGACTTTTTCACGACATCGCCTCTCGAATCATCATCCATATCTATCGTTCATCCTACCGTTTGTGTCAATGGTCGGAGATCGCCGAGTCGACATCGCGATGACACGCCGACTGGCGTTGACTGACTATTGTAAGTTACACGTTCCTTGACTGGCGCAGGTTCACCATTAACTACTTATTACTTGACTAGTTCTTTAAGTTCTTAAACGCATTTAATGAAACGTTTATAAGTTGTATACGAACGTTTCTCCCTCTTCTTTTTTTACATCTTATCGCGAGGGTAAACCAGTCTACTACGAATTGTCGAACTTCTTTCTGACGAGTCAGTGAAATACTCGGAACGTTCGATTGAGTTCCGTCTTGATATACGATAACTTCTAAAGGATTACCGATACCTTTGCCGATACTTTGTCGCGGTCGAGTCGTTTCGAATTCGCGGATTCGTTTTCGCCCTCCTGTTTTCTAACGATTTCGACGCGTTTGCTCGATACATCGGCATCGAAAGACTGTCCCTACGAGAGGATGCCAAAAAGAATTTTTGTAGATTTGTAATCGCAAACTCCATTGGTATCGATCGACTCCAAACGATTTAGCGTTAGTCCCAATCGTACGAAAGCGCGACGTTCCCCCTGGATGGGGGGTAGTTTTCCTCGACGTCGTAATCGATGTTATCATTTAACGGCACGATGACGTCGGACCTACGATCGAGTTATCGGCAAATTCATTTTAATCGCCCGTTGTGATTTTATACGATCATTTGTAGGATTGTCGTAATTATCCGGTAAATTATAAAAGTAAATAACTATCACTGTGACTAGATGTTAAAGCCAGACATAATAAATTGATTATACCGATAAAGACCAAGGATTATGATTACGAATTGCATCTCGAGTGATCCAGCGTTGTCTCCTGGTGGAACGGGAACGTACCGTTCTTCTCGGATCTCTTTTAAAAGACCTTTGGAAAGAGTGCATCGCGTCAAGGGCAGAAGATTGAAGAGTGGACCGTAATCTCGGAAATCTCGTCGTCGGTGTCGATGGTCCCCGGACGGTCGAATAACGCGGCAGCACCGAGGTGCTCCGTCTCACCGAAAAGGGCGATATCCTTTAACTCTGTAAAGCGAAAAGACTGTCCCCTTGTCTCCGTAGTGGTAGTAAACGTCAGTACCGATTACTCGATAATCATAGAACCCTCGGCGTCGCTAATCTAGCGCGTTAACATCAAAGAGACACGTCTAGCATACTGTTTCCGACCGGGGGATTTACGACGTAACTACTAGTTAGCGTTAAGTCTTCGGTGCTGCTTGTAATACATGCCGCTATCGACATTATCAAGAAGACGAAGGTATTAAACGTCGGAAATGAATTGAACCGAACCGTAGACTTTGCGTCCGTCGAATGCCCGCTCCGTCGGATGCGTCCGTCGGGTCCTGCCACGAGAGAGACGTATCGTTGGGATTCCTGTCGGATTGCAAGCGAGTTCTGGACCGGCGCGTCCGCCTGCACGTCCTGGTGGACAGAGATCGAAACGCCTGGCCATCTTCGGAAACCTTAAGGGGGTTCGAGAGGGTCGATTCGGGGTAGACCGAACGTACGTCGAAGCTCTGCAGGCTTCGAGCGTCCCGAAACGCGTTATGGTCTCCCCCAAGGAAGAAGGATCGTTTCGGGGTTCTATAGGATGTGCACTTAACCTTGTGCTTCTTTCCAAAGAGGAACTCGGGGGCGGGGGGCGTGGTTCGTTTGAATTCGACTCGGTTCATAAACGTCTGTCCACCGGGCTGTGAATTTAAGCGGAGAAATCGTTTATCCGGTTTTTGCATTTACGAGTCAAAGGTTTTTGGCGCACTTAGTCGGGCGACGGCGGATCGTAAGGTCGTTGATCGGCTCCGAGTGAGACACATCGTAGATATTAAGGGAGAAGCATACGTTAACGCGTGTACGACAACTTTATGTTTAATTACAAGACTTAACCGCATACATAGGTTGTAAGGGTGTACTCTTTACGTCAATCGATAGTATTGCGATCGTATTTTGTAAGACTAGTTGTTAACGAAACTGTATTCCTATCGATAGTTCTGGTTTTTCAATTTTTCTATTATTTACAACATATTTCGTCTGCTCTGCACTGCCTATGTCATACACGCTCCGCTGTCCGTTATAATACACGTAGTCGTAAGATTGTATTCCTGTACGCCCTTTTTACGATTCTTTTCGTTAAGACGCTTCGAAATCATATTTTTGTCGTTAACGTTTATTTCCCTCGTTTTCGAAACCTGGGAATATGCTTTCAAGTGTCTATAATGGTGAAATATCACATTTGTGACACACGCACGCGCTCACGCACGTGTGTCATCTGTCACATGTATAATATCCGTGAAGTAACAAACCGTTCGGCGTGATCAAGTAAAGTGCAGGACGAGTATGTAATTAGTAAAGAAAAATTTTGAAAATAATCGCTCGACTACCCTGCTGAATATTTTTTATAGAAACCAATGGAAAATATGCCGTCCGGAGAATCGTTGCTCTGTGTTCAATAGTTTTGCTTTCGACTTGTAGATTTACACCGGATACGTGTGTATAAGAAGACAAGGTGGCACGATTACTATTAATTGCCTTTTTTTTTGTCATTCCCAGCTGCGTTGATTCGTGCCTTGCCTACGAATACGGTAAACAGAAAATAACTTCAATTCAGAAATAATTTCTCCTACAGTCTGAAGAATTTAATTATCCTAGTATACCACTTTAGTTCCAGTTTTATCGAGTATCGCCATTTTTTCCATTATTTATTACATTAATCAGGTATCACCGTGAAGAAATAATACAGAGGGATACGATAACAAAAATATATTTTCACACAATATTATATTAAACATTTAACGGTGATACGATCCCTTGCTGTAAAAGAACTTATTTATCCTTCTATCACTAGCCGAGTTTTTGCAGAAAACTTGAATAGATCTAATACTACATCTTATAAGATATAATCACATTTTAAGTTCCTGGCGAATCATGATGGCTAATACGGAGCAGAAAGTAAAAAGAAGGATTTCCATCAGCATGTTGTTTTTCTGCTCTGCACGTGGTCGTACGGTAAGTACCGACCATACCAGCTAAACAACTTCCTCCTCGGTTGCAATCGTTGGCACTGCTATAACAAGATCATCCGTCACTTTAACGTCATTTAGCGGCAGAAAAGTGACGGACCGAGAGTCATAGGTGGTCGACGAGCCAGCTTCCACGCTGCCTCTCTTGGGGTCCACTCCGTGTACTTTGCCTTTCCCGGTGTCACGTATGTGGTTTCGATCATGAATCTTCATATGTTTAATCATGTCCCCTCTTTGGGCAAACGGACGACTACAGATCTCGCAAGGGTACGGTCGTTCGCCAGTATGCGTCTTTTTGTGAACAGTTAGCGTGTACAATCGTTTGAAACGTCGCCCGCAATATGAGCAGACGTACGGCCGGTCTTCGGTATGGATGCTTGCAAAATGTTGCTTCATAGTTACATCGGAACGGAAAGTTTTCGAACACTCCGGACACGGGAACGGCCTTTCCCCGGTATGCACCCGTTCGTGTATTCGCCATTGGTGTAGAGTAGGAAATCGTTTCTTGCATATTTCACAAATGAAGAGCCTCGTACCTACCTTTCCCCCATACGCGTTCTCTGCCACAGGTATCGCGATTACGTGTTTCTTTTTGTGTTGATTGAGATTTCCACTTCTGTTGAACCGAGCACCGCATACGTCACATATGTGAGTCTTTGTATTCGAATGAGAGAGCATATGTTGCGACAGGAGTGATTTTGCATGGAACTTCTTTTCACACGCGTTACACTCGAATCTCTTCTCCCGAATGTGCGTTGCCCTGTGATGGTTCAGCAGACCATTTGTCTTGAAGGCTTTTCCACACTCGCTGCACAGGAAGGGTCGTTCTTCCGCATGTGTCGCTAAATGAGTCCTCAGGCTTGCCATCGAAGCTAAGAACTTTCCACATCGATTGCACAAGAATGCATCCTTTCCATGATTCTTTCGATGTACCTTCAGTCGATTTTCTGTCGGAAAGACTTCGTTGCATCTATTGCAGTGATATGATTTTACCTTTCTGAGATGACTTATCATATGTCGTTTATAACTGTTACCGAAAACAAACGTGTCGTTGCACACATGACATCGATAAGATTTCTTGGTAAAATGTAGGCCTTTGTGAATTATAAATCGAATTTTACGAGTAAAAAATCTTCCACAGTACTCGCATGTATTACCAGTTGGGTTTAAATGGGAATTCAAGTGCAGCTGATGTGCTTGTTTTGACGGAAATGCGATAAGACATTGTGAACATTTAAATTTTGTCTGTTTTATTACTTTAGGAACCAGTCTTGTCTCGACTGAAAATAATTTGGCCATATTCGAACCCTGATCCGCGTGATTCATTTTACAATGCTTTATCATAAGACTTTTGTCGACGAATCCTTCATTACAATGCAAGCACTGAAAAACTATCAGTTCATTGAATTGCGGAACGATGGAACGATTAGACTTCTTCTTTCGCTTGACTTCTGTTCCTTTGTTAATTCGTTCAATTTTCTGTGAACTCGTATTTGTCATATTTGACGTAAATATTTCATGAGCACCTTGTAGTCCTATCCAGTTTTCTTTGGTTATTAAAAGGGGATCAAACGTTCCTCTGCCAACAGAAGGTAAAGAACCGTATTACAAATATGTCTCCAATGTCCAAAATGCAAATTACTTACATCTCATTATTCATTAAATCATTCGATGAATAGTTTTCATAAGCGACGCCATTCTTCATTTCTTTTTCTTTTTCGGTTTGAGAGTGGACTTGTTTTTGTACGATATTGCAAGCATTGTTGGTATTATAAAAAACCACGCGTGACTCATTAATTGTAGTCAAAGGTTCAGATTTGCATTCATTAGCAATCAATGATTCACCTTCAAGGCCCTAATAAGAATATTTAATTTTAAGAATTATAAACTACTAGAACTTACGAGTAATGTAGTAGATAAAAAAAAGGTTTGTATTAACGTAAATTACATGTGATACAGTAGTCAATGCAGATTTAACATCATTTATTATGTTACTTTCCCTGAGTAACATTCTTAATTTTTTATCTGCTTCTTTGAATCGTTGAATCATTGTTTCACACATTGCTAGCTTTTCTGCACAGGATTCACATGCATCTTCTGGTAAACCGTCGTTCTTATATGCCTGAATCATCAAAGTTTATATAATAGAATCGTGAACCCTAAACTCTGTTTAAAAAGTTAATTGTACCCTTTCAATTATTAATGGGATGTTAGTATTTATGGTCCATGTTTGCAAGAGAAAGAGTCATGTTACATCTACATTTTATATCCAATTAATAATATTTACCATTCTTGGCAATAATCTATTGATTTTAATGTCAAGGCGGGAACTGTAAATACAATTAAGCATGTCAAGTGGTACAAGAGTTGCACATAAACGACATAGCTTATGGATCTTTTGTCCGTCTTCCTTAATATCAAGGTCATCGACTCTCAAAGATATCGTTAAGTCTTCCTCGTCGCTTATGGAATTTGAAACCTATTATATAAATATAAGTAACTGATTATATAGCACCATTGGTATTTAATCCGATGTATTGAAGCAAATCATGAGACTTACAATTCTTGGAATGTATTTGTATTCACGGTTGTATCTTCTTTCTGTACTTTCATTTTGCACATTGACCAGTACATTGCTCTTCGAGCTCGTTAGATCTTTGGTATTATTTTTTCGTTTTAGTATATCAGATCGTTCGATCGTATGTCCTTTAAAATTGTTTCTGAAAATTGTAGGAATTGGATAGCATTTTTAATAAACTCATTTTTACGCTGAGGATTTATAAACCAATAGTCCTCAAAATGCTCTGCGTACAACACATATCGAACAAGTGCTTTTACATTTTTATTTACAATGTCGTGCCTGTTACATGCTTCAGTCCAAGTCTTTGAACTACAAAATGTAAATTTCTAAGCATGACGAGTATATCAGACACAACTCAGTAATACTAATCAGAAAACTATTGACATAATCTTTGTGCGATCTATGAACGTACAGAACTTACAATATTTCATCTTTAGGAAAGCTGAAAAATGTTACACCGGGTGTAGAGGCTTCCATATTGAAACATGTTCTTGCAGCACACTTTTTAAGGGACATTTTATGCTGAACACGTCCACCTTTCTTTTCAATGAAAAAAATAACATCGAACGCTGGCAAACATAGTTGAATTTACGAGTGCACACGTAGGGTTAGATTAGGCTACGTGAGGTTAGATCATAAAGATAATATTAAAAGGAGGGAATGTATGGCAGAGATGAGTTGGGGGATTGCTCACGGGCAGGATCGTGCGATCGCATCCTGTGCTGCCCTCTGGTTTCGTACGTTAGCTTTCACTGTTTTTTGCCCCCAAGGGCGGCGCAACGAATTTCTGGTAGGAGCTCGCGCACTCGCGGTGGCGGTACCATCTACCCCGTCGCCGTTAGTGGCTCACGTACTCGTGATGNCGAGTACGTGAGCCACTAACGGCGACGGGGTAGATGGTACCGCCACCGCGAGTGCGCGAGCTCCTACCAGAAATTCGTTGCGCCGCCCTTGGGGGCAAAAAACGGTGAAAGCTAACGTACGAAACCAGAGGGCAGCACAGGATGCGATCGCACGATCCTGCCCGTGAGCAATCTCCCAACTCATCTCTGCAGAGCTTTTCGCTATTTCAATCTTTTCCTGGTTCGATAAATATTTTCATCAACTTAAATATAAATTGTAAATTTTTGCTGAAAGTTAATTCTTATTTAGGGAACGTTTGACTCAACACCAGAAGTTACTGTAATTGGTATACCATTTTTTGATCGTGTTGTTACATAATTTCGATTTTAAGTTTAGACCAAGTACGACTATGGTATTTCAAAGTGCATTAGCGGAAATAAAATATAAGAGACCATCGACAAAATAAGCTGGGAACGTTCTCAAACAGTGTTCTAATATAATATTAAACTGAAATTGCACTAGAGTTAACTATTGGTTTTTAATATTTCTCTCATTTCTAATACTGGTAGAAGATAAATGTGACGTTCTGTTACAGGAAACAATGTCCATTCAAATATCACCTGCTCTTCATACACCTCTTACGGATCTAGGTGGTGGGATGATACACGCTCAAAATGGTTCATGTGCCATATTTGAACAAAATGTGCTCAGGTGCTTTGACGCTTATGGGTTTAAACTCGCACCAAAAAAATGTCCAGATATGTTTGATGATTTACATGAATGCATTTATAAAGGTAAACAGTTACGACGAATAGAGTTAATGACAAAAGAACGAAATCGACAAATTAAAGGAGGCGAACTTCAGGGTTCTGATAAATATATTCCTAGTATTGGGATAGACGGACTTTAATCTGTTTTAAGTAATCGTCAGGTACAATTTGTGAATTAGAATATCGATGTACCTTTTAGAGGATCAGTAAAGTACTTTGAACTTACTTGTACCGTAAAAGTTAATTTCAATGATGCTCAATCGTCCCGTATAATTAAAGAAAGGAATCGAGCAAACGTAACGATACTCCTGTAGCACTGCAATGTATTAAAGTTATTGAACAGTTTTTTGTAATGGCAAGGGGCCTAAAATGTAAACCCAAAACAACGCTTAATTGTACAAGTGATACGATTTTGGTAAATTCGATCGTACCTTTTAACCGTAAACGTTCGAACGACGAGGTGCTTATGCCATTTCTTTTAAGAAGGGTATCCACCGATCAATAGATTAATACTTAAGTCGATGCAATGGTAGAGAATTCTGGCAAAGTTACGCATAAGTAACGGTACGACTGTCGGTTCCCCTGTTGCTTTTTGGTTCATCTCGGGTTAGTAGATACAGGATAACGTCATGGTTAACAAGAAACGACGATTTGGATAAAATTAGGAGTCGAGGGCTTATAATAACGTTTTATCAGCCTCTGGTTTTACCGACGTCTCGGTATTTAATTTCTTCCTCCACTCTAAGCGCATTCATTTAATTTAGTGACGGAACGATTTGCGCATACATCGTTAAAGAGTTTGAAACGACGGAGTACAATAAAAGGAAATAGGAGAGTACAAAAGCGTATTCCCGGAGGATAGGGTACGAGGTGGATCCGACGGGTAGTCGGCTGGATGGGCCAATCGGAAGCCTAGCTCGTAGCAACTCGAGTCGCCGGTCGACGACGGAGTTCCGAGCAAGGACGCGAGATGGCGGCGGGGAGCCGCGAGCGCGAGGCGCACCTGTCCGTCATCGGTCCCGACTGTCAATCTGACGCTAGCTCGGGTCTCGAGACCGACGCGTTTCGCCGCGCGTCAGAGGGCGAGTAAACCGGGGGCGGCGAAGGAAACGCGAGGCGGCCATCGGCGGTGTCGGAGGCCACGAGGCGGGAGAGGATCGGCCGGTAAGTCTCGGGAAGCGGCTCGAACGGCTCGACGAAACACACCGGCGACTCGCGGGCACGCGGCAGGGCGCGCTGCCGCGGACGCGTGCTCGCGACGATCGCCGCGCGTTTCCCGCGCGTTCGAGGTACGTCGAATCCCGATCCGCGACGTCGGGACCCGCGGTCGCTCTTTTCTCGACTCTCACGTGCCTCCCGCTGCGAACGATTGACAGCTCCGAGAGAGGACCTCCACGGCGAAGACGCGGACAACGGCGACCGGCCTGGCGCGAACCGGCTGCACCTTCCGGAGCCAGGGGACCATGGAACGACGCGTCGGTGAGTGGTCGAAAATTTCCAGACGGATTCGTTCGCCCGGGAAGGCGCATCTCCCGCCGGCGTTCGTCGCTCGGCGATTTCTCCGCTCGCGGGACGCCAAAGCCGCGACGGGCACGTGGTGTCGAGACGCGGGCTCGCTCGGCCACGGGGGCCACACGACTCGCGCCATGGACGCCGAGTCGACCCGAGTCGACCCGAGTCGACCCGAGTCGACCCGAGTCGACTCGAGTCGCACCGCAGAAATACCGCCAACTGTCACACCGCGCCGAGCTCGAATCCAAGGGGCGCCGTGGCCCGGTCACCGGGAAACCTCGATCCGCTCGGGTTTGCGAGGTTAGGGGGCTTACCGACCGAGCGCCGGCCGCATCGACCCGACACGTGCCAGTGACGGATTTCGACCGCCTCGTGTTTACGTTCGACGGGCCGCCGGTCACCGGTCGCCGGCGGCGCGGGCGAGACGTTCGCCCGTCCGGAGTCGTTGCGTAAGCGAGGCTTCCGGCGCCTCGGGGATGGGGCGAATTTAGGGCCGACCCGGGATGGCAACGCCGAGCGCGCTCCTTATCGTCTCGCCTCTCTCCGTGGCTCTTTGCTCTCCTCGCGTTATCGCCGAGATTTGCGCAACAGCCGAGACTCCCCGGCTCTCGACGTTTCCATTTCTTTTAGCTCTCTTAGCGCCCTCGGCAGGAGCCGCCTCGGCCCGTGAAATAGTGCGAACAGGTGCGCCGACGGTGGGTGCACTCGCGCCCGGACGGAGTTATTCCCGGGCGAGTGTCGTTGTTTGTTCGCGTCCCTCCCTCTCCCCGGAGTCGCTCGGTTGGGCCTCTCGCTCGCGCCTTACGTAAGCCGGCCTCGCTCTCCGGGGCCTTACGTAACTCGTGACCGGGAGGGCCTTCTCCCGAGGGAGGCGGGAACCGAGGATGCCCCCCGGACGGCGAGAAGGACGCGAGACTCCGACGGACGTCTAATTCCGTCCGGGTCTCGGCTCTCCGACCGGAGATTTGTTTCCCCGGCGACCGGGACGCGTCTCCCTCGGGCCGGAGGAGGCACCGCGGTGACGCAACTCGAGGACTCGCGGAAGCGTCGGGACGCCAGGTAGCCGCGCGCGCCTATTCTCGGCCGCGGAACGGTCAAAGGCCGGCCCGACGACGCTCGGCGGATCCGCGAGCGGGGCGAGTCCGTTTTCCGCGAGACTCCTATTCCGGGCGCGGCTCCCGAAATAGAGGCCTCGCGGAATGCCTCGGGTACTCCTCCACTCGGCGGCCAAGGGGCTCCCTCGCGGGCGCGCTCCCCCGAGGCGGCCGCCGGCGGTCTTCGAGGTTCCGCCTAGATTCCGACGAGATCGCGCCGCGGGGGAAACGCGTCCGGACGGACGACGGCCGCTTCCGCGTGGCGGTCCGGGCTAAAATCGTCCCCGACCGACGAGGAATGCCCCGGTCGGGGTCGGTGCGGATCGATCGGGGCGACGGGGATTCCTTTCGTCGGCTTCTCGGGGCCGAGAGGCCAACGGCTCGGCTCGCTTCCAGAGACGAGACGAGACGAGACGAGAGCTAGCGAGGGTCCGACGGTTTTGGCTCGGCGGCCGAGAAGGTGTTAACCCGGAGTCGTTCTCGATGCTTCTGTGCCACGGGGTATATTTAGACGTCGATTTTAACACGGAACGAGTTGACCGGCGTCTCCGGCGGACCGAAGACGCGGCTCTCCCCAGGAGGCCTTCGGCCATCCAGGACGGCGGGGGGGGGGAAGGTCCTCCGGGAGTCGCACGTGTCGTGGCCTCGTCGAAATCGGACCGGCTCGGGACACGTTCTCGGAAAGCCGTAAGGGAAGGAAGACCAATTCGCGCGGGGGAGCTAAACGATGGGCAAACCGCGTCCGAGGCGGGCCGGAGACGTCAAGGAACGGCGAGGAGTTTGCCGCGGTGATTTACGATCGGACGCCGAGGGAGGACATCTTCCGGGATTCGACCGCGACGCTCGTCGGGGGAAGGTGTCGGGTCGGGTCGGGTCGGTCCGGTATAAATACGCGGCCGAGGATGCTCCGCGCGGATCGGTCGCGTTCCAGGCCGGAGTCGGCGAGCCTCGAATGCCGCGGGGAAGAAGGTCGTCCCTTTGGCCGGCGGCGAGTACGCCGCCGGTCCGCTTTTGGAGCAGCGTCCAAGATGGCGCGGTGAAACGAGATACGCCGGTCGCGAAACGTCGGGTCGACTTCCGATCTCTCGGATCCGGCCTTCCGCGGCCCTATTTTCGCCGACGATCTCGCGCGTAACGCAGGTCGCGGTTACCGAGTTCGCGGGCCGCGCCACTCGGGACGGCGCGCTATCTTTGGACGAGTCGAACTTGGATCAACGAACCGGCTCGCTTTGGCTCGCTTTCGGCTCGCTTTCGGCTCGCTTTCGGCTCGCTTTCGGCTCGCTTTCGGCTCGCTTTCGGCTCGCTTTCGGCTCGCTTTCGGCTCGCCGTCTCCTTCCTCGCGTGATTTATTCCTCGCGCCGGTCCAGATTTTTCCGTCCGAGCTATTTACGCTCGACGCGTTACTGGGCCGAGTCGGCCGCGGGACTTCCGCGCTCGGTTCGGAGACCGCCGGCTCGTTAAGAGCGATTACGCGGTGCCGGGGAGGAAGGGTGCTAACTCCGCTCTTTAGCGGGGCGCTGCCTCCTCGGCACTCGGCGAGACCCGCGGTAGTCGGAACAAACAAGATAGCGGAGGGGCGCGCGGGGCTCTTATCGCGGAGATACCTGAGGCTCTCGCGCGGACGCGGACGCCAAATTAAAAGGGACGCCCGATCGACCGATAAGATACGCGCGGCATCTCTCTTCCGTCTCGCCCGTCCGGAGCAGTCCGGAGTAGTCCGGAGGACCTCTAGGTTCGCGGCTCGGCCGCCGCCTCGAAGACGCGGAAGGCCCGGTCCTCCCTCCGCACGTGTTCCCTCCTTATCGGTCGCCGTTAACTCGGCGCGATAAGGACGGCCGAGGCGACGCGGGCGCGAGATAGGCGCCTATCTCCGAGGTCGGAGGTCACTCGGTTTCCGAAGTCGACGGCGGTCCCGCGAACCAGCCGGAGGACCCGGGGGGAATCGCGTCACTCCGAAGTCGCGTCGTCGTTCCCACGGCCCCGCGATTCCCATGTTAATTCGGAGGTCGGCCCTCCCCTTCCCGCGCGGATCGGCTCGATTCCGCCCTTCGCGCGACGCGCCCCTCCTGGCTCGTAGACCCAACAAGCTTTATCGTCTCGCGGCGGCCCGACGGACGACGTCGCACCCGGAACGAGGTCGACGTCCGGTTTACGCTCTCGCAGACGCGTTCCCGATCGATCCCGAGGAGGACCGGATAGCGCCGGTGCCCGCCCGCGTCAGTTGCGGAAAGCACCCCGTCCGGCGGAGCTACGAGCGGCTACGAGCGGCTTCCGCCGCGCGTGGGCGGAGGTTTCATTCACGAGAGCCGGTCCGCCGCGCGGCGGATCGAACCGGGCGTGATCCCCCCCACCCCGGGGGGGGGGGCCTTCCGGAACGCCGTTCCGGTTTCCGCGACGGAGCGCCTCCGAAGCGGGTTCCGCGCGGAGACGCGACGGCCGCAGCGGACGCGAGGGGGCCAAGGCGACGGCGTAAGATCGCGGAATTACGTAAGCTCCTCGAAGCGCGTTGCGCAACCCGTCGCTCGCCGCTCGCCTCTCGTTATCGAGTCCCGCGAACGAGCGCGCGTCGCCCTTCGTACCGCTCCGCCGAGGGCCCGCGGGAGCGGACGAGAGTTCCTTTCCGCGTCCGCGAGGGACGGCGCCGAATCACCGGAGCGTCGCAGGGAGGGATACGTTTTCCCGCCAACCGACTGGGAACCGGTAGCCGGGGGGGGGGGGGCGGGCCGGCGTCGAGCCGGCGTCGCGCGGCGCGGGCTCAGTCGCGGTCCGACTTCCGAGGCGCGAGCGGGTAGGAGCGGGCAAGCGGGAGAAGCGAGTGGTTCGCGAGTGGTTCGCGAGTGATTCGCGAGGTGCGCGGGGGTGGGACGGGCCGTCAGATGCCGGCCACGCGTGCCCCCGAGGAGGGCGAGTCGTCCGGGGGGAGGAAGTGCGGCTGCCGCCGCGGCGAGACGCCGGCCGGGAGCGGTCGATGCCCGTAGAGGAACGCGCGGCGCCGCGAACCTCGTGCTCGCCCCTGAGTGGGTGAGACCGCGCCGGAGCGTCGCCGGGAGGGATATGCTCCCGCCCGCTGCCATGCACCTGGAGCAGAGGATGAGTACCGGCGCGCCCCACCCGGAGCCCCGGCGGACGGCCGCGTCTTCCCGCGAGCCCCACCTGCCCCATCGGCCGGCCGTCCTTTCCCCAGGTAAGGCAAGGGCGGCGCGAGTCGGCTCCTGCGTCGGCTAGTTGCATATGCATGGGTATTCGAGGTACGTAATCGGCGCATTCAATGCAAAACGTCCCGCCGCGCCGCGTGCGCGAGCAGATGTCAAGGAGGTTACCGGCGGGCGCGTCGCGCCGCCTCGCCCTCCCCGGCTAAGCGTAATCGCGGCGTCGGGCAAACGACTCGGGGACGGCTTCGACGCGGAATACGTATGTGCACCAGTCGACGCGATCGCGAAGTCAACCGAGTTCAATTAGTTTGACGGTGCGAGTCCACTTTGGCCGCGGCGAGTTCCCGTTCCTCGCTCGGCCGTCGCGAGTCTTCCATGAGAGAGAGAGAGAGAGAGAGTTGCGGAGATGCGAAAGGAGGAGGACACTCTTTCGCGAGGAGACGGGGCAATCGGGAAGGTCGCGCAAAGATGCCGAATCGCTTCCAAGAGGCTCGACCGGAGGCTTCTAGGACGTTGACGTAACGCGGACGTAACGGCCGAGGCACGGTCGCGACGCCGCGAGGACGCCGCGAGGACGCCGCGAGGACGCTCGGTTCGCCGTAAAGTGGCCTGGGTTTGGGATTCCTCTTCTCCTTCTCTTCCTCGGCCGCCTCGGAGTCATTCTCCGGAGAAGGAGAGAGACTGGCGTCCTGCGAAGATTTGGACAATGAGGTTGCTCAACGGCCCGATATCGGGACATCTCTGTCCTTTCTGGCCCCTCGTAGTTTTCACTCGCGAGTGGAAGGGACGGCGATAAGCTCCTCATGGCTGCAAGCATCGGACGTTATCGCCCGTCGATCGCGGTTAACCCAATAACGCCAGTTAACGCGGAAACCGCCGGTCGAAGGGAGGGGGCAGACGACGATTCCGGACCACCCCGCCTCGTTCCGCGGGCCTGGAGCGATCCGGCGCGGCCGATTTTCCGAGCCAGCGGCCGGGGGAGAGGAAAGGCATTCGCGGCCCCGCCTTATCAAGAGCGCGTTTATTTTTAATTGACTCCGAAACGTCAACGGCTGGCACGCGTCGGGCTTGCGGAGCGAAACTTGCGAAATTGCCGATTTTTCTGGATCGAGCCCATCGCACCACGTAAGAATAGACCCATTCGAGTCGAGGCCCAAAGTCGCGTTTCGTCATCTCCCGGCGATTCGCTCGCCGGCCCCAGTCGATGGAGGCGTCGCGATGGGGTCCGAGGGCTCGGTGCCCCACGGTGTCGAGTGTCGGACGACCGTGGCGACGTCTCCGGGGCTAAATACGGAACGACCGGCCGGTACTCGAGTATATTTTCGGAACGCGCCTCGTCTCGGAAGAAACGACCGGCGGCGGCCGAGCGAACGAGCGGGCTCGGATCGGCGGATCGAGGGATCGGCGGATCGGCGGATCGGCGGATCGGCGGATCGGCGGGAAAGGGTCGCGGAGGAGGAGAAGCGGCCCGAGAGTGAGCGCAACGACACCCGGTGGCGGGTCCTGCTCCCTTCCTCCCGCTCGGCGAAACCGGAAGCGGCGTCCACGGACGCTCCGTCCAGCTGGCGTCGCGGTCGATGAGCCGACTACCCGGAGTCGTCGTCTAGACGGATAAAGGCGTCGAGGGTGGCGAGACACCCGTAGCAGCGGCCGATGCGCCGCGATCGATGGGCCCCTCTGTCCCTTAACGAGCCGGCTCTCGGTGCTCCTCGTTCGCCCCTTCGCCCCTTTGCCCCTTTCCATCGGTTTTGACCGGCACCGGCCCTCGCCCCCTCTTCGTCCCCCTCTCGCTCGTCCAAAGACGACGCTCGAGTCTCCTCGGAAAGCTGCCGACCTGGATTTTGGTATCTACCGTTGATTCGCGTTGGGTCAGAAAGACCGATTCGAGCGATCGAAGATGGATTTTATCGTGCCACCGACTGGCCTCGACCGTTGCGATCGTTCGATGGGTCCGACTCCCGGAAGCGATCGAACCGGTGGCAGGAGCCGCCGTTCGGTTCGCGTTCGATTTCTCGAGGCCGCTTCGCCCGGATCGATCGATTGATCAATCGCCGACGAGTTCGCGGCCGAGGTTAAGGATCGCCATTAGAAATTCGGCGGGCGTCGTTTAAATACCCACGTATCCGGTACACCGGTGGGTCCCGGATCGGGTAGAGGGGCTACTCGGGAATCGGTGGAACGTCGCGGGGAGGGAATCAACGTGCGATTCAAGGCCTCGACTCCGGCCTTTATGTAACCGGTCGAATTGGTCGCTTTCCCTGTCCTACCGGTTCCCTTTCGCAATCCCTGCGGTTCATACCTGGGCCCTGCGAACTCACGAGCCTTCGCAGGATTTATCGTCGTTTCCGCGGCTCTTAGAGAACTTCCTCCGGGTGCAAATCCGAGATTTCCCGCTCCAGAAGTTGGTACGTTTCGCCGATCGCCGACTGATTCTCAGGATTTTTCATCATTGAAACGAACAGCTTTAAAAGAAGTGTTTCGGTGCAGCAAATGGCCATTAGTCGGGAAATCTTTCACGAGAAATTTATTTCGTGAACGGTCTCGTCAATTTATCTTGTCCGAGTCAAAGGAATCGCATTATTCGGATCGTTTCGTCTACGATTAAATTCGACGTACCCTCGCGCGGAGGGGCCGCTCAGCCGTGCCAAGAAATTCTCCACGGGAAAAGGCCTTTCGACTCGATCCATGAGATAGGAGTTCGTTAAGCGCCCCCGTTGCTCGAGTCCTCGTTCCTGAAACGACACGTGCGCGCAGATTCGTCCCGTTTTCCAAATTTTTCAATTTTCTTCAGCTTCTCCATCTTCTCCGCATGGTCGGAAATCCGAGAAGGGCTCGGATGTCTGTTCGGACCGCCTCGAGCCTCTCCGGCCCGGACCGCCGAAGATTGGCCGACCGATCTCGGAGGTTTAGAAACACGCGCATCCCGAAGCTCCCTCGACCTCGAATGGGGTAGCTTCGCGAATCGCGGACCTTCTGCCGCATCGGAAGGGCAAGGGGGCTCCTCCGAGCCGTCCTCGTACTTCCGCCGAGCGAATTCGCAGACCGTTTCTTCACCGTCCGGCCTCGCTTTCGTGCCGTCTGCAACCGCAACGGTTATCTCTTCTTGCCTCGGGTTGGGCGCTTTTTAGAGCCGGCGGCATCCTGGAGACTCTCGTCTTTTCTTCCCTCGCCCTCGATCGAACGACCGCGCGACTCGACGACGAAAGGGAGGAGAGCGGGTTTCGCGATCGGTCATCGATGGATCGACTCTTCCGACGTGTTCCTCCGATGCCCCCGCGCATGCAGGGACGTTCCGGTGAATCGGGCAACGCGTCATTTTTGGTTAGCCGGAAACCCCCGCGGAGGGGCCCGCCATTCTCGGTGACGTCGCGACGGAGGTTCCACGGGGCAATAAACGTTGGATGAATGGGATTTTCCAGGCCTAGCGGCCGAGCCGGCTTCTAACGGACTTGAAGGCCGAAAGTAGGGAAGGATCGTCGACGCGCGGAGGGGTCTTTGGGTTTATCACCCTGCTGGAGTTTCAGGTCCAAATCTCAGGCAGGGGTTACGGTCGGCGACTGTCGGCTAGCGACGTTCTTTTCCGAGTCCTCGGCTTTTCCGCGCAGACTCTGGGCATTCCAGGGCCGAGGGTCGAGCCCGGTCGTTCGTATGGTATTCCCGGCTGTGTACCTCGCATACCTGGTTCTTCTATTCCTCGGGTTTACCCGGAAGAAGTCGCAATAGAATAATTAAGAGGCCGCGCGGGGGAGCAGCTAGGAATAAATAAGGTGGAATCGTCGAGGGCTGTAACGGAAAGGCGGCTGAAAGTCGGCCCCGATGCAGGCTCGAGCGGGCCCGTCTGCAGGAAACGTGCGTCGGGGCGGACCTTCTTCAAGGACCGACAGACACGGAGTAGTCGTCAACTTGTTTGCTTAGCTGGCCAAACAGCGATCGGCCGCGTTACCCATGGATTCCCCGTTGCCGAGCCAGAAACATCGTTGGCTCGCCGTGTCGACTCGATTCGGGAACTTTGGATCGAGGGCCGTCGAGGGGCCGTCGAGGGGCCGTCGCGGTGTCGGTCGGACCGGGCCGGATAAGTCGGTGCGAGCGGAGGAAGCGCATCGGATGATCGGAGACATGATACCGAGGCCTCTTTTCGTTTCAGCGAGAGAACGTTTCCCCTCGTCGAGCAGCACCGACGATGATCAGAGCGGCTCGGACGTGGAGCACGAGTCCTCGGCGATCCGGGGCAAGACTCACCCCGGAATCCTCCACCACTCCGGCACGCACTCGGTCCGCAAACGACGGGGGAATCTGCCCAAGCACTCGGTCAAGATCCTCAAGAGGTGGTTGTACGAGCACAGGTATAATGCCTACCCCAGCGACAGCGAGAAACTCACGTTGAGCCAGGAGGCGAATCTCACGGTGCTGCAGGTAAGTCCGTGCCCCTCGAGTCGGGCGAAAACGAGTCTTTCACCCACGGAGTGGAGTTCGGGAAAGCGAGACTACCGAGAAGTAGCCCGTCGAGGGAACGTTCGCATTTACCCTTTGTCCAGAGGGACGTCGAGAACCGTTAGTCGGCCGCGGCCCTGTACCGCGTTCGTCCCCGCCAATCGGGGGTCGTCCGTCCGGCGAACCCCGCTACAAAAGCTCCGGTCGAGCCGTGAAATCGGTCAAACTCAGGTGGAACGTGGGTCCGTGCGGACATCGACGAGCGCGTCTCGCTTTCCTTTCCTCGCGGCATCTTCGGAGTCCAATCGAACGCGCCCTCGTTCGCAGGTTTGCAACTGGTTCATCAACGCTCGGCGACGCATTCTGCCGGAGATGATTCGTCGCGAAGGGCACGACCCTCTTCAGTACACGATATCCCGTCGGGGGAAGAAGATGCCGGGCGGGAATCACCAGCAGGCCTCGGGCCTCAGTCCCAGGTCCAGCCAGAACTGGGACCCGCTCGCCGGCATGAGCGCCCCCAAGCGCAGCAGGGACCACGACTACGAGGACTCCGTGGGACTCATGTACAGGTGAGGGAGAACGCGCGCTCAGAGAGGGTCGAATCGCGACGGGGACTAACCGCCTCTTTCTCTCTCTCTCTCTCTCTCTCTCTCTCTCTCTCTCTCTCTCTCCTTCTCTTGTTGCAGGAGCGAGGAGGACAGCCCGAACGATTACGAGAGCAGTTCGCACAGCGAGGAGGAGCGTCCCTCGACCCAGTGGCCCAGCGTCATCGTCTACCCCTACTCGGAAACCAAAGTCGAGCAGACCAATCAGCCGAGCTACGGGGACCCGCTCGCTCATCCTGCTCGCCGAGGGTAAGTCCGTCGTTCTTGACCTCGTTCCTTCCGACGCGATTCCGAATACTAATGGCGCGTTTCGTCCACCCCCAGGGAAGAGGGAGACGAGTCGTCGACGGTGAGCGAGGCGGCGTATTGGAGCGCACCCAGGCAGCACCTGACGACGACGACGACGCCGGATGTGCAGCACGAGACCGAGGTATACAGCACGCACAACGCGCACAGCCCGCACAACGACGAGACCCCGCCGCCCACTCCTCCGGAAGAGGACAAAGACAAGTTCAAGTGCCTCTATCTGCTCGTCGAGGCCGCGGTCGCCGTTCGGCAACAGGAGAAAGAGCGCGAGGGGACCGTGGTCTAACGCGAACCTCGCTCCTCGTTCCCTTGCTTTCTCTTCTTCGTTCCTCGCGCGGGACCCAGGGCGGAACTCGCGGGATTCCGCGGCAAAAGGAGTGACCGACGGCGTCGACGAGCACCGAGTGGGGAAGACGCGCGTGGGGCCGGGGGCCGAGTTCACATTCGAGGTTGGGCCTGTCAAGGTTGCGCGGAGCGTTTGGGATGGAGAACGCGACCTGCGTTTTACGGCCAACCTCGCCTCGATACCCGCGGCCTGTGGAAACGAGGACACGGTGGCGTTTCTTCCTGATTTTGGATCGGGACTCGCGTCGATCGCCCTCGCGCTTCGATCGTTCGAGTCGCCATCGCCGTTTCCGGTGACAACCTCCCAGCCTGTCGGCAGCGGGGTTGGCCTTGGTCGATCGTTATCCTTAATAAGTCTTCGAGGTTCGATGTAGCGTCTACGTAAGCTCCGGGTTAAGTCGAGTAGAAACGGAGTCGCGTTCACGACTGGAAAAAACATTCTTCCAAGCGTGTGCGCTCGTCGGTCACTGGGTACGTTTTGGCTTTTCGGTGCCGAGAGCGGCAAGTAACAACGTCCGATTACTAGAGAGGCGATAACGAGCCGTAAAAATGATATTATGCGCGGCCTTATTTTTCCAACGTCAGGGAATGAACGTGACGCCGAAGGCACGTATAATACCGTGTTTCTTGTTTGCCGAACGTGTAAAGAAACGGCAATCCCTTAACACGTTGACTGCCGCGTCACCCATATTCGGGTGACATAGCAGTCGAATAAAATGCGCGTGGCAGTCAAAGTGTTAAGGACCGTTTCGAATAGACAGTGACAGTGGTTGATCGTTGATACTTGGTTTACGGTTCGGCGAGATATTTTCGGGACGGTTGTTCTAGGATTTTCTACAAAAGCGACCCCTCGGGTGTAAATCGGATGATCGTACGCTGTGCAAACGGCGGTTTCGCAACATGCGTGCGATCGAAATGTGCCTTCTGGATTGTCAATTATGTGTGGACACGCGCGATGCAAACGGGATCTTGACTAGTACGCGGAATTTCGTCATTTCCATTTAAGCCAGGTCGCAGATTGTCATTTAAACGACGAGCATTCCTCCCGTCCTCTCCGGGTCATAAAACGCGGCTCCGTTACGATCCCTTCCGTACATCAGTCTAGGAATATTTGGAAAAAGAAGCGAAACAAAAGTCTAGAATTTGGGTAAAACATTACTCGCAGCGTGCACTGTGCCAGATATTCGATTAATTTGGTATTTTTCACTTTACGCGTGGGACATCCCTCGAGGCGAAATCTAATGACCGATAGTGACTTTGTACGAGCGAAATTGAAATCGGAAGTTCAAGTCGACCCTTAAACGTGACAACGATAATTTTTTTTCTAGTCGAAACCATTTGCACCCCTTCTCGCGAGTTATCTGGAATATCGACCTCGGTTGACTTTCGAGAAAGACCGTTCATGGTTCTCACGTCTTGCGCCTTTCGTGAAGCGTCACGACCATACCAGGCAAGCTTGTGTAAGATCGACAGTTGACGATACTCCGATTGATTTTCTGTTTCGAGACGTTGAACTTGGGACCGTACGCCATGAATCCAATTCGAATCAGTGATAACTTTTTGCGATTCAGTGAGCCGTTCGCGGGTTTTTGCCGATTATTTCAAGTAGCACATTCGCGCACCGAGAGTTCGTTTCGATGTTCGCTAGAGCAGAGAAGGTAAAAGTTTTGGTGCCTCGTTCTTGATAAGAAATACGAATCCAATTATTTTCAATTATTTTTAATTAATCATTTATTTTTGTATTTTACCCGAGATCGCGCTAATTCATTCCCTGTCTTTGTTTTTGTATTTGTGCCCTGTGAATGCTTGTACAGTAAGCGCAGACTTTGAAGATCGATACGTAATCGACGAAGGCACGCTAAATCGCGTTAGTTAATCTACGCGATTTCAGCGATGTCGAGGGTTTGCCTTAGGATGGTATAAATTGGTTCATGATTTATGGAATAGTTGCTGTATATGTCGCTTGATTGGTTGCATGATCTCACAGTGAGAGCATTCCTTGAATACAAATTTGTCGATTCTATCCGTCATGAGATTTTAAGTGAATTTTACACGTAATTCTCCAGGGCGTTTCACCCCCCCCCCCCCCCCATCAACCGTATCAGTAGATGAAAGGGAAAAAAAAAAATCGAACGTCGCGATCTCTTGTCCGTAAAATTAGAGCAGCTTCGACGAGGCACTATTCGTGAATTGGCGCAACCACTGTCTACGTGCTTCCGTGAAAGATTTTAAGCTTTGCGGTCTCCTCGTTGTCGCGAGAATATGTTAACCAAATTTTTGCTTTAATTCTCTTTCCCTCCTTGCTAGCGCGTTAATTAAGTATGCGTTCCTCTTATGAACGCAATTTTTGGAAACATGCCTCGAGAAGCGTGACGACGCGTTCGCCTCAAGGGGGGAAGGGAGACGGGGTCCGCCGCGAAGGCGTCGCTCCATGATGACCATCTCTGGCGTATCGATTCCCGAGGAGAATGATCGACCGTTGCCCTTGAAGTGCCCGAAAACTATCACGGAATGTCCAAGTGTATACATACAGCAGTTCAATACCGAAACGGTTGGCTCGCCCGCACCCGATACAGTTGGTTAACAGTAATACGGCACATGACGTTTAATTACGTTTCTTAATCGACGGTGCACTTCAGTGGCCTGTACCTGCCGTTATACAGTGCTTAGTTGTCGTCGTCATCGTCATCGTCCACTGGCATGACCGCGACGACGATCGCAATGAAAATTGCACATCTAGAGATATCGTTGTAGAATCGACTATACCGTCGAGTATTCCACGTGCTTTAGTTTCCACGGCATTCGATGCAACGCGGAACGAACCTCCCAACGGGCGTCGATACATTACGGATAGTTCGTTGTCGTTATCATTTTACATTTTGAGGAGTAATACGCGCGTTTTCCGGCTTCTCGGCATTTTGATTAGTTCGTTGTTATTCGGGTCTCGTTTACGAATGAAAGTTAAGAACCGAGACAAAGAAAGGGGTAGCAAGAGGGAGAAAAGGAACGGGAAAGAAAAGATGAGGACAGAAGGAAGATGGTAGTGAAATAAGATTCTGTTATCCTTAACGTGTACATACATCGTGAAAAAATTGGTACAAACACCAAAGACTTACTTGAGTATCACATACATACATACATGAAATTATTAATGAAATCGCGCAGGTTCTTTCGGGCAGACGTTGACAGAGCATAAGAGTGAGAGGTTCGGGTATGCGAAATAGATCGCTGCTACCGAGAGTGCATGCATGATGGTATACACACGTACGATTGCTTTTATTACAGACGTTTGTTTTCCATTTCTATATGTAATATTGAACCACTCAAGCCTGAGTATGAGTACGTAGGTAACGTGCGTTCATTTAGCATACCGCAAGCGAAATATCGACCTGAGGTATAGAAAGTAGCTAAAGGCAAAGCAAAGTTGTTGAATGTACAAATTACTATTCGAGTTTATTTTAGTATACACTGTTGTCAAGGTCGGTAGGTTTAGCTTGGTAATATGTAAGCTAATAGATTTTTACTAGACTATATATGAGAGTTTTCCCAGTGGTCGGTTACCCTCCGGGGCGATTTCCGGAATGCGCGTTTGTCTGCTCGGTTTTTACTCTTCGATGTCGAGACGGGCCGTGGTCTTGCAAATTTAAAGCTAGTTCGACGACAAGATTTGTCTCACTCCGGAAGCCGTTGCGCGATACCGGATCACCGTCCACTCCCTCCCAAGAACCCGTGTAAATATCCCTTGTTTTCAAGGAGGACATCGAAGCTCGACATCCGAAGGAAAGAAAGATCGAGTCAAGGAATCGCGGTCTCGTTTGCGTCACGCAACGATTATTTGAATCGACAGTGTGCATTTTTCAGGTTTCCTCTTTAGTACGTGTCTTTCCGGACACTGTTTATTTTCCTCCCCGAATCGTAATCATTTATTTTTCTTCCCTTCGACACGATGTCGCCATCGCGCGCGCGCGCGCGCGAGAGAGAGAAAGAGAGAGAGAGAGAGAGTAATTAGAGTATTTTCATAATGCTTGCTGCGATGCCGGATTCGTTGCTGGTACATTTAGGCTGTTGATATATTGTTGGCAAGGTGCGAGTTTAAATTGCGAAATAACGTTGTTAACTATTGGTAATCGTTAGGCGGAAAAGGGGAGAAGAGAATAGCTCGAGAATCGGGCGGTCCGTTTGTCGGTCGGATGCCGGAACGGCGGCGACCAAATCTCCGCAGATTTGCCTTTACCCAAAGATGGAAAGTTCGCCAGAACGGCCCAGCTCGAGCAAGGGCGAATTCCGTAATTCGGCTAGAGAAGGCGTACGACGAAAAGGAGAGGTTCGAGTCTCCCTTCGATTAACCAGTGCTCACTGCCGTATAGTACCCCGACGTGTCTTAGAGTCGAGGGCCTCCGCCGTCCCTCGTCCTCGGGACGTCGCTCCCGGAGAACGACGGGAAGTCGGACGTTCGTGGAGGAAAAGGAAAGAGATATATTAAAAGATATATGTACACGATGCGCGCGTATATGCACCAGGTGCCTCATATCGGCCCCGGCTCTTCTCGGTCCCTTCCCGATCAATCGTTCGTCACTCTCCTCCGTTCTATCATACGTAAGTCGAGCATGGCCTTTAGCGGCGACTTCGGTATCCATTTGTACATTACTTTCTCCTTCCTGGGCCAACGAAGTCGCAACTACGTAATCGATAATTAGTCGACTTAAGTCAACCAAGAGAGGGAGAGCGGAAGAGCGAGTGACAGAGCGACTTACGCAGCAGGAGGCATCCCGTGTTTTAGAGTTCCTAAGTCCCCTCTCCGTGCGGAATGGCTGCAAAGCTCCGAGTCGTGGATATTTACCAAGAACGAACCCGCCCGTCGGGTGGGGAGTCCGTATATGTACACGTACGTCTATAAGTTAGATTCGCGGCGTAATAGGGATTAAGTAGGCGCGGGGGACGACGTTCGCGTAAGACAAAACCTTTAAGTGTAGGTCCGTTTAAGTCGACACGGATGGGTGCCTTCTCTTTGGAGGTCCTGCAAAGGACGCCTTTAGTACGTACGTAACCCGCCGAAAGAAAAGACGGACGATCCGCGTTCGCTTCGACGGTCTTTCACGTGGATTTCGTTACTCTCGACGGCCACGATCGGCAAATCGCGGACTGTCCGCCCTTTCGAAAGAGAGCCTGTCGTGTTAAGTGTTTTTCGTTTCCTCCAGATTTTATTCTGTTTCTAAGCTACGGAAAGCGGGAAAAAGTGAGAGGGAGAGAGAGAGAGAGAGAAGCGCAGCCGAATATTGGAACCGAGGAGATCTTCCCTGAGAAAGAGAGCCGCAGGAAAAGCGAGCAAACCAGTAGGCAACCGGTCGAAGCGACTCAGTGCTATTTTTATTTTCTATCGTATTATATCAGTTTTACGTTTATTTTGTAACCGAACGCGCAGCGACAGGCTGAAACTCGAGCGCGCGCAAGTTTTTCGACACTAAGAAATGAAGTTAAACGTCGACGAGTTTCGGTACCAGCCGGGCCGTAATCGTTTTCCGTTTGTTCGTTAGGGCGCCAACGTTGGCGACGTTCGTTCCTCGCATTTTTCTCTCGTTGCGCGGGACGGTTTTTCGCATCGGCGCGAAATGGTTGATCGCGACGATCCCGGACAGCGGATATTTCATGTATCACGAGGCGAGAAACAACGGGACTTCCGTATATCACGGAACCGACGTTAACGAGCGCATTTATACTTCTCGTCGCGCGTAATTGACGGTCACCGATCGCGACCAGCCCTTGAGAACCGACTACTTTTCGCGCCGGCCGAGTGCCGATCGTCTCGAAGGGGACATCCTCGGGTCGCGAAACTGCCGTCTCCGACGAGATTCCTTTCCTCCGGAGGTTCTCGAGATGCGTTCATGCCGGAGGACGCGTCCTTTGACAATAAGGGGAGAAAAAAAGGAATATTATCTAAGCTTAAGTAAGTTTTAAGTCGAGTCGAGTCGCGGGTGATTACGTTCAGGTGCCATACGGAGGAGCCGGGCCTACCGACGACCCGTTAACGATTAACGATAACGATTAACTAGAGTTAAGCTCCGCACTCTGCTCAACCGACGCGCCTCGCGTTCCACCGATTTCGTACATCGCGAGGACCCGTTAACGCCCTCGAACGATACACGGGCACGGACACACGGACGCGAACACCTTCTTTTCCGTTTAGTTGCCGTTCTCCATTTGTACATGATTCGTCGTAAGCATCTCGCACGCGTCCCTCCCGGGCCCTGGCCGCGGTCTCGCGGCTCGGTTACTCGGTCGTTGGCATTCCTTCAAAACCATCTCACGGCATCGCAGCCTCGACGACTGCTGCCGATTTCGGAACGGCGATCGGGCTTCAGGGGACACGGAGGTGCTCGAAGGGATCGCGTCGCGAACTCCTGGGCGCCCTCGACCCCGCCGAAGTCGTCGCCCCGAGGAACGCGTGCGGGTCCTCGATCTAACTTAGGATTAGTGGTACTGTATTAAACTATTATTCGATTCGCAGACCTACAATAAAGCATGTTGTGAATTTTAATCAGCCATTTCCGATTGCGGGTTCTTCCGCGACCCTCGCGAGTACTCGCCCTTGGACGCGACCCAGAGCCGGTACGATGCGATACCGTACAGGTTGGACCATCGATCGGGGGAAATCGTGGCGCGCGTGGCGGGGAGAGCGGGGAGAGCGGCGAGCGATGCGTGGCCTTCGGTTCTCGCCAGTTCTCGCACGGTCGGCGCACGCGACTGCACGCGACTGCACGCGACTGGCGCGAGTCGACTACTCCCAGGGATTCTCGTGTCATTATGTCAGCGCGTTTCCGTTGGAAGCTGCCCGGAAAATCGTCATTTGCCCCGAATCGCCGGTTGCCGGCCGTCGAGTAGTCGGCCGCGCTCGCGACCCGACTCGGGAGAGCGAACTCGCTCCGGATTGTCCATTTTTCGCTCGCGTCCGCGCCAAGAGCAAATGTTATCGGGAAATATCAGGAGGCGGAGCAGAGATTTCGTGGCCTCGTCGAGAAAATTCCTATTACCTTCTCGGACGAACCCTTTCGGGGGAGAAGGGAGACAGGGGCGGACGGTCGGGAGGAAGGAGGACTGCTGGCTTGTTTTGATTTGCCGGCCGATAAGAAGGAGTCGAGCGCACCGGTCAACGCCAATTATGCCATAGCCCTGTTAACCAGTGTGCAGCAAAGCCGCTCCACGCCTCTACGGCCTTTGGCGCTGACTTACTTTGCGCTGCAGGTGAGACCATCCACGCTTACTGGAAGTCGGGCAGGTTGCGGCCACGAATGGGTGTAGGCACCGCGACGGCGACGCGAGAGCCGGTCGCTTCCTTCCGGTGCGAGCGCGCATTCGTCCCTTCTCCTTCCCCTTCCGTTTCCTTTTGCGCGATTCCACGAATGGAATCGGGATTGCCTCCGCCCTGCCGCGACGGACCCTTTGGATTTCATTTCTAATCGGGTCGCGTTACGGTCTCGCCTTCGTCGCTGCGTCCGATCGTTAAAGATCGGTACCTTTATCGTTTCGCAAACGCTATTTGGTCCACCGATGCGCCGGCTCTGGAACCGCGCGAGTCATCTCGGCTCCCGGCTCCCGGCTCCCGGCTCCCGGCTCTCGGGTTTAATTTCTCCATTAATTTTCCGGGAGGTCAGGCAAATCGAGTTTGACGGAAACTTTTACGAGAGTCGTCGTGGTACCCCGGGGACCCGGAAAAACGCAAGCAGGTATGCGGTTGGGTGGCTCGCCTTGGCACGTGTCGCCGCGACCTGCCAAGAGGTCAAACGAGTCGTCGCTTACCGGTCTGCGTCTCGATGACTTTGTCAGAGGGGTCGTGATATAATCGCGAATGCCGATTACGCGACTCGTTCCGGAGGCTCTCGAATCTTTGCTCGCTCCCAAGAACCCCGAGACCCCTTCCCCGGGGGTCTCGCGCGATTAACGCCGATGCGTCCAATTACTGCGGTACCGATCGATCCGCTTCGAGTATCTCGTTTCCCTCGACCCCTTCCCGAGGCTAGGAATCGCTCCTAGAAGCCTAACTCTTTCGCGAGACGATGTTTGCGGCCGCGGCCGTGAAATTCTCCTCGCGAACTCGTGCCATCGACCCGACGTTTGGCACTCCTGACCGGTACAAACTCGTCAGGATCCGGAGGAATCGCCTCTACGTGTCTCGGTTTCGGAGCATGTCGGCTACGACTAGGAGTCGTTTCTTTCCGCGGCGGTCGATCCGAACCTGGAACTCGATTCGTCGCTGCTGGTTGACGAGATATTCAAAGAAAGGAGGAAAAAAACCGTTTGAGATGCCTTTGCCAGCCGGTATTTCGGCTTTAGTTCCTCGCGCGGGCCGTACCAGATTCCGGACGAGTACGGGGACTCGCGGGTTCGCGTTGGCACAGGAGGGTTAACGCCACGGTTAGGATAAACGGTATTTTTGTTTTAATCGCTTGGTCATGGTAAAAGGTGCTCGGAACGAGTAGACGATTTGCGGCGTCCATTTTATGACTTTCGCGATTCTGCCGAGTGGAAGCATGGAAGAAAGGAAAATTTAGGTTTTCTCTGAGTAGCTCGTACGCCCACGGAACGAGTACGCGGAGGCACCGAACGATTTCCGCACGAATCGGAAATCGTTTCGGTTGCAGCGTTTCTATTCAAGGTGTGCGGATTCCCTTTCGTCTCGAACCGCGTCAGTGAAATTGCAACGGTGAAATCGATCGGCCGCGCGCTTTTCGCACAAGTTGAAAAATTGCCGCCGATTTACCGCAACGCGCAGGATAACGCCAAGGATAACGCCAAGGATAACGCCAAGGATAACGCGAAGGGTTACGCGGGATCGTCGAGGACCGGCGCCTCCACCCCCGCCCCCGCCTTCGTCGGTCCCGCAGGTAGGGTCGCGACATGCAGGGTCGTTTGCGAGTCTCCCCGCCGAAAGAAAAATGGATTATTTTTAAGATACGACGAACCCGCGCGTCTCCTGGCGTCAGATGCTTCGTGGTCGATGGATCCAGATGGATCGTAATGTGAATATTGGGTCAGGAATTGGTCGTACTTCGCCATACCGTAAATTGTCCACGTGCCCTCTGTGGCGTGGCCGCGCCGGAGGGCAGTGGTCTTCCCGTCCGTATTATGGCGTAGCATATTTCACTGTTCGTGCCCCTTTGCGCGGATTGATATCGCGCCGGCGCGACCGCGCATCCCGGCCCAGGCGATGGTCAAGGGTTCCCTCGGTTTTTCGTCCGATCAAGGTATACGCGTCTTCTGGTCGTTTCGTAAAACGTTGACCCGCCGGCGGAGTCTCGATCGCCGGTGCATTCACCTTACGTAAGGTGTACGTTCGACGCTCGCGTGCACGTGCTCTTGCACGTTCCTGCCCTCCTTTTCGAAGAGCACCTTTCTTTAAAGAATTTGGTGGGGCAGTCGGCCCGAAATCGTCGCCGCGCCCTTCAGGGAAAAAGCCGGGAAAGGGGCAAATGGGAAATTCCCGTACGGGCGTGAATTCGAGGCATTCCGGCGGCATCGTTCCACCAGCAGTATCGGTGCGGAACGGGCCGGATCGCGAACGCTCGAATCCGTAACGGCGTTTAATGTTTACGCGTTCCGATCCTTCTCTTTCTGCGTTCGGATTTTGGTCGTTTCTGGAGCCGTATCTGCTCTCTCACGGCGCGTAGCTTCCAGCTCGTCCCCCGGGTTCCTTTGAGCCGGACGTACGCGTACTCGGACCGTCCGATGTTCGGGCATTCGGATATTCGTAAGGTGCTCGCGACCGTCGATCGCGATCGTCCTCGGGAACGTTTTCGGCCATCCCGTTTCTCGGTACGCATGTAGGACTCGTTATGCTCGCTACTCGATACTACGAAGACAGCGAAAAGATAATTTATAAGCTCGCATTCAGGGCGTAAGGTCTCGGCCCCGATTCGTCGACGCGTAACGGTTTCGAGGCGATTCGCTGAACGCACCAAAATTAGGCGGTTCGATCGGTCCGACTTCGGGCCGAGTCGCGACTTCCCGTTTCGTGGCTCGACTCCGATTCGCTCGCGCGAGCGGTCCTTCGGTATGCAGGGCAGATTTTGTATTCCACCTGCGAGCGACACCATTGCACGGTCCTCTTTTCGCTCGTGGAACGTTCTCGGGTTTCGCCGATGAAGTTTTCGGCGCTCGTTCGCTCCTTCGGGATACGGAGGTCAGTGATTCCTCCCCGAAACGAACGAGATCCTGACCGACGGTGGGCCGGGTGGGGACGCATCGATAATTCGAAGCGATTCCTCGAGGAGAGATGCCCGCGCGAACCTCCGAGGCGGAGGCTAGCGCAAGGTGGATCGAATTTAAAGGAGGCTCCGATAAAAACGGCCTCTTGCATTGGCAGGAACGGGGCCGAAATCGTGATAGCGTTTTCTAACTACGGGAGGAACGGCGCTGGTTCGTTGACTCGTGGTTACGCGATTACTCGGCGATCGAATATTTGCGAATCAACTCGTCGAGATTTTTAGCAAGGACGGAGATCGCACGGTAATATACCGGATTTGATAACCAGTCCTTGCATCTAACGGTTGCGCACAAGTCCGGCCGATATACAATCAAACCGCGTGCTGTCGATTGACACTTATTTTTTTTTACGATCACTTGGTTAAATCGGCACTGTCTCAAACACGTTTCAACGGCTGATCATCGAGTAATCTTCTCTCACGATTTGGCTAGATAAAGATTCGACCGGTAAATCAATTGGAAAGCTTTTACGGTGGAGTGACATTCCTGTTTCCGGCGATTCGGGTAACCGGGGCAATAGCAATTATCGATGACAATCAGGTGTACGACGCCATCGTCGATTCGGTCTCGTCCTCGTCGCGTTGAACTCGTTGCTTTCTTGCCGGCCCGTTTTACGTGCTCACGCGATGAACGTGATAATTATTCCAATCGGGTGCCCCGGTTAAAGTAGCCGTAAACGTTTGTACGCGCTTCTCGCCCAAAGTTTTGCTTCGGAGGCGTCGGGGTACCCTTAAAGGGAAGAATAGTTCGCGAACGAGTTAAAAGCTCGAAAGATCGGTCGCTCGTTGAAACAATAAACGCCGTCTTTGCAGGGCAGCTGACAACATGACGATGGCTGCGATCTTTCTGCTGATCGGGCTGACGTTGCTCAAAAGGGGAGATTGCCAAGTTCCGGAGAAACCGGATATCGACGATCACCGGGAATCTCATCACCGACAGAAGAGAGTCCTGTGGATCACGAACGACGGAAGGATAGCTCTGCCGCCCGGAACAATCATGACGATCACTCCTACACTCGCCATGCCTTTCGTCAGATACCCTCCTTATGGATTTCTGAGCAACATGACGATCAGTCTTCCGTTTACTAGTAAGCTTTTTCAAATGTGCAATATGCTCGTAACCGCGAGCGAGGTGTATCTTATGGAACGTATCATCAAAATACTGGGATAATTATCAAAGAACTCGTTTCATACCGGTCGTCGAATCCCGGCGGTCGTTGCCTCATACCCATCCGAGTAACGAAACGTTACCTTTGACTTTGCGTTTCCAGTCGACCTCGACAAACTCGGATTGACGGATAACGAAAATCCGTACGGCTCGCTACCCCCGGTCTTCGACAGGGCCATGAATAGTCGCGAGGCAGGCACGATGATGGCGGACTTTATCGCCTCGTTCATAAAACGGCGACTGCAGAAGCGAGACGCTCCCGATGCACCGAGGAACGCGTTTCACGGCGGAGAGCGAGCATTGCTTTACGGAACAGCCGAGGATATGTTGAGCACTCTCGGCATGGATGGAAAAGCTTGTTTGTTGAGGGCGATTTGCGAGGTTCACGGTCATCCTTTGGACAACTTTGGTCTTATCGGAGAGATGCTTAAATTGTTCTTCACGTAAGTAGGCCTTCGGAATTTCGTTCTCTAAATGGGAAACGCGAGACTAACTGCGTATATCGATTAAAGAGTAAGATTAACCGCGTATCATTCGTTGGTCGAGATTCGTTTCCCGATAAGCCGAATCGTTAACCCGTTAAATGGTCGCGATCCCTTCCGGGTCAAAGGAGAAGTTTCGAACCTTAACCGATCGATTCGTTCAGCTGCCTAATGACGCGTTTTCTCTTCAGTGCCAGTAGATCTCCGTTCGCTTATCTTATGAAAGAATACGTTGAAGCGGAAAACAGAGGAAAGTCGCACGGAGAATGTTGGCCGTATTACAAGGCCTGTCCTAAATCATTGTTCCTCCCATCACGAAACGAATACACGTAAGTATAAGATCGTCGATTCGGAAACCCTTTGAAGTAAAAGATTCGAAATTTCGTTGCGTTTTTTTCAGGAAAGACTCGAATACATCCGAGTACGCTGAAAATGATATAGAAGACAACTTTCCGACAACGAGAGGATTCGAAGATAGATCGTTCGACATACAATCAACGAGTAACAAAAAACATACGACGCATTCTTCGATGTAGCTAGGAAATTCGAAAGGGCGAAATGCCGACTAATCAAGACGTGCTCTCCAAAGCACCTTTTAGATAGGAAACGAATATCTCTACCGCGGTTCTTAACAGACGATTTAAATGAAATTTCCTAGTACCGTTTAGTTCGTTTTTGGCAGTCAATGGTAATGCACGCGATATCGTATATAACGGTACATCTTGGAGACCCGACAGTGAGATACGCCGATAGCGAAATAATTATTGCGTAAAATGGAATGTGCATAATATATAGCGATATAGTCATACCTATTAATTACACCGATCATATTTCTCGTTTTATTCCATAGTACTTAATACATCAGTCGATCCTCGAAAGAGCATATAGGAAATTTACGCGAGATCAAGAACGTATGGTTTTATAACTTACCCAGCAAATCTACGCAAGTTTAGTAAGTTTTTTTTTTAATGCATTACATAGAATTCGAATAAGTGTAAGGTAATATATAACGTTACAACATAATAAGATGTAAATAAATGTCTGCATTCGAGTAGAAAATCAATACCTTCGATACGTTACTTATCGTTATATGAAAGGCGCTAAGAGATCGAATCGACGTCAATAAGAAGAAATACCCCTTTCGGCGGTAACGCCATTTTGGATACTCTAGTGTTAACACAAGCTGGCGCGTCATGCTACCAATATTATTAAGCAGATGGCATTTTTTCATTTATCATCATTTCGTGTCACTCGTTACCGAAGCCGGAATACTCGAAAACTACGCACCGCAGGAGAAAACGGTAAAGGAAGTTTCGCTTCCAAACGACGTCCGCCGTCGATCCCCCCGGGTCCCAATTTCCGGTACCTGAACGGACAGGGTCGGTTCAGGTAGGGGGCGTTCACGACCGGCGCGATGGATAGGGGACCGGATTTCGCGACGAAACTTTCTTTACCATTTTTCTTTACGACCCGTGGTTCCGGAGATACAGCGAAAATAAAAATTCTGCGCTCTGATTGGTCGGTTCTTTGGAGTGGCGTAACTCGGAAACTACGTGGCGTAGCCGAAAACGGAAAAGGAAGTTTCGCTTCCAAATGACGTCCTCCGTTGATCCCCCAAGGTCCCAACATCCTGTACCTGAACGGACAGGTAATTCAT